TCAATTTTCGTCAGCTTTTATTAATTATTATATGACAAACACTGTATATATATATGTGTGTGGATGTGTAATATGCTGGCTAATTATGTAATTGAGCTCACAATTTATACAACAACAACAACAACAACAACAAAAATATTCTATAAACATAATGAAACGGCTGTTGATGGTTATTGAATAATATGTGTGTGTGTGTGTGTGTACAGTAGTTACAAAAGTTATAGGCGAGTGAAACGAATATGAGAAAAAAAAATGCAAGAATTTTTCCTGAGAATAACAAACATAAACTCAACTTATAATATAAAAAAAAAATACAAGCATATTATAGGCAATGGTAAAAAAAAGAGTGCATGCATTTCCATGAATGACGCGACGAGATTAAAGATGATGATGATGATGATGAAGGATTCTCCATTTATATATATAAAAAAAATGACGGCCAACATCTGTAGCCATATTCTGGATCACTATTGCTAATGGAACTGTTTTTTGTTGTTGTTGTTGCTGGAACATTCATTCATTCAATGAATTCATTTCACTTTGTATTCTATGTTTGTATGAATGAGTGAATGTGAATCATCATTCTGCATCCCATTTAGAAAAGTAAACATTTTTCATCATTTATAGATACATTTTCCATTTATCGGCTTGTGTGTATTGGTTTGATTTTTTTTCTTTCTTTCTTTCTTGTTTTTTTTATTGATCTATTGATTGATGCTTATCAATCACAAGCTTTACATTAGGTACATTGTATATAATAATAATGAAATGATTATTTGATGTGATGTGTACTCAACAACAACCATATCAGTTTAGTGGAAAAGTGAAAACATAAAATCCATTGGGATGAGACACCAACGAGAACGAAGAGAGAGAGAGAGAAGTAAACGAAAATCAAATATTGATATATGGATCACCTATAAATTGATGATATATTTTGGTGAAAAATTTTTCTATAAATCATCAAATATTTTTTTTCCAAAATATTTACTTTTGCAATCTTGAATAGGATATATTTTCTATGGTTCTTCTTTCCATTTAATTCTGATTAATTTTGAATAGATTCAGGATCATTCTCAGTACAGTTCTACCTAGCTATTTTCTGTAATTTCACGATGCAAACTTATTTATTGTTTTTTTTTGGTGTCACTATATGGTATTCATATAGATAATATGTGTCCACACACACACACACACACACACTCGTTTCTGACTATGCTAGAATAGAGTAAACGAAGCGAATAATCAATGCTACAATTCAGACAGAATAAATTCAAACAACACAAACACACACACACACATCTAAACTAATTGGATTTGATCGTCCAATGGAAATAATCATCATCATCATGAAACAAAACAAAACAAAACAGAATCGAAATTATTTTATTCTGTTCATCTTTCCAGAAAAGAATTTCCATAGCTTTTAACATTGACAGAAAATGTTAAAAGTGTTGACAACAAACCAAATTATCATCCATCGAAATCATCATCATCATCATCATCATCATCGTTTTTATTGTCATGTAAATGTCCAAAAATAATGTGTGAGATAGATTGTGATAATTGTCAAACAAATTGATGATTGAATTAAATAAACAAATTTTTTTTACGAATTTCTATAATCATCATCACGTGAGATAGAAAAGAATAGAATAGAATTCAAAAAGAATCAGTACATAGGCAAAAACAAACATAAACATTGGCAAACAAAAACATGATTTGGATGAACGCTTCGCAAGATTGTCAACATCATTGAATTCAATCATTCAGATTAACAATGAAACAAGAATTTTTAAGACAAAAGACAACATTTTCAATACATGTATATATAGAGTTATAATATTAATTTTTTCCTTTCACAATTCCCTCTATTATTATGGATTCTCGATTCTCGAATGAATATATTTCCATTATGTTTCATCATCAATATATTATTATTATTATTATTCATTAAATTATCATTATTATAAATTAATTAATTATGCTTGCATAGATTTCAACATTGATTCTGTTTTTTATTTTAGTTTTTTTTCAGCAGGGATTCTCTGGATGATGATGAATATTTTTGTGAACACTCTATTTGTATTGTTGTTGAAACAATATGTTAATATGGTATTTTCATTCATTAAATTCAATTCATTCACAATTTTTCAATGTTCGATGAATAATACACTGTTGTTGTTGTTGTTGAAACAATTGGAACAAATTCTTTTTATTCTTCAAGATTTTTTCTTTGTTTTGTTTTGTTTTGTTTCATCTCATTCATTTTCAATATATAATAAAATGAATGAATATTCTTGTTAGCATATCAATATTATTCTTATTCGTCGTTCATTCATTTTCTTGGTTCAACAATTCTTTGCACAACAAGATGAAACACAAAAGAAACAAACAAGCAATTCTTCTATTCCATTCATTCATTCATTACACACACACACACACATTTTGCTCGATTTAATTACAATCGTTATTCATTTGTATTTGATAATGATATAAAGATTGATTTGATTTGATTTTCTAACTTTTGGATTGAGACAAACAAAAATTTCAGTTTCAATGAAATTTTCATTGTCAATGTAGAAACATTTTATTTGTTCAAACAAACGCACACACACACACAATACATGTTAAAATTCAGCATCAAAATATTATTTTAGATTGAATTTGAATGGAACGACAAAAAAAAATTTCGTTTTTTAAATGAAAAATTATGAGAAAATGCCCGAAGCTGTTTGCACGTGTGTATTTTTTCTTTGTCGATGATGATTATGCAACAACAATAACAATAAAAATTTTTTGTTCGTGGTCTATAAATAATCGATTGGCAAGATACATTCATTTGATAATTTGATTTGTAAAATTATTAAATTTAAATAATACACATTATTATTATATTGTTAGTTTTGAAACTGAAAGTCAATATATTGAATCTTTTCATTCATTTTTCATTGTGTTTTTTTTTTGCTAGGTGTATGGGCTAATTTTTTTTTTTAAATTTTGGATAAAAATAATTTTAAATTTTGACATTATCAACATGACATCATCACAATGACAAGGTCAAGAAAAGAAAAAACATTCACCTCAGGTGGTCGTACACAATTGTGGCCACCACCACCACTAACTACAGCGACCACTTGAATGTACCTATTATACAAGTGGATGACAAGTTTCATTGTGTGGACAAATCAATTTTTTTTTTTTTTGAAATTATTAAAAAAATATTATTTCATCGAATGAATAATCAAAATAAAATAAAAACATTGAAATTGAATAAACAGGAAAAGTTTTGTTTCAAAAAAAATCAAAGCCAAAAATTGTATTTCGGCTGACCGGTTCCATCCATTTTATTCATTCAGTTTTTTTTCAGTCCTTGATCTGAACAAAAAAAACACAGGACAAGGCCAACCAACCAATTTGATTTTGTTGTTGTTGTTGTTGTTGTCCACACGAATCATCAAACGATATAATTATTTTTTGTTACCATTATCGATTAATCGTGATTATGTGTGATTGAATTGAATTGAAGAAGAAGAAAAAAAAATTCAAATCAAGTCCATTTTTGGGGTGAATTGTTTATTATTTCCGATGGAATCATCATAATCATCATCACAATTATTGTCCAGGCAAATCTGACAACCAAGTTAAACCAAACCAAATCCATCCCCCAAAATCAGTAGAAAAATATTAAACATCAATAACAATAAAAAAAAGCAAAAATAAAAAACCAAGTGTTCAAATGAAGACTTGAAACAAAAAAAATTACCAATTTCGAATCACATACATTACATTAAATCAAATCAAATCAAATCAAACACACATCAGTTGCATTTGTAATAATGCAATTGGATTCTTTTGTATAATAAGACTTTTTTTCGATATTTTTGTTTTAATTAAATATATACTATGGAAAGAAAGAAAAACGTTTTTGATACACACACACACACACACACACACACACAATCCACAATCATCATCATCATATATGGGAACTTTTACTCTATTTTTTTCGGTTTAATTTGTTTTTGTGTGTGTGTGTGTGTGTTGTGTTTTTTCTTTTCCATCATCTCTTTCTTTTTTTTCTGATGATAACTTTTTTTCTCATATTATTATTATGATGATGATGATGATGAAATTTTTTTTTGTTTCTATTTTTTTTTCACCAGAATGAAATGAAAAGTTTTATTCCGTTAGTTTTTGGTACACATATCAAAACGCCAGGAAAAAAAAAAGAAAAACTTATTATTTGCTATGATGATCACAACACAAACATACACACACACAAACACACATGAGCTTTATGAAATTAAATATAAAAATGTCAGCAAGTATCAAACAAAAAAAAAGTCAAAAAGAAAAATTACTGAAAAGACATCATGTCAAAACGATGTGAGTCACACTATTTGATGGGTGTGTGTGTGTGTGTGTGTGTGTATTATTCTCTCTAACGGAATGTGTTATAGTGTTATTCTTATTGTTTTTTTTCTCTCTGTGTTCGTGGCCTTTGCTCCAAGTTTTGATTTCATTTTTTTGTTTTGTTTTTTTTTTTTGCATCCCTATGATGATGATGATGATGATGATGATTGTTTTGATATTCAATGATACCAGCTGTTACATAATATAAATTCGTTCGTTTGTGCCATTTTATATTCGGTACTTTGTTTCGTTGACTTTATAGTTTTAGTTTGTACATGTGGATATATCATTGGCATTTATTTTTTTTTTTTCAAAATCAGTTTCCAATAAGTCGGTCTCCATTGCATTCAGATCTTTGATTAGATTAATCATTGATTGTTTTGGTTGTTTCATCTTTGTCTCTCTCTCTCTCTCTCTCTCTCTCTCTCTGAATGTAAATGTGAATTACATACTTTATGAATGTATTATCTAAAAAAAAGTAATGAAATAAAGTTTTTTGTTATTTTACACTCAGACTAGTTGTCTTTATGTTCTTCTGACGAAATTTCCCTTTTGCAACAATATTACTGACGAGGTGGCCGAGTGGTTAAGGCGATGGACTGCTAAAATTAATACCAAAAAATGTAGCAATGTGTACAAAAAACAAATGATCAATAATCGACATTGAAAAATTTATTCATGGCGATAAATATTGATAAAAAATCAAGGAAATCCATTGTACTTTGTACTCATGGGTTCGAATCCCATCCTCGTCGCAAAGGTTCAAATTTTTTCCATTTTTTTTCTTACAATTCTTTTTTTCATGTAAAATAATAATCTCTTTATTCAAAATTCTTGATACAGAAAAAACATGTTACAACACTTGCCATCTAACGGTAAGAATATGAAATCCAAAAGTCATGTCATTTGACTGCTAATATAATGTGTACAAAACAAATGATCAATAATTGACATAGAAAAAAAATTATTCATGGCGATAAATATTGATAAAAAATCAAGGAAGGAAATCCATTGTACCTGGTACTCATGGGTTCGAATCCCATCCTCGTTGCAAAGGTTCTTATTTTTTCGATTTTTAACAATGAACTTGATAGATCAGAATGTCAATTTTTTTCATGTAAATAATTCTTTATTCAAAATTCTTGGTACAGAAAAACATGTTACAACACTTGCCATCTAACGGTGAGAATATGAAATCCAAAAGTCATGTCATTTTCAGATTTGGTTGTTTATTTATCCTTCAATAAATGTACGAGCTTTTTTCAATCGTTCATCATCGATAATTTTCGTATGTTTACGACGACGACGACGAATATGATCGTCCATGGTCATTGTTTCGGAATTTTCATTTAATTTTTCATCTGTATGACGATGATTCTTATAATAACCATGATGATGATGATCATCATCATCGATTGTGAACAGTTTATTCTCAAAACAAGGTGTACCTGGAATTCGACGACCTCTTAATCGTATTGCATATGGTAATATTGGTGGTTGTCGTGTGTATATACCACGACCTTCGGGTGTAAATGTTTTCAATATACATTTTGAATCAGCATTACCAGTAATGGATATCCAACCAGCTGATGATAATACAATATCGGCTGCACTTTTTTCCCAACCCAAAAGTTCTAATTCAATTTCTTTTGGTGATAATTGAGGCCAATATTTTAGCCGTTCATAATCACCTAATGGTACAGCCAAAAATTCTGTACCAATATATGTTTCATAGAAACGTTTTGCCTGTTCAGTATAAACAATATTGATAGGTAAATATGAAGAAGCAAATACGGTTAACCAAACATGTTGACGAGCATGTGTTAAATCGATACGAGCTAAACCACCGATAAACAATGTTTGTTCTGGCCGTAATGTATATGTACGTGGTGTGATCACTTCTCGTGGAATTGTACGTAATAATTCTTCAGTGGTCAGAAGATTTAACAATTGATCTTTATAAATAACACCAGGCGTATCATTGAGATAATTGAGTTTCATTGAATCTTTTTTCATCGGTTCGAATGGCTTTTTTCCACGATTACGAACCGTTCGTATGAGAGGATGATTATTCTCCATTAGGAATGGCGTTGTTGTTGATATATCTGTATTGATACGTTCGGATAAATGTGCATAACGAATTTGTGATTGTCGACGTAGGTTTTTTGTAAGAATATTTTCAGCAATATAATGTTTCTCCAATACATTTAATCGATTCAATCGTATTTGCATTTCCCAACCTTTCATTTTTCTTATGGGAAATTTGAGTAGATTAAGTGTCGTACCTGGCCATATTGATGTTGTTGCTCGTTGCATTAGATCTTGATCATCAGTTAAGGCGCATAAATCTGATTGCATCAGTACATTGAATAATGTAGATTTTCCTGCATTCGTACAACCAATTAGATAAATATCCTGTCCAGGTTTTAAATCTCTTAATAATTTCGTAACAAGATTATCGACACCGAAACCATTTTTAGCACTTATAAGACTAACATCACGAATTTTAGATTCACGACTAATATGTGTAGATTTCAGTGATTCTTTCAAAGATTCTTTGATTCTTTCCAAATAAAATCGATCATCTTTAGGTAATAAATCGACTTTATTGCCCACAATATAAATTAAATGTTTTTCTCCAATCAGATTAACAATACCAGGCCATACACTGCATGGAAAATCAAGTAAATCAACCAAAATGATGACCAATGATTTATTCGAATTAATCTTCGTGATTAGATTGGGATATTCTTCATCTGAAACGGTCACGTTTAATGAAACATTATATTTTGTTAGAAATTCACACCGTTGACATCGTTGAGATTCAAGTTCTTTTTCGTTGAATAGTGTGAATTTTTGCGCTGGAATAAAACCAGGTATATTTTGTGATGTACAATGTAGATGGGCACCACATCCACTACATGGAACTTTACTGGGTGCTATTGATGGATCAGATTTTCCATAATTTCGAAGCCAAATTTGTGATGCCCAACTCCGAATTTCGGGTTCATATTCCGAAAGTGGACCGGCCTTTATATTGGAAGCTAAAAATTGTAAAAGTTCATTGTGTTTTAGAAAATTCTCATATTCTTCATCGTTGAATCCGACTTCCTGGTGAAGTTTTTCATTTGAATCCAGCAATTCATTTGATTTCAAAGTTTGTGAAAAAGGAAAATATGCTGTTTTATCGACATTGACTAGTTCTTTAAAATTGTAATCACTTGCTGATTGACGAATTGATTTAAATTTTTCATAAATTTCAGGAAATTTTTCTCTCAACATTTCTTCATTTGTATCGTTCATCAGTCGAACAAAATCCGGAATTGATTCATAAGGATTATCGTACAGATTTCTAGAGGCTAGGATATTTCGTTTTTTCAATGATTTGATAAACTGTTGTTTCCATCTATAACCAAGTTTATCATCGGTTGTTAACGAAATTGGCAACGGCAAAACTCGTCGAGCACGACGAACCAGATTCGCTTTACGCCATTCGGATAATTGTGCATAAGTTTCACGATCAAGTACATCGATCGTGATTGATGTTTTGTTCGGTGTTACAGGAACCAATTCATTTAATGGTGACTGAAGTTTTTCATACACATTTCCAATCTCATCCGATTTTCTATCGATACGATAATTACTTAGCAATGATTTACGTTTACGATATTCAGATACAGAATGACGAGATTGTCTACATTGAATAAAGAATAATAATCGATTGGTGCCAGTCAATAAAGTCATATTTTTATAACAAAAATAAAAAATTGATAATAATTTACAAAAAAAATTGCAAAACAAAAATTTTTGTTCAAATCAATGATCACATGGTTAACAGAAACTTTCCGTAGAATAATTTTGAATTTTTCGGCAATTTCCCGCTAGATGTTCATTTAAATTGTTCTATATCAAATCTGGAAAAATCATTTTCCAACAATCGATAGAAATCTGGATTCTGTTGAAAAATCTTTCGAAACGGAAACTGATATTGTTGACATAATTGATGATCTCGACGGTCACTCCATCCACCATTGTTTTTAATCCGTTTTCTATATGGACTGGAATGTTTTTCGATTCGAACTACGTCGATAAATTGATATTCATGATTTTGTGCAAAAAAATTTTTCAATTTATTTGCCTCATAATTTTCATCACAATGTTTCTGTTTATGGTGTAGGCCGCCACAAGTTCCCGTATGAAATACTCTTTTAGATAATAATAATAAAAACATAATGAATTAGATTTTCATCAGATATTTTTAAAATTATTCTTATAAAATACCTTGGAACGACTGTGACTAGAGTACAAAGTTTTTGTTTCAAACATTCATTGATTATAAACTGTAGTGACCAATCCCAATTGTAATCATCAAACGTACAAAATGCAAATTGACAAGATTTTATACGTGACCAAAGTGCACGATCAATGGTGAATGCCATATTGTGTTTACTTGAAAACCAATTTGTTAGATTTAATTTTTTCATTTCAGCTTGTACATTGTTAATCGGTTTTTGCACATTGAATTCATAATTGCCCATGGTCAAAATATCAACAACGGTATCTGATTCTTTAAGATCTCTAACGGTGTTTAAGAAAAGACGATATGTTATTGGAACAATAATAATCAAAATTTTTTTTTTGCTTTACTTTTGTGATAATTTCATCAATTTCCAATGATGAATTAAATCTGGACTAACATAATGATCTTCTTCGATGAATAGAAAATCACCATGATGATTTCGTGTTTGTGGTAAATGTTCCATAACATACCAAAGTTTCCACCACCAATGATGTTTAGTCTGTGTGATTTTGGCTTCACGATAATGTCCATAACTATCGGGTTGGCCGGCATTGACACAATTTATTTCCAAAGCTCTGTTTTAAAAAAATATTTTTTAAATTTAATTTCGTACATAAACAAAAATCATACTTTTTCTTTCCTATATCACGGGGACAGTCATCGACTGATTGACCTGGAAATGTATTATACCAGATTTGTGTGGAAAATGGGAAGAAAATTTGTTTAATTTTGGCAAAACCAATCCTTCTGATTGAATTATTAATCTGTTCATCAATTACATCATGGCTGAATATGATCAAAGTTTCTTCAATTGATTTCACTTTCGAAAGTGAATCTATTAAATTTTGTAGATATTTTAAACGTTGATGAACTTGAACAACAATAACCAAATTATCATCAGTCAATGGTGAGAATCTGTGTTCATTCGTTACATTATATTGTTTATCATTTGATTGAATAACATTGATTAAAAGATCAAAATTGAACAATTTTTCTGCACTGGAATTTGATTTTCGTTCCGAATGTTTTAAATTTTCATAATTCATTGGCACATGAGATGGTAAATAGATCCATACCAGAATCACACAAACCATTAGGCCAATGAATCGAAGAAATAATTTTCTTCGTATCATGATGGTCATTTAATAATCATTTTATTGTTGATTCAATTATCGTCATATAATTTTTTATTATTTACTCAAAATTTTACAAATTACATTTGGCTTTTTTCACAATTCATTATTTTTGTGAATGGAACCGAGAAAAAAAATCTGCGCATTTATATAAAAAGGCACATTGAAAAGCTTTCTCTCTTTTATTCAATTGCTTCGGTCGTCAGGATTTTAATCGTTCACTCCAGTACCCAAATAAATAACATTTTTAAGTGATCAATTTACCTATCTCACACATACTTTCTTTACGAATTATAACAATAAAGATCACTAATGCTTGCCACTCGTTTATTACCCTGGGTCATACGGACATCGACCATTGCTTGTGTTGCCAAAATTAGTCCCATTTTGGTCCAAACTATTCCTTCAACATTTGCTGTTTTGTAAGTATTTTTTTTTATTTGTCTATTTTAAGTGTTCTAGAATAGATAATTATCGTCATTTCTATCTTGTCCATGAAAGAATCTTTACCATTTATTTAAATTTTAAAAAAAGAAATTTCAATAAATTGTCGATAGCAGTGTAAGCATTTAATCGATAGGTCATTTGAGAAAAATCGATTGTTTTTTTGTGGGTGTGGGTAATAAACATTATCATCAACAACATCATCATCAATACTCCATTAATATACACGTTATTGTTTGTTTGCAATTTTATTTTTTTTCGGCAAATTTTTGATTAATATATCAATTGACATTGTTGTTGCCATTGACAATTTGCACGTACACACACAAATTAGATATACTTTTGCTCATAAAAATCGTCGACTAATTGATTTCCATTCATTTTCTCATCACACACAGTAATAATCAAACACAACAATTCAGAAATATTAGCGAAGTTGCATTACGTCGAACCATGGAACAGCATCAAGTTGTTAAAGATGTCATCGACACTGTACCATTACATGTGGCCGAGGTTTGTTTTGAATTATTCAATTTGATGAAACTTTCAACTATATTTAATCAATTAGGTTAAATTTAACTCGGGCGTCGAAATGAAATTGGGTAATGAGCTGACACCGACTCAAGTACAGAATGTGCCCGTATCGGTTAAATGGCCGGCTGAACCTGACACACTTTACACTGTTTGTATGACCGATCCTGATGCTCCAAGTCGTCAACAACCTAAATACCGCGAATGGCATCATTGGCTGGTTGTCAATGTACCGGGCAATGATATTGGCAAAGGTGAAATACTTTCAGAATACGTTGGTTCAGGTCCACCGAAAGGTACTGGTTTGCATCGTTATGTATTGGTTATTTACAAACAACCGGGTAAAATTACACCCGATGAAAAGCGTTTGACAAATCGAAGTGGGGAAGGACGTGCTAACGTAAGTGTATTAAACGAATAATATAAATTCTTCATCTCCTATTTAACATCGTTCTTATTTTTTTTTAACAGTTCAAGATTCGTGAATTCGCCAAAAAATACAATTTAGGCGAACCGGTTGCTGGTAATTTCTATCAAGCTGAATGGGATGATTATGTACCGAAATTGTATGAACAATTGAGTGGCGAATAACTTCAATAATTTTTAATCGATTTACACGATTTATAATGGTGGTGTGTTTACGTAAAAATTTTATTTTCTCGATTGAACAAAAATATCGATTATTAATTTACGATTTTTTTTCCAAAATATTAAATATTAAACACATATTAATTAATGTTGATGTGAATGGGAAAAATATGTGAAAAAAAATTTTTTTTCTTTGTATTTGTGTTAAACATTGAATGTGAATTTTTGTGTTAATGGTGAGTAAAAATATTAAAAGGGAGAGATAGATTCAATGATGATTATTTATCTTAACTGATAACTTATTAATATGATACAAAATATCTGATGAGTCAAATGTTTTTGATGATCAAAAAAAAAAAAAAAAAGAAATGCAAAATGAATGAATGATTATTTGTCAACATTGTGTGTGTGATGATGATGATTGAAAAAACGATTCAATATTCATGATTCTCTATTAAAAATGATTATTCTGGAACACCATTTATCATTTCAACATCATCTCCATCGTTATCAATAAATTCATTTTCAACGATAAGGCCACCTTCAACATCACTAATACGATGATCGCCACAAAGAAATTGATTATCAGGAAGTTGAAGATTCTGTTAAAATTATAAATTTAACAAAACACAAAGGATTAGAATCGTATTGATTATAAAACAAATTATATATAAAAAAAATGTAGAAAAAAATCATTCAAATAAAAGGAAATTTTTAGGGAAAATAAAAGGATAGAGTAAAAACAGAAAAATCAATGAAATAAAATCTTACATCTGTCATAGTGGAAGCATGCTGTTTGCAAAGTGAATTAGGACAAACGGAACAGAATAGAAAAGCAGGCTCATTACAAGAATTATCGGGTAGTTGGCTTTTCATGCAGATGTGCCGTGGACAGATCCAGTTATTCGGGTCAAGACCGACACCAATATCAGCATCAGTACTGCCAATCAGATCAGATTTATCAGATTTGTTCAGACATTTTAAATGATAAGTTTTGGTGCAGTTTGATTCACGATGGTTACAATGAATGATAGGACTCGGATCATCCGAATCGGCATTTTCACCACATTTAAAACAGACATTTTCATGCACCACTCCTAATGTTTGTTCATCGCCAGATGCATCGGCCTTCGAATATTGATCATTTGATTCATTCATTTCTTGCTTACTCTTGTTTCCATTGTTATTATTCGTTGATTTTGTCCCATTGCCATTTTTGGATTTAGACACCACAGTCGTAGATGATGAAGATCCATTGGTAATTCGTTTACCATTTTTGTTAACGTTTGAACCGTTGCCATTTCCATTTGGACGGCTACCGCCAATAAACCCTAGTACAGTTGTCTGAACCACATTTACATTCCATTTGTTCAAAGCCATAACAATCAAGATTATAATTGAATGTTAATTCGGTTCCTAGAAAAAAAACGGTAATCAGAATTTAATTCAACCTGAACTATTAATTCATACCTGCAGGAATGTCTTTCAATGCAAATATTCCACAACGAGTGGCGCCATTGACCATCCATTTTTGGGTAACACAATTCGGATCACACGAATGGTTCATGAAACGAGCCAGATTTCCTTTCGGTCCGGCATCAATGATATTAACTCTGTCCAATGTAAGGTAGTAGAAATTTTTGTTTGTCTTTGTTTCCAAACGTCGACGACATTCTTTTTCGTCAATAACTTCACCACAATATTCAATGACAAAACGATCCTTTTCAACATCTTCCAATGTTCTAAGGCCCCATCCAGCACTCGCTGTTCGAAAAGGCTTACATTTTACATATTCTAATTTACGAAATCGTTGATTTTGGCATTTTTCACCGGTCGGGCATTTTTTCGGGTCACATTCGATCAAGCTTATTCGATTCAAACAATTGTGGCTATCACCACAGGGATTTTCCGGTTTACAATCACAAACATGATAATTTGATTCACTATTATTATTATTGTGACTTTTCGATACATAACGGTTTGTCTGTTCAAAACAAATTATAATTAGATTAGATTTGAACCTATGAATCCTGAGCAAAAATAATTACCCAAATGTGTTGGTATGGAGGAGGTTTGTTAGCTATCTGAGAAAGATTTTTGGTCACTTTATCTTTTTTCCATTTTTCAAATTCTTCAGATGCCTCTCTAATCGCTATTTTAAAATGATTACGATTAATGTCAACTTGATCTATCTATCTAACATGACATTAAACTTACCTATATTGAATGACTTGATAAGTTTACTGCTATTTTTACTGACCGAATTTGAGGTAAGAAGTTTATTATCGTCTTCCATATAAAGAAATGTACGGCCTTTGTTCACCCAATAATAGTCATGTGAACCGTAAAAATAAACAGGAAATTCACAATCACTATGTTTGATGTTCGAAACGTTATCTGGTAGCTGATTTGGATGAACAATTCGACCGGGCCACCAACGATATTGGCCCAGTTTAACCCATACGATTTCACCATAATGTATGTGTTTATGAACCAAACAATTTTGACAATAGAAATTTTTTTCATGATCAAATTTATATTCAAGGCATTCTTCATGAAATGCGGCCGGACATCGTTCACAACAAATTAAATTGCCAACTATTTGATTAAATGAAAATAAAACCAGAAATAGTAGAAAACGTTTGATAAAAACAAAACTAATACCAACCTTTAATACAGGCCATACAATAGTTGACATTAATATGACGATTATTACGATTCGTATTAAAATCTTCATAATGGTCTTGACAAATTATATGAGAATCTGGTAATTGCATCGTACCAGCACCTATACAAATCTCGTTGGCGTGATATGCAACCGGACAAAGGATACATTTCATTAATTTTCGATTACTATGACGATATTCATCATCATCCAAAGTCAATAAATGACATGTTATGCAACTATGTAATGGACATACGAATGAATTCGATTGTTCATTCACACGAATCGGATAGTAATGCTCCAGACAGGATAAATGATAATATTTTTTACAACGTTTATCTTCACATTTTTGCGTATCCAAATCATCTGGATTTTTGCAAGCAAAACATCTGTATTTACCTATTCGTCAATAGAGAACGAAAAGATTTTAAATATAGTAGATTGGTGTTCGAAAATAAAATAATAAGAAAATATTGAAGAAAATACAAGATATTTACCCATTTGACATTCATCACAAATGTAATCGCCATCATCCAAAGCAATCATTCGTATATATTTATTACATTTAAGATGAAACATTCGTTCACAATCACCTTTACATGTGACCAATTTATCATCTTTTTTTACTTCTTCACCACAATGATGACAATAACGTCTTATTAGTTTAATCTTTTTCGGTTTTTCGCTAGTATCGCTTTGTGTACTATCATCTTCCTCAACATGATCGAATTCAAAACACAATCTTTTTCGATGGAAGAATTTGATTCGGATAATTTTGATAAACTAATTGTAGTTGATTTTTTTTTCTCAGAAGTGGAAGATTTTGATATATTTAAATTCTGTGTGGTAGATTTTCGTTTTTTGTTTGTAGAACTAGTTGAATTTTCATCATTTGATTTAGACAAAGATTTTGTTTTCATTTGTTCGGAATCATTTTGTTGGCTTTCATTGAGATCAGATTGTTTTTTATTGTTGCGTGATTTACGACCAGGAGTTTTTTTCATAGTTTTGACCGGACCGGGCTTTGTATCGTCACCATTGTCAACAATTGAACTTTTATCATTATTTTCAATATTATCATTATCATCATTTTTGGTAATTTCTTCCTCATTATCCAAGTCTTCAGTCGAATGGTCTTGATTTTTAATTTTATCAAATAATTTTTCCGATTTACGTGATTTTGTACGTCGAGATTTCATTTTAACACTGGTCATGGCAGATTTTTGATCATTATTAAATTGTTCACCACTTTGATCATCATTAAAACCAAATCCATTGCGATCAGAATCGCTATCATTGTAATCATAGTCAGAATCATCATCGTTAAAATAATCATCATCAAAATTTGAACGTTTCGAGACCAACATGTTTGATTCATCTTCATAGATAGCTTTTCGTTCTACATAAATTGAACGAATTGCTTCATCTAATCCAGACCATTTTTCTTTTAGTTTTTTAATCACTTCCGATTTGCTGAGATCTGAATTATTTTCAATCTCTTCTTCAAGATGACGTTTTAGGTAGACATTAAAATCACCTTTTGGTAGTCGTTTTCGGAACACAAATCCAGTGGGTAATGTACTATCACCAAATGCATCATCATCGTCAAATGCATAGACATCTTCATTGTTTTTTGCTGCATTTTTCCAGAATTTTGTTGCGAAACTTTTTTTGACGATGATGGCGTAGCTCTTTGTTGATGTTGTGATCGATTCGATATCTGTAAATCAGATTGCCTTACGTAATTGAAATTCAATAATTCAAGACGATCTTCGCGATTTAAATCCATTGCTTCTTCAGCCTCCGAAATGGATTCATTCCATTTTTTGAGCAATGATCCACGGACAATATATTTTTGTTCAGATTTTGCACGTTTCTTTTTATCCAAATCTTTCAATTCATCTTCAATTTTATCGCGAAATTGTTGATATCCTTCGAAAGGAATAATATTGCTTTCATTTATATAGCCACGTGAAGGTTCCGGTCCAAAATATTGAACATGATATTCAGTTTTGAATGTGGTTCCTAATTATGTTGTACAAGTAAAAATAATTAATAGAAAACAAATTAAGCTTGATAAAAAAAATACGAACGTGAAACACGGTTATGACTGCCAGTACATGGATCAACAGTGACCATACATGGCCACCATGGATAGCCTTGCATTTTAGCCCAAATAAGATCACCGACCGATATACATCCATCTTTTGGTGGAACACTAATCAATTTTTGACGATCAAAAATATATTTCGGATTATCGTTCAACACTATGGTTTTTGCTTCCAAACTAATCGGAATGAATTCATATTTAGGCAATTTGGATGATGGTGAATCAGTTGATGATAATGATTTTCGTTTTCTTCCTCTTTTATCAGATGGTGTTGTTGATGATGCTTCTTGTTTCATTGTGGAAGCCATACTTTCGTTATTACTATTCGCTGTTGTTGAAGCTCGTAAACTTCGTCTTGTTATCAACTCATTATCATTGTTATCGTCATCGGCCATTTCTACATCATTATCATCGTCATCATCATTAGTATTTTTTACATCTTGATTTGATTCTTCTTTTTTAATCTCTTCGGTTTGTTGTTCATTTTCATCAGCTAAATTATCTTCATCATTACATTCTGAATTATCATCATCATCCTTCATTGTTGAATCAACATGATCTTCACTAATTTTCATATCTGTTTTTGTTGTTGTTGATGATGATGATGATTGTTCCACATTCAAATTATTATTGATAATTTCTGTTGATTGTTCTTTATCATTTGTTTTGGAGGAATCCATTATGTCCAAGAATAAATATCATTCAAGTTGATCATTGAACGAGTGACGAAAAAAAAATCGACAATACGGAATAATAAAACAAGGCCACTTTTTTACAATACTATATGTACAACAAAAACAAAAAATAAAATAAGATAAGTCGTCAAGTTTGATAAGAATCACATGCACGAATTTTATATGTGAATAAGACATAGATTTTATATATCATTCAAAGAATAAAAATTGCCATGATGATGATGATGATGATAGTGGTTAAAATTTAATCAACATCAACATAAACACACAAATTTTAAAAAAAAGTCAATCTTATTTGGTTCAATAAATAAAAAAAAACATCATTGATTAGGCAGCCATGATGATGATGATGATGTTAAATGAGTGTTTGTGTGTGTATGTGTATATGTGTGATCTATACTCTTTTACTCAATTCACATTTTGTATATCGAAGTTCATCATCGTCATCAAAGCAGACACACACACACACACTAATACCACCACATACACAAAAAGAGGAATATATGGAAAGAAGAGTTTTCCTCACGTAATATATACTATTTATGTGATGATAATATCGCGCGAAAATAAATGTTGATGCCGCTAATAACGGCCACAAACCATAAATAAAAAAAAAATAAACAACCATTAAAATATCAATGAAAATAAAATTACTCAATCACTCACTTTATATATTAATTATTATTATATATATCAGAATTATAGAATTTCAATGAGATTGAAGATAAGAAAAATGAATGTTTAATTCAATTTTTTCTCATTAAACTACCACAAACACTTGTAATAATAAATAGAAATTAATCAAAAACAGTTAAATAAATTCCAGAATATGATGAAAACCAAAGAAACTTGTGCTCAAGAGTGAAGAATGAGAAAAAAAACGCCGCGCACTTTTCAGCCACGCCACCACCACTACCGCCAAACACATACATTTATATGACGAAAAAAAAATGAACACAAAACAATCTGGAGAAATTTTTTTTGCTGGAAAAGTCGGTTGAATGATTGTTTGATTCAAGTGTGGTTTATAAATGCATGCATGCATGTAGTGTTGTCCACCCACTATGGATATAAGTGTGTGTTTGTGTATGTGTGTGTGTATTGTGGGTATTTTGTATGCCAAAATGAGTTTGAGCTCACAGAGTCCAAAAATTTCGTCATAAAATGATCCCACTACAAATGTCCAGTTTATACGTTGTTGGTATTTTTATCATTTTCATCCATTTTTTGGATATTTCCAATGTCGTTGCAACAGGTTAAATAATGTCAATGTGTGTGTGTGTATGATACTTTTTGTTCGATTCATAGATTGAAAGTTTGTTTTTTTTTTTTTTTTTGCTTAAAATTGATTTTTTTTCACGTTGAAATTCCTATTCATCATTTGGATTTCGGAAATCAAATAATGGCAGATCCACAATCGAATAGACCGAATACTAACAATCGATTTCGACCCGATTCGACTGCTTTTTTTCGTGCCGCTAATTTTGAATTGTTTGTCAAACCGGTAAATTTTTACATTCTTGATGTTTTGGATTTTAATTTAAAAAATGTTTTTCTTTATTTTTTTTTACAATCAAACGAAAACAATAAAAACGAAACCATTCGAAACGAAACAAAGAATAAATATGTAATGAGCATTGGTGTAATATCATTCTCACTATGCATATTCTATTTTTATCAATGGAATCGTCAGGTACGACAACAATCAATAACAACATCGACATATGTAGCCATTAATGAGGATAATACCGAAACGATTCGTTCAAGAAAATCTCGATGGGATTAATATGATTTTTTAACCTGTTGTGGTAGAATGGATTCTTTGGCATAGTTAAAAATTGATAATAATCCTGGTCGTGTTCCTTTTCGTGAAAAATAATGTGATATTAAATCATGATCATCTGTATAAAGATTGAATGATTATTATAAAAAAAATATTTAAAAAAAAATTTTAAAAAATTACCAGAATTTCGGTTTTCAATCGATGTAGGTAAAACATTATCATTGGCCGATAATGATACGAAAAAGGCCTGAAATTTTTTTTTTCATTGAATAAAGGATAAATTACATTCATATAAATACAAAACACTTACAAATGGTATAATCCAAAGACAAACGGTAAAATAAGACAACACCTGAACAAAGTAAAGATTGACTTGAGCAAAATAGGTGAATGCAAGATAATGATTGATGACCAACATAACTGGATTGAATTTTATGGAAAAAAAATTTAATTTCAATTTTTTTAAATTATGATAATATTTACCAATGAAAAATATGAATGAAGGTGATGATAACTGAAAAAATGGAAATGTTTTCAATATGACCATATTATTAAGATGACTTAGAAGACCACAAATGATCAAATAACTGGGAAGATTTTCAAAAAGAAATAGACCAACATAGATGGCAATTATAAACTGTGATTTTCATAGAAAAAAAATTAAAATTAAAATTAAATCGAATTTGTGTTTTCAAATGGTTACCAAATTCAATTGCCGTATAATTTTACATGAAACTGTCGTATATTCTTCAATCAATTCGGCTAGATAATATAGTCCAGTAGCTAGAGAGAAATTTAATTTTGAAAATTTTTCTCACACAACAATATAGAATTCCGAAAAAAACGTACCCAAAGATAGAACAAAGAATAAGAGTAAAACAACGATGCCCAGCCAACTGAGCAATATAAAGAACCACATTTTGAAAGGTTATTTTATTAATTTTTTTCTAAATTGAAAATGATTAAAAAAGTTTGACAAAAATCATCTTTATTTTGACCAAAAAAAATTCAGTTGAATTTCAATTCAATATCACAATTTGATGATGATCAAAACAACAATAGGTCTGTTTCGACATCATGCAAGTGTGGAAATAGATGAATCATATATTCCAATCCAATTAAAATTAATTTGAGTGAATCTATTCGATTTTCGCGTCATAGAATCACCGATCACCGATAAAGTTTATGATCTTCAATGTATTCAATGATAGAATCATCGGTTAGATAACGAATACTTTCATTTTTGGCAATTGCATCACTGTCGAATGGAAAAGAATTGTTCAAAATTTATTCAAATTTGATCTTTTCTTACCGGATATAAGACGAACTAACAGCATTCGGTACTTTCTGCTCAATGATATGGATATTTGATTCATATTTGAGTAATAGATGTGATTTTGATGAATTACGTAATGTTTTCCATGGATCAGAACTATCGCGTACAATGACTAAAAGTCCATAATCTTGAATGATTGTTTCGATATCATTATCATGCCAAAGATTTGGTACATTAAACGAATCAAACATATCTGAACCACAAATTAACATTAATCGAATCGTTTCATTATTATCTTTATTCAACATTTGATGATGATGTCGGATAACATCTAATGTTCGACACCAATGATCCTGTCGACATTCCCATTCATCTAAACGTAACCAACTGGTTCGACCGAATAATGTTTTCATTAATGCTAATCGTATCATTTCGATACGATGTTTGGCTGGTGCCAGATATTTTTTCGTTTCATATCGATCATTAACCGGTGAGATTATTCCGCCGACAATTTCATAGGTACCTTTTTTAATTAAAAAATCTCTAGCAAGTTCTACGTAAAAGAAAACAGCAATTATTGAATAAATGAATGTAATTGTGAACTTTATTAAAAAAAACCATACCAAACATTCTAAGATGCATAAATGTCAATGGATTATATGAACCACAGCCAAGAATCATAACCTTTTCAAGTTTAGACATTTTGTTGGGTCAAAAAATTTTCCAAAATTAAAAAATCAAAACAATAAAAAAAACTATCATGTGTGTGTGTAATAATTGGGAATTTTTTTTTATTAAACAACAATGTCAAAAATCCATTAAAAGATGTCGCCATAGTTTTATTTGCAAAAAAAAAAAATTCAAAAAACAAAAATTCGAATCCATCAATTTTTCACCTTGGACTTCTAATGAATTAAAAAATGAAAAAAAATCGATTTTACTAAATGATTTTTATCAGTATGAAAAAAAATTCCTTAACCTTTTTGTTTTGCTGAATTTACCAAATAAAAATCTACTGAAAATTTATCTTGTGCACACACACACACACACACACACACAATATAAGTATTCACATATGGTTACCGTTGACAACCGAAGAATTTATTATTGATTTTCATCTTGAAACAAACAACAACAACAAGAACAAGAACCATGACAACAACAACAACAACAACAACAACAATGAATTCACATATAGATATGATCTATCTATCTTTTGACAGTGAGTGTGGAACAAATAAAAAAAAATACTCATACATCATCACCGAATTCAGATCAAATAGGAAAAAATAATGGTAATTATCCATTTCAAATTATGTAATTATCATGTGATTAAAATTTTTATTCATTCGTTTAAAAAGGGTCTACTTTCATTGTTGAAAAAATTCAAATCAACATCGAATCCTGAATTAAGAATTTTATTACTTGGTTTAGATAATGTGAGTTTTGGTTTGTTTGTTTGTTTTACTTATATTGGTTGATGCATTTTCCATCATCGAAATTTTATTTAAATTAAGGCTGGAAAAACGACCATATTAAAAAAATTGGCGTCCGAAGATGTTACCCATATAACACCAACACAGGGTTTTAATATCAAAAGTGTACAATCACCAGGATTCAAATTGAATGTTTGGGATATTGGTGGCCAACGTAAGATACGACCATATTGGCGAAATTATTTTGAAAATACCGATGTTCTGGTGTGTTTATTTTATCATGATATAATGAAATCATTTTCATACAATTTTCATTTAAATACAGATATACGTTATTGATAGTGCAGATAAAAAAAGATTTGCCGAAACATCGGTCGAATTGAATGAATTATTGAATGAAGAAAAACTAATGGGTGTTCCATTATTGGTATATGCAAATAAACAAGATTTGATCAATGCTGTTAGTGCTAGTGAATTAGCCGAAGAATTACATTTGATTGCCATAAGAGATCGTCCATGGCAAATTCAAGCATGTTCCGGTACATCAGGTGAAGGTCTTAAAGTAAGTATATATAATATAAGAGGAAAAATATTTTTCACTAAATAATAATAATAATTCTAAATAATCAAATCGATAAAGGATGGAATCGATTGGATCTGTAAGAATATAAATATGAAAACATCAAAATCATCTTCCGCATCATCATCAGTATCCAAATGAAATTTGAAAAATTATATATAGCAAACATCATCATCAACAATAACAACAATGTTATACAGCTCTTTAATGTGTTTTTTTAAATACTGTATGTAAAAACACTCAATGAATTTATATTCAACGATCGAAACATTATGTAATGAAATGATTTGAAACGAAATAAATTTGGAGAAAAAACGACGATTCTCTGATTGTTGAATTCCTGCTTTTTGTTTCATAAAAATAGTAAGAGGATTAATTTTTTTTTTCGTTAAAGCTACACAAACAAACAAACAAACAAATTTCTTAACTTTGCACAATTCATCATAATAGACAGTATCTTTTTTATAGTTTTAGGAAAAACATAATTTTTAAATCATAATTAATTAATGTATGCCTAAATTAGCAATAACGGCCATTGTATAATCGGTTGTCGATGCATAACCACCTAGATCTCTGGTTTTTACTTTACCGGTTTCAATAACACGGGCAATAGCCCGTTGAATTAGATCAGCATAATCATGTAGATGAACATGTCTCAATAGTTTTACAGCACATAATAACATGGCTGTTGGATTGGCAATATTTTTACCGACAGCTTCACCAAATGTATGACGAGCACCAGGTTCATAAATGACACAATCCGTGCTATATGATGCACCAGGTACAATACCGGCACCACCAACCAAACCCGATGCAAGGTTATCGATGATATTACCATAAAGATTTGGCATAACCATAACATCAAATTTGTCCGGATGCGATACCAATTGCATACAGGTATTATCGATAATCATTGAATCAAATGAAATCTGTGGATAAAGTCTCGATGTTTCTTCACAGCATTTTAAAAATAAGCCATCACCAAGTTTCATAATGTTAGCCTTATGAACACAAGTAACTTTCTTTCGTCCATGTTTTGTTGCATAATCGAAAGCAAATTTCGCGATACGTAAAGATTTTTCTTCGGTTATAATTTTCATGCATTCAATTACGCCGGGTACGCTTTCATGTTCGAGTGCACTATATTCGCCTTCGGTTTGTTCACGAATAACATAGAAATCTAGACCTTGATGTTTTGTTTTGATACCAGGAAAACTTCGTATATGAACTACATTTGCATACAGATCCAGATCTTTACGTAATTTCATATTTAACGTTTGTAATTCACCGGCATAGCTACTAAAGGGTGTCGATAAAATTCCTTTCAAAGCGATTCCATTTCGTTGTATTGATTCGATAACAGTTTCAACTGAAACACTCATCGATGGATAAATCTCACTGTAATTATGTAAATGTATGATTAGAAATTGAGCACATTTAATAATATCGTTACCTGAGAAAAAGTTCTTCAAATTCAATGGGAACACCTAATGCAGAAAATACCTCTTTAACCGAGGCTACAAGTTCAGGACCGACACCATCACCGGGAATTAGTGTGCATTTAATTTTCTTTTCGTTGTCACTGGTTTCTGAAGCTGAGGGTGGTGGTGGTGGTGGCGGTGCACGAAATTGTTGACTAGTATGATAGATAGTGCGAATATTTTGTGAATGCTTCATGTTGATAATTTTTATTTAATCACAAAAAAACAAAGACAGAAATAGACGACACACAAAGATAAGAAAAATGGTGAAAAGAAAAAAAACGACAGATTAAATAATCAGATTTGGCATGAAAAAAACATACACAGAAAAAGACTTGGACAAAAAATAAAATACTAACTTTTTGCAATGATGTTTGTCGTGTAATGAAATAATTTCTTAACAAAACATTACCAATCGATCGTAATGATTTCATAATTATTATTATTATATACTTGAATTATTTTTGAATTCTAATAAATATTCAGAATTGAAAATGGCATAAAAAATGAACAGATTTTGATCTTTAAGAATTTTTTTTTTATAGTATTGAAGAATGTGTTGAAAATAACTACCAATGTTATGTGTTTGACCTGAATGCAATATAATCGAATGTGGATGGATGAGAGACGAAAACCATCGATATATCGCGATATGATTTTCGAGCACACGATGTGAATTCATATTCCGCATGTGTATCATGGTGTGATATATAGAATGTGCAAAGAAATTCAACCCCTTACCACTAGAGGGTAGTACAATTATATAAAGTTTATTCGAATTTCTTTTTTGTTTTAAATTAAATGATGATTGAATTTGTGAATCCTATATTTAAGACAATTATTTCGATTTTTTTTTTGAAAACCATTCAATTAAATTGAGATTTCAAGCTTTATAATTTCTTAGATGCTTGAATGGTTAGTCAATAGTGAAATCATCTTGAAATGGTTAACATTGAACAAAATGAACCTTGATAATAATTGATTTTTGCTCCCAACGTCCATACAACTTATGATAATCGAACTGAATTTGGTCTAACCTGATCTTTGCTATTACTGACTGTTAATGACTCAAGTCGATATAGAGAGAAAGGAAAAGATTCACACGCAGAGTCCTACAAAACAATTTCCGTTTCAACAACGACTAACAATGTTTTTTCGATCATTTCGATCTATCCATCCATATTATTGTGAATATACATCCTGGAAGTTGTTGACTTAATATATGACATATCGTATATCGATATTATCGACAGATTTGTATGTATGTAACCGTGACTAAGAGGAGGTGAAAAAAAAGTTAAAAATTCGAACATGTGTCCAATAATGCCTTGGGACAACAATACAACGATTCAATACAGATCATAGGTGCAGTTTCTCTTTGTCTCTCTATCTATTTTTTTCAAAAGTTTTTGTATTCGAGTTAAAAGGTCCCTGTGCATTTTTTTCCATCTCTTTATGTGTGTGTGTGTGTATATTTGTTTGCCTAATATACAGACCCTACGGTTTTTTTCCACAGAAAAAACGGATGTATGACACACTTAGTGATTTAGACGAGAAAAATAAAGGGCCCGGCCCTTATTATTGGAACGGAAATTGATAAATCAAATCTTCTCATCGGATGTAGCCCAATACAATAATAATAATAACAAGAACGAAAAAAATAAAATAAAAATAAAACCGGAAAACTTAAATACAATGGACTAAATTGTCACACGAATAGCACTTGTTGTTATTGTTGTTGTTATATTTTTTTTTACTGTTTGCTGTTAACATCCTCAATACATCAAAAATTGGGATGTGTCCATCATCATCATCATCATCAATTGAAGGTCATCCGGCGGCATATGGGTTGATCAACTTTCAATTTGAATTTTTCGTTTCTTAATAAAGATTCGCCCATCACCATCCGATTGTTGGTGGTTCCGTTCCGTTATAATTTGTATCTACTACTAATAATAATACAAATGAGGGAACATAAAAACAGAAAAAAATACAAGAGAAAAACTTTCATTTTGAATCATCATGATAACTAGATTTCTTTTGTTTGTCATCATTATCATTATTATTTGTTAGGCTGTTCTTTTCACTTAAGAAGAATATTCAAAAATAACCATTATAATGATTATCATCATTGCAACAACAACAACAACAACGAAAAAAACAATCAGACGATGACTCGCCCAAAAAAAACAAAAGTTGTCAGTGACAAATCTGGAAAAAAACCTTCCGACCACCATCTATATCGAGTTGGCCTGGTAACGATGATGATGATGTTACAAATATTCTTAGATATGAAGCAAGTATGTGTATATGTGTAAGATTCATTCCATGGGAAGGGATGTGTTCTTGTTTTTTTTCTTTTGTTATTACTGGTGTTATTATTATTATTGTCGTCTTTGCTTACGGGCTATTTCCGGACAATGACAATTTTCTTTTTCTTTTTTTGTTTCTTGTCCAATCATTTCTTGTCAGTGTGTGATGATCATCATCATCACCACCCTCACCAAGTATAACAATGGTTATCATTGATGGTTTTTTTTGTTTGTTTATTGTTGATTATTTTTGTTTTATTTTCTGCTTAATCATTTTGAATAAATAAATAAATTGATTCTTATTATAGTCATCATCATTTTTCTAAGATAAAATTCGGAAGCACTGAAATTCGATGCGAATTTTTTTTTTTTTTTTTGAAACAGAATTTTTCTGTCTGTTGATTATATATATCAAAATGAGAAAATTCTCTTATTTGAAAAATTGCTAATGACAATTTGAAATAATCTATGGCTCATTTGACATACGATAATGTCTTTTCGATGGTGGAGATGTGTTTGTGTGTGTGTGTGGATGACAGATGTTCGTATCTATATAATCAACAGCAAATATATTATATTATTCATACAACCATGCAACAGATGATCAAATAATTTTTGACCAGTTGTTTTTGGCCAATGTTCAAGTTAGCATGGACCTGCTGTCTGACGCGTGGCTAACTTTGTTCCAGAAAAAAACCTTCTGTTTTTTTTTTTTTTGTTTCATTATTATATTCCACACACATTTGAATCGAATATTCATATTATATGTGGACCATGTGCCACGCGTCTCCAGAGACAGATGTGTGTGTGTGTGTGTGTGTGTGTGTGTGTGTGATGATGATGGTTATAAGGGCTTTTTTTTGGAACTGGTAAACAGCTTGTGCCACGCGACTAAATCTTATTATTTTAAAATAATGGACAATCAATGTTTTTCTCTCTCTCTCTCTCTTCATATATCCAGATGACGATACCAACAAAATGCTAATGGCAGATGTGTGTGCCAATGCCAACAACACATGGCCTTTTTTCATTCATTTATTTCTTTAGTTTTTGACCTTTTATAAAAGCAACAGATGCTAATATATAACATTCTCTAATCTATAAACATTTTGGTTTCACTATAAACCTTGTGTGTTTACATTCATATATAACATTGATTATCAGGATCGATCCAAAAAAAACGATCACCAAAAACTATGACCTTTTTGTGAAATCCAAATACAAGGCACGCGTCATCAATTTGAATCAATTCGTTTTTTTTTGTTCACATTCTGCTAATTCATCCATATTGGTCTGATGAACTTTTCGTTCGTTCGTTCGTTCGTTCATTCATTCATTCATTCATTCATTGAAGCTAAAATTAACATTGACACATCCATATGAGGGGTCATTATACTTGAAAAAAAAATTGTACATGTCTATATATGGATAATATTCGTGTGTGTGTGTGTGTGTGTGTGTATGGAAATTATTTTTTCATCATCACCAAAATATCAAGTTTTTATAAATGTTTACCATGTTGATTTTTTCAAAGATTTTTTTTTCTTGGATCAATTCGGCGGACAAACACACACACACACACACGAATATGTCATTTGTCTCGGTGATTATGAATCACCATGGCGATAAAAGACACACAATAACAAAAATGATAAATGAGTCAACAACAACAATAATAATAATAATTTATCATTGATATTTTGATGATAATAATATTCTTTGTATGTATGATAAACAATAATAGAAAAAGAAAAATTCATATTTGATTTTCTCATGATCTCATGATCTTTATTGTTAACTACCTGGATATAGTTGAATTTGATTATCAAAATACAAAATACTCATAGGCATATTGATCACCAACACGAGCATCAACATCACACAAACACACACACACACAGGGTCCGTTCAATATTCAATTTCACCAAACAGGGCGTGTTACTTCCGTTCATCATCATCATCATGATGAGGATCGTTATTATCAAAAAAAGTCCTAGCGGTTTTTCGTTGTTGTTGTTGTTGTCGTCGGTGCTTACACTCCCTTTCAATCTCTATGTCCATAGTAATAATAATAATTGTACAAAAAACACAACCGTCGTCTATGATGTATGTTTTTCATTCGATGCTATATTTCCGAACCGTAGATTTTTAAAATCGAAACACACATAAGGTCTATATGTCATCAATGTCATATGTGCATATATGCATGTAAGTGTGTGACCACCGCCAGATTTCCTTCTTTTTTTTTTCTTTGTCAATTTTATATTTCGCCAACAACAACAACAACAACTAACAGCTAACAATAAGGACAGACGATGATCGTTTTTGTTGATGAACGACATTTGTTCAGTAGACCGTAGTATTTTCTCTCTCTCTCTCTCTCACTCTGTGATACTATAGTAAAGTAAAACTTTTGAATTATTTTTTTTCAATGAATGAATCATGCTCTTTGGTGAGAGAAAGAAAGAGCGCAGAGAAAAGATGACGATTAACCAAAAAAGAAAAAAAAAACTGACTGGCCCTGTTTCTGGTCGATGATGAAAATGGAATAAGAAGGATCGTTGTCGTTTATTTAAACCATCAGTTGAATTTTGTTTGCCATTACGAACGGTCGGTCATTCATCGGGATCGTTGATTATATTTTGAATTTTAACTTTGAAAAAATTTTTATTTTCACCCACAACAAAGTTATTCTCATCTCATTTCTTAAATTATTTTACAACAAAATTCGTTAATTCAACAACGAAAAAAAAATGAAACTTTTGAAAAAAATTCGTCGTATAGGTAAGTTATTGATTGATTATTGAAATGAAATTTGACACATTTTCTACCTTAATCTCAATGATATTGATACACTTATTGTATTGGGAATATATTTCGAAAAAATGGGTTTTTTTGTGTGTCTTTCTTTTCTATTCTATTCTATTTTTTTGTCACTCGAATATAATTATGATGACGATGATAATGATGATGTCTATAATCTCATCATCATCATCTCTATAGAGCCGTATCTCCGTATTGTAGTAGCAACAGACATATTTTGTCAACTTCAAAACACAGTATTTTGCCATTGCATGTATGTCAATTAATTTGACATTTCCGTTTGAAACAAGAAGAAGAAAATCTTTGTTATTTGTTAGTTAGTTGGTCGTGATTGTCTTAGTCGAAATTTTTTTTTGCTCCTTATGTGAAGAAAAAGATGATGACCGACAAATCTTTAATCGTTTATGCGCTTGTATGAGAGAGAAAGAGATTGACACGAATGAACACACAAACACACATGACCGAGGGCATAGTCCAATTCTCATGGATGAGCTTCACTGATGATGATGATAGAAACACATACGGAATAATTACCCAAAATCATCTTTGAAAACTAATTATAATCAACAATTGTTTTTTTTTTTTATTATTTTTTTTATGAATGAATGAAATTTTAGCTTCACAAAAAAATCTTTCATGTACAACACAACAACAAATTGCCACGAATAACCTGACACCGATTGGTTTCCATTCAGTACATGGTGAGAATATTCGTATTACAGGAAATGGAATGATTGCCGAACGTGTTGGTAGCTATTGTCGTGGTATCTGTTTCAGTAATCGTCCTGTACGTTATAATGAACATATCTCTATACGTATTGTGGAAATGTCTGATTTTTGGAGCGGTGTATTACGATTTGGTTTCACAACAAAAGATCCTTCTACATTAAGAAATTCATTGCCTAAATATGCTTGTCCAAATCTTACAAATTGTGGTCATACATTTGCAAAAGCATTACCAGAAAGATATTCACATAAAAATTGTATATTATCATTCTATCTATCAACAAACGGAAATGTTCATTATAGTATAAATAATGTTGACAAGGGTATTATACTTGAAAATGTTAAAATTAATAATGGACCATTCTGGGCCGTCATCGATCTTTATGGTAATACACAGAAAATTGAACTAATTGGTATGTATAATAAACTGTCATTCATTCATTCATTCAAAATCAAGGCAACAGGAAATATCAATTTTCTTCACATGCCATATTTTGTTTGTTCTATTTTTTTTTATCTCACTTGTTCATTAATTCTTGTCTTGTCTTGTACTGTCCTGTTATTTAGATCCACGATATCAGCCAAATAATAGCTGTAATAAAAACATGTACATTGAACCTGAACGTTTGTACACATCCGTTTCAATGATGGATTTACCGAATGAAATGTCACATGAACCATCACCACAAATTTATTCAAATAAATTTCTTGAACAATCAATTCAATTCCATAGAACTCGTGGCTGTAATGTACGGCTTTCAAGTAATAAATGTGTTGCTGAACGCAATAGTAATCATTATTCACAAGGCTATGTATTCACACAACGACCATTAGCTATTGGTGAAAAGATTGTATTACAAATTTTGCGTACAGATGAAATGTTTACTGGAAGTTTAGCATTCGGTCTTACATCATGTAATCCGAATTTTTTGAATGTTGCTGATTTACCTGAAGATTCACATCATTTATTGGATCGTCCAGAATATTGGACTGTAATTAAAGATGTTGCCAATTCACCGATGGCTGGTGATGAAATTGCATTCACCATAACTGAATCTGGTGAAGTTATAATGACGAAAAATCGTCAACGTCCAATCACATTGATGCATGTTGACATAAGCCAAAATTTATGGGGTTTTTTCGACCTATACGGCAGTACGATCAAAGTTCGATTACTTGGTTCACAAACAATAAATCATCATAAATCACAAATGAATCTTGCCAACCATCATTCCATACAATCAAATCGACCATTAATGAATGCCATATCAATGTATAATGTTTATAAATCCTCACAAATGGAATATTCTATAGCATTAAATCATAATCATAATCATAATCATCATCATCATAACCAACATCAATCATATCATACAAAACAGAAACCAACCATAATGACAACACAACAACAACAACAACAAAACTGGCCATACGTTACATATCCGACAATACAACGAGAAAATAAAGCAAATGCAAACAAAAAAGCATATCATCAACATAATTATAATTATAAAAATAATGATTATCATCATGTTGATGGTAAATTGTATAATCAAATTTCAAAAAGTTTAACAAATTCAACATCATTATCATCATCATCATCATCATCAACAACATCATCGCCATCAACAACATTCGGTAATGAATGTGTTGTTTGTTATGAAGAACCAATCAACAGTGTATTCTATACATGTGGACATGTTTGTATGTGTTTTAAATGTTCGGTAAAACAATGGCAAACATCTGGCCATTGTCCTATTTGTCGTGCAAAGATTGTCGATGTTATACGAACATACTGGTCATAATTAATTATCATCATCATCATCATCATAATGAATAATGGGCAATTTTTTTTTATCATAAACTATTTATATATGAAATTTTTCTTTTTCAAATGTCATAATTATAATTTTTCTTTTTTTTTCCATATCGATGTGTAAAAAACTAGTCATTGTAAAAGTAAAAAAAAAAAAAAAAAAAGTTATCACCATCATTTTTTTCAAATCATAATCGTAATAATAATAATATTATTTATTCATTCTAATATATGAATTGGTAAAAAGATTTTGATTTTTGGAACAAAAAAAAATGAAATCCCAAAAAATAAAAAGATCAAAGTGTGAAAATATAAATAAACACTCACACAAACAAACAAACAAACAAAAAAACGGCCAAACCATTTGTTAATATATATAAATGTAAAGTAGAAAAAAAAACAGCAATCATAAGTGTATTATAAAGGTAAAATATTGATGAAATTTTTTGTTTTTGTTTTCCTGTGTTATCATCAATACCAAAAAATCATTGATTCATTCGGACCATATATATGTTAAAAAGCTCGACGTAGAATAATTGTATAACCAATTCCGGCACCCAAAATCAATGAAAGTATATTGGTCAAAAATAATAATGAAAGTACTTCTTTCGAAAGGATACCACGTCGTATTATCCATTGACGAAACGTTGGACGAGTTTTACGATTTGGTTGTATATTATTCCATTCTCTACAGAAAAAAAACAGATATAGAATAGAAATGAATGAATTCAATGAGAAACATTAATAAATTAGCACATACTTGGACAATGGATCACGATTGCTCCAATCCCATATCCAATCCGTACTCAAATGACTTCGATCATTATGTTCCTAAATTCGTTATTTGGTTGGCATATAAAAAAAAATTTAGAAATTATCTCGTTTGGCTATTTGTTATTATTACATTATTATTAAAATAGATGCTATTCGGAGGTGTTTGCAAACCGTCAGGCGTAATCGGTAATGAACCCAAAAATGAACCTTTCAATGATGAATGTCCTGTTTGGCTTTCTTTTTGTGCATCCAACAATAATTTCTCCAAACTTTGTAGGGTTGGTCCATTGTTTTTGACGAGGATATGAAGTGGTGTATCACTGGGCGAATATGTGGAATTTTCATTTATATCGATCCAAGAATCTAAAATGAATGATCAAAAACAATTGTGAATTACATCATCGAAAGATCAACAAAAAAAAAAAAAAATGACCATACCATTTAAAGAAACGACATCATCGCTTTTGGGCGTGGAAGCCATTTTATTGTCTATTGCCACTTGTTTTTAATACAAACTTAAAATTTTTCCAGAAAACATTGAAATTTTCAAACAAAAATTGAAAACGAAACAAAAAAAAAATTCAGAATCAAAATTTTCAAGATTATATCACTCAATTTGATACAAATGTTTCTTTTTGCGCGTTTTTCTTTCTCTCTCTCTCGCTCTATTGGCTTTGTCGTTAAAGCTGAAACCTTATATAATGAAGAGCTGCCAAAATAAAAACATTTCTCTCCAACGCGTATTAAAAAAAAAACCAAACAGAAAAAAAAAAATAACTGTCTATAGACAACGCATGCGTTCAAAAAATAAAAACAACAAAAAAAATTGACAACATTCGATTGTTAAATGCGTACTTTTATCGTCATCACTATTTTTTTATATAAGTGGAATTGATTCAATTTTTTTTTAAATTAAATTTCTCATGATGTGTTTTCATATATAGTGCACACATTATCACGCGACAATGATAATCATGATGATGATACGGATAATATACCTGATGGTAAAAAAAATTCGTTGGCCAAAATTATTTTTGTACAATAAAAGGTTTATAATGAAAACAGACAAATTAAGTGGAGAAAAAAAACCAGAAAATTTTATATTTGTGAATATCAAATGAAAATAATCATCATTGAATGAAATATAATGTTTGATAATGATACTAATAATACTATAATTCTATCGTGGATGGGTAAAATGTCGTGTACTACAATACAATGTTGAAAAAATAATGTTTAATAATCAAAATCAAATTTTTTTTATATTTTAATGGTTGAAAAAAAATTTATGGTAAAAAAGCTGGTCGTTTTTGCATTGTTCTAACATTGGATGATAATGATGAATAGTCATTACTATTATTACAATTCAATACGATACGATTCTTTGCTCGATTACGAACAAAATCCACAGATTTAGATCGTCGTCGATGTTCACGTGTACGTAAAGTAATTGCTGCTTTGGTCAATGGTGTATGCAGATTCATATGTGGAAGATTATTTTCTACATCGATCATCGTCGAATTGGAAGGGACTCTCAACTATGAGGAATGGATTAGTTAATTTTCAATATTTAGTTGATTGTTAATCAATATAATTACCTGAAAATTTATTTCCGCTTGATCGACATGTTTGAAAATATCATCATAAAGATTACGTTTGGCAATCTTTGCCGGTAGTGGCTGATCATTTGAATCATGTTTATTCAATTTTAACTGATTAATTGATCGTGGTGAAAATGGAATTCGTTTGTCTTTTTTGTTTGATAAAACATCTGCAGTAATTTTTTTAGCACTATTCGTAGTATTTGTGGTTTTCGAATTTTTCGCTACATTCGTAATCGTTTTACAATCTTTAAGCTGTTCCCAATTTGTTTCAAAATATCTATCAATATCAATACCATATGTATTGAATGGGATATTTTTTTCGGTTTCAATCAATGTGATCAAAGTTCGAATCTCTTTTTCTAATTTGGGTAATTTTTTCGAACACATTTTACGATCACGTTCCATCTGTAACAATGCACCACCACGATTGTTGAAACGATTAGGATCGGTGGATTTCTTTTCTAATTCTATCAAACGTTCCATAGATTCTTCAAATTCGATAAATTTTTCAAAAACTTCTCGATATTTATCATAAAAAATTTTCAAATCATTAAATTCGGTTTCCAATTCGTTAAGCAATTCTTCAGTATATTCTTGTGAATCCATTAGGTAACCATCGAATCGAGATACACGACATTTTTCGAAAAGTACTTTAATTTCCAGACGAACATTTTTGATTATTTTTTCGATACTATTCTTTTTTAGAATCTCATATTTGGTAATTTCTGCATCCAATATCTGTTGCTTTCGTGGTAAAGTACCGGCCAATTTCATTAGGAAAATATCTCGTTCTTGATGATCAATATCTAATCGATTGTAAAGTTGTTGCAATATTTCAAGTTGTTTTTCAATATGTGTTTTAGAAGCTTCAATTGAACTGGATAATTTGTTTAAAAATGTCATCAATTTGTTAACATATGATTGTGAGAAAATAATCTCCTCTTTTTTCAATATGATCAACATTTTTTCATCATCATTTTCAGGTTCATATTCAAGTTCGTTGATAAATTTTATTAATGAAGGTCTTAATGATTCATATTTCATTTTTCGATCAGATAAAATTTTTTCCCGATCACGTAATATTAATTCCAAACTTTTTAGTTCCATTTCACTTGGAATGTCAGTAGCAAATTTGGTTGGTTGATAAATCTCGCCAAGTAGATGGATTATTTTCTTTAATTTATTCTCCAAACTTTCCAATTTAAACATTCGTTCATTTTTTACGACCAATAATTCATTATATTTTTTCTGCAATATCTTATTTTGCATAATCAATGTTTGTACATCATCAGATAGCTGAAATGATGGTAATGATAGATCAGTGAGAATTTTATTTACTTCTTTTAATTTATATTCTCGATATTTAAGGCCTTCATCACGAAAATCACGATTTCTGGCAACTAAATTATCAGCTAAATCGATGAATTGTTGACTAATTTCTAATGTTCGTTGTTCACGATAAGAATCAGGAAAGCCAACAAATCGCCATATTTCACCAATTTCATTGAATTTACTTTTCAAATTTTCCGATAATTCTTCGGAAAGATAATCAGCAAAACTATAGTGAAAAAAAAATGAATCTTTTGTTAAAAAACAAATTCAAACAAAAAAAAAATATTCACTTACACTGATGGAAACGAAAGATTCATGGACGTATCGTCCTGTTCGAAATCAATCCAATCAACATTGGTCATTTTGTGATTCAAATGTGATGTGATGATGATGATGATGATTAATTTAATTTGATAAATTCAAAACAAGAATTTTTTCTTTATTCACTTAGGTGGATTTCAAAAAAAAAAAAAAATTAAATATCAGACCACGAAAACTAAAGAAATTATGAAATCTTTCCACTGCAAAAATAATTTTTTGTGCTATATGTACAAAGACAAGAGTGACGGTTGTGAAAACAACTCAATGTATGAGCACATAACAAATTTTAAACGGTCGCCATAATCAAACCTGATTGGCTGATTGTAAGTACGAATACACTGCACACGCGCATTTTGCATCTTTTTTCAACCATATCAATCAGCTTCGCCGCATTAAATGCCAAGTTAATACACAGTGCAAGCACTTGGCGAGTGTAAAAATTGCAGTTACACACATCCTAAGCGACATATTTAATGAATGAAATGATATGATATTATATCAAATACCGAAATGTAACTATCAAAATTTTAAAAAGGTCATCATAAATCATTTTGGAGTGCTAAACAACAATGATGATATCGATAATGATCAAGATGGTCATCCAATTCAACAACAATCAATGGTTACAAAAATGGCCATCATGAATCGTCATCATCCTGCTACACTGATTGATTCACCAAATATGATAATAATGTCACCACAATTACAGCATCATAATTTTCAACACCATCAACAACAACAACGGAATATTGTACATGTGCCACCAAGTTTTTTAATCTGTAATCAAACATCCATGAATGCAAATATTCCACCATCATCATATCATCAAGTAGCAGCAACAGCTGCATCGCCACAACAAATACCAATTTCAATACCAAATTCACGATCATTTGATGCTGCTACTAATGAAATTTGTGATGATTCGCATACATTTAATTTATACATTTGTACATGTAATAAATTACGATGTTCCACATAACATCGTTATAATCGTATCGAATAATATGTTCGCAGCTATGATTGAGGAATGGACACTATTGAAATATTATAAAGCTTTATTGATCAAGTATACGCAGATCATAGATCCCAGATACTCGATGGATAATGATAATTTAGGATGGGTTTAAATACTAGATAACAATCAATTAGAAACATTGATTAGGTTATAACATTCATTAAATCAAAGTTGAACATTCTATTTAAAATATACAAACATCACAACTTTGATAATTAACATTCCAAAACAATCATGTTTTGGATTTTAAATGTTACATACATTTATATATTTCATTTTTCATTGTTTCTTCTTTTGAAATAAAATGGTTATTGAATTTGTTTCAAATAGTTTGATTTTTATAATCTTTTTTTATCATCTGAATATATGTTTTTCAATAAAAATAAAAATTGATAACAACAAAAATTTTGAAACAGTATTGAAATATAATACAAACATAGGATGTCAAAGAAAACGTTGATCGTGCGATTTTGAAAATGATTTTTGTAAGGGGTAAACTGGACATAAACATCTTCATTAAATAGAAAATAATTCCAATATATAAACCGAATTCGGAAAGTTGATTTCAGGTTAAACTCAAATGAAATTCTTAACGATAATTTAATAATCTAATTTACCAATTTTACCATTTAATATACACTCATACCCCGCTTAACGCTGCCCCGTTTAGCGCTGATTCGATATAACGCTGTATAATTACCCTACATTGCATTACATTGTTACATTGTATATGAAGGGTAAAAATGCATTATGTAAAGATAGCCCCGCTTAGCGCTGTTTCGCTTAACGCTCAGAATTTTTGGAACGTAACCCCCGCGTTAAGCGGGGTATTACTGTAGTTAGATTTGTTGAACCCGATATCGATTCTATTCAAAATTTTCAAAATAATGTCATTGACATTATAAAATTAATTAAAAGTGATTTACTTAGTGAAAATAACTTATTTCGATATTTTATACCAGAGAATATTTGGAGAAGAATTTTACAAAAATTGATCCGATCCTCCAATATTCGTAGACGGTTCAATAATCTATTCCCGAATGGTATTCAAGGCATAGGCAAAATCGGTGAATCGGACCATTTAATAGTAAGTTTTTTAATAGAAAGATTCTAAATCAATTCCTTGATATATTTCAATTTCTTATCACCAGGAATATCTTATTAAAAAAGTTAGGAACCAGAATTCAATCAAAAATCGTGAAACGAGAAAAATAAATTTAAGGAGAGAAACAACATCTGATGATGATATCGATGAATTGGAAACTATCATGACAACCCAACCATTGAACAAATCGACGAATAATGTAGTAATCAGAAAGATCAAAGCTTATTATTCAGTGATAAGTTTTTTTTTTGAAATAATTGGAAATTGATTCTTTAATATATTTGAATTTATCATGAACAGGTGATTAGTCCAATCGGTAGTGATGATTAATGTTTGGGTGATCAATTAATGGGAAAAAGATGCCTCAATTATCATTTGTAATCATCTATGTTTTATATTTGTAAAACTAAATAATTGTAATCTCATATTTATATCGTATACATTTCATTTATACATTGTAAAATCTTCATAATCCAATTAAAAATCATTTTAATTGATTTTTTGTCGGTACAAAAAAAAGTAGATATAAATTGCCTAATAACAAGAAAAGGGAGAAAAAACGAAGAATCAAGTGTGTATTTGTTTGAGTGTATTGTATATGTGAAAACATAATTTTGTGAAGTTAAAATATGTTTCTTTGTTTTGGGTGAAGTCTTGTAATGTGTGAATATTTTGTAATTTTAATTCTATTTTATTATTATATTAATTAATTTAATATTAGTGTAGTGTAAACATTCGAGGAGTAAGTGATTTGTGTCCTGTGTTGTGTTTGAACATGTACATGTGGAACGTTGTATTCTGTATAGATATTGTTGAAAGTGTCCGTTGCCTGTGAAAAATTGTGTAGTGTAAAAGTTGGGTTTTATAAATTTTGGAATTTTTGTGTTTGAAAAATTTTTTTGAAAAGTCTCGTTGGTTTTTGTGTGTGTATGTGTGAATGCGTCTTTTATTAAAAACGTAGATGATGTATACTATACATTGTATACATTCTGCCTAACAAGCTAACAAGCTTATAGGCTTCTATCTCTTTTCAACGGATAATGGAGCATTTACGATCATCTATATTCAATAATTTTCCGGTTATCTTTTTAGCTTCCTCTTCTTTAGTCAAAGCTTTTCAATTTTTCTTGATCAATCCTATCATCATTATTATCGTCAATTTCATTTTTCTTTGACTTAACTTTTTCTGCTTCTCTATATGTTGTTCGAATAATGATTTTTCTTGATCCTTTTTCTTCTTGTCGTTTATCCGTGTTAATCATTGATGATAAAATTTCAGTATTATTAGCTCGTGCTATGATTATTGCAATTCATTCTGGAAATTGTACGCCTTCCTCTGTTCATTGTTCATTAATTATCGAAGTTGACGGTGTCGCAAATAAAAGTGAATCTTTATTAATAAAATATTGGAAAAAAATAGTTGAAGCAATTGATAATTGATAACTTTAGAAAATACAATAAATTAGTGATGATTAGTCAGTCGTAGCACATTCGTCACTTTTCATCGTCCAAAAACCCAGTGACTGCTGACAAAACGCCGAGCTAATCTTTTTCCATCGTCATCGCATCTTTTACTGCACGTGCACTTCCTATGCTTCGTTAATATCACGTTATTTGTTTTGGGGTTGTTCATAAGATACATCTCCTAGACCAGGGGTCGGCAACTGCGCCCCCTGTTCAATAGAGCTCTATGGGAAATGCGGCTCGCGAGCCGCAGGTTGCCGACGCCTGTCCTAGATATTTGCACCAATGGTAATGAAACTTTTTTTTGTAAAACTTATTGTATACTATAGAATCTATTAGTATATAAAGTATTTTGTAACTTGGGGGAAAGATAGGTAAGGGTCTCCCCATTTTATAATGTGTGTAACGTGGGTTGTGAACGTGTAATGGTAATAAGCCAGTTGCGACACTACAGGCGCATAAAGGAGTTAATTATTAACTGTTAACATGCAATGTCCCCTCTACGGGGACATCCGAGTGCAAAGGGTTAATTGCTCTTTGTTCTTTATTGAATAAAAAACAGTTTTTTGTTAATTTGAAAATAAATCATGGTATTTTATTTGAGTGGTTTTGACAAGGAGAAACATTACAAATAAAGTTTCAATTTATGATTTGCTCTTCAATTGCTATATTCGCACTAGCAGGGGATCTTTTACCCAATGTGCCGGTGCAATAGGAATTTTTAATAAATGAATGGCAACATTTATAACCCCATTTTCCATTTTCCCAATATGACCCAAATACGGTTGTATGGCTGTTGATAAATTCATCTTCTTTATAAATAGATCGTATTGATGCTCGATTTTCGCCCTTAATTACTTGGCCACTACGAGAATATTCAACATAATCCTCGGTTTGAGCGAAAATCAATTCTTTTGGTGGCGCTTCTAAATATTCTTTACCACCATATTTATTTAGGATAGATTCTTTGATCGTTTCTTTCAAATCATTCATTTTTAAATCCAATTCTCGATGAATTATCTCAGCTTTTGTAGGTTCAGCCTGTAGATGAATATCCACACCTTTTTCGGACATTTCCCAAGCGAACAATTGAGCTTGGGACACTTTTTGTGTTTCACCAATATATCGAATAAAATTATCACCAGCATAATGCAATTCTTCGGGTGTTTTTCCAGTATGTTTGTATGGATTATCACGCATAGATCGAGTTTTAGGATCATAATAAGCAGAATCAATGTCCAAATTTCGAAGATATTTGGCCGTATCTTCCCGAATTCGAAGATTACGAACAGTGATACGCTGTTTACTATCGACTTTAGTTCCAGGCATGTCAATATGATCGGCATATTTTTCGTCTTCATCAGAATCGGAAGCATCAGAATTTCCTTCAGTATTTATCAAATCTTGTTTAAGTTTTTCTTCTTTTAAAATCTGTTTGGCCTCTTCTACTTTACGATGTTCTTCAATTACCGAACGATACATGACTGGATCATAACCATTCCAACGATCACGTTTACCATCATAATCATATTTAAGTTTGGGCAATAGTACATCATCTGGAACTATATCTTCACCGGTGTATTTGGCCAATTTTGATCTTGGTCGTTCAAAACATTCTTTTTTCTTGTGTCCTATAGCTCCACAATTTTCGCATGCTCCTTTACGGAATTTCGTGGCCGTACGACCTTTTAGACCACGTGCAAAATTATCATGCAATGTTGCGTTATTTTTGTTTTTATCATCAAAAACTTTTTGATGTTTAAGAGTTGGGCCGGCTGCACCATAATACCAAGGTGTTGTACTTATATACTGTGGTATATGAGGATTGATATCCCTGAAAATACAAGTTTATTATAAGTGAAATTGTTATCATGAAACAAAAATGATTTATTTACTTACTTTCCCTCTTCATCAACTTCGGCAGGAGCTTGGCCAAGTTTACGAGCTTCTTCAAGCTCTTTAGCCTTTTTCCAATCTTCACGTGAACGCTTTATCGGCTCATCATTGTCCGAACTTTTAATGATCTCGGACACAGGTCTCGATGGTACATTCATTGTTTTGACGATGTATTTTGTTACGAAAATATATTTAAATCAATTATATTCGACTCAAAATTCTATTATGCAGCCATGAATACACTCAAGGTGGAAATAGTCGTAATTATAAACTGTCGATATCTTTTTTACCTCTTTTGAAATTTTAAATTTTACAACGAAAAATGGATCATAATTCATCGGAAAAGCTTCATGTTTTAGATCAGATTGAGAATCAAATCTATCAGATGATGCAATTTGGAACGGCTGCATTAAATGAATTCAGTAAGGATAAGCCTAGCATCAAGAATGTAGAAAGTCAAGTGAGCCAATTTGTCAAGTTTCTCGAAATGGTTGATAATAATGTGAGCAAACAGCTACAATATTTATCGCAAGTAAGTACTTTACAACCACATGAAGGTTCAACTTATTCGACAATGAAAATAAATCAATTGGCCATGCTACGTTTGGAACATGTTCGATCTTGTTTAACCGAATTGGAACATCTGAAAAAACAGCATCAAATACAGCTGCAAAAATATCAAAGTTCTAAAACAGCCAAAATAGAGCCAAATCAAGATGATCCAATGGACAATAAAGTATCATCACATCACCAACAACAACATTCCTAAATGAATGAAATTTGTAAATAATGATTTCGTTATTTAAATGAAAAAATAAAATAATGATGATGAATAAAGATAAAAATTAATTTCGTTTTTATTGTCAATTAACAAAAATAATAAGGACCAGTAGAAATAAAAATCATCAAGTACTAGTCAATGTCAAGAGTTCGGTGGCACTTCCAAATAATCTTTACCACCATATTTATTTAGGATAGATTCTTTGGTTGTTTCTTTTAAATCATTCATTTTTAAATCCAATTCTCGATGAATCATCTCAGCTTTTGTGGGTTCAGCCTGTAGATGAATATCCACACCTTTTTCGGACATTTCCCAAGCGAACAATTGAGCTTGAGACACTTTTTGTGTTTCACCCATATATCGAATAAAATTATCACCAGCATAATGCAATTCTTCGGGTGTTTTTCCAGTATGTTTGTATGGATTATCACGCATTGATCGAGTTTTAGGATCATAATAAGCAGAATCAATGTCCAAATTTCGAAGATATTTGGCCGTATCTTCCCGAATTCGAAGATTACGAACAGTGATACGCTGTTTACTATCGACTTTAGTTCCAGACATGTAAATATGATCGGCATATTTTTCGTCTTCATCAGAATTTCCTTCGGTATTTATCGAATCTTGTTCAAGTTTTTCTTCTTTTAAAATCTGTTTGGCCTCTTCTACTTTACGATGTTCTTCAATTACCGAACGATACATGACTGGATCATAACCATTACAACGATCACGTTTACCATCATAATCATATTTAAGTTTGGGCAATAGTACATCATCTGGAACTATATCTTCACCAGTGTATTTGGCCAATTTTGATCTTAGTCGTTCAAAACATTCTTTTTTCTTGTGTCCCATAGCTCCACAATTTTCGCATGCTCCTTTACGGAATTTCGTGGCCGTACGACCTTTTAGACCACGAACAAATTTATCATGTAATGTTGCATTATTTTTGTTTTTATCATCAAAAACTTTTTGATGTTTTAGCGTTGGGCCGGCTGCACCATAATACCAAGGTGTTGTACTTATATACTGTGGTATATGAGGATTGATATCCCTGAAAATACAAGTTTATTATAAGTCAAATTGTTATCATAAAACAAAAATGATTTATTTACTTACTTTCCCTCTTCATCAACTTCGGCAGGAGCTTGGCCAAGTTTACGAGCCTCTTCAAGCTCTTTAGCTTTTTTCCAATCTGCACGTGAACGCTTTATCGGCTCATCATTGTCCGAACTTTTAATTATCTCGGACACAGGTCTCGATGGTACATTCATTGTTTTGACGATGTATTTTGTTACGAAAATATCATGCAACCATAAATACACGCAAAGTGTAAATAGTCGCATTATGAAATGTCAATAGATTTTTTACCTCTTTAGAAATTTTCAATTTTGTATAATAATGATGAGATGAATAAAGATAAAAATTATATCGTTAATTTCGTTTTTTTTATTGTCAATAAAACAAAATAATAAGGACCAGTAGAAGTAAAAATCATCAAGTACTATTCAATGTCAAGAATTTTTTTTGATTCTTTTTCCGATTCAAGAATATCTTCTGAAACGTACATTTTAAGTAGTTCTTGTTTTTTCCTTCGGATTAATTCTTCATTAATCTCTTTTTGTGTTGGTATGGATGGAACGTGTGATATAAAATTTTTCGGACCAGCAAAATCGATTCCATCTTCGACACTTTGTCTGCTATCATCATTAACATCAGCATAGCAGATTAATTCAATGCGTTCCTTTATGGTCGTTGTATTGGAATTTTTCTCTTCATTTGCCAATCGTAAAAGTTCTTCACGTTGTACACGTGCTTCTTCTTTCAAAATAACACCATCATCTTCATCACGATAACCATAATAATCAGCATCGATTGATCGCATCAATTCGGCTTTCGTTTTCTTTGGCACCTGAATGGTTTCTTGTGCCAACAGTTCTCGTACGCCTGGTAAATCTTTAGCAGCGCCAAAATATTTGTAACCTTTATTGCCCGGTATTTCACGTGCACTAGCATCGAAACGTTCGGTTGATCTGTATTTTAGAAATGCAATTAATTAATTATCACAAAAAAATGTCAATGACCTACTTGAAATCAGTACCACCAAGTTCTTTGATTCGTTGTTCCCAATTCCTTTTCTCTCTTAGCAGCCTATTGATCTGGTCATTTAGATCACGAATACGATGTTCACCAAGACCAGCATTCTGGATCTGTGCCACTTTTCGGCTGATCACACGTACAACATTCAAACGCCATCGTTGTGCTGCATTTAAATCATTACAATCACCTGGAAAATATGGTCGCCGTTCACGTTTTGGTTGATTGGAATTATTTTGTTCTTCAAGTTGTGATGCTCGCCATCGAGCTAATGTTGTCATTGCTTTCTCGGCATTTCGAGCCATGATTTATTTGGCAAATTTTTGAATGATAAAAATCAAATAATATCCAAACACAAAGAACTTGAAAAAAAATCCGCATGTATTATAAACAAATTATATATCATATTCATAGACTACGTACCTCAATAAGTAAAAAAAAAATTCAAATTTTAAATAGAATTTTTTTTCAATTTCACCTATGGCGCCAAAATTTTTGCCAAAACATTCCTACGATTGTACGAGAAAAGTTTCCAATCGACAAAATTATTTGATGGCATGATCATATGAATAAAAGTTTCGAGTATATAGAAAAGAAAATTTCTACAATTCATTGAACGACTGATTGATTGATTGATTGATTGATCACGTTTATACACAAAATAAATGTCAATTTATCATCATCTGATGATGATAAAAAGCATTTTTTATATGAGACAAATGTTTCGATCATGATGTTCATAACATAATGATCATGAGATCATACATTTGAATTTTGATCCATCATCATCAGCAGTAATTTATGTTGTCATCAAAAAAAAAAAAAAATGAATTTTGCCCATGAAATGAGAATGATGCTCATGCTCCAAAAAAGTAAATAATAATAAAATGAAAATGAAACTTTGTCCCATTTATATATTGTCTGTATATATCGTGTATAATATGAGTTTGTGCAACTTTTTTTCATTATATTTTATTTCTTCTGAATAAAAAACTAAACTGAATTCAATGAATTATGAGATTTTTTTTTGGTCATGTTTAGTGTTCTTTTTTTTCTTTGATTTTCACATATATATATAGGTGTGAATATATGCATTTTTTTCTGTTCATTCTTGAATCGTTCATAGTTGGATGAGGAAAAATAGCGAAAAAAAATCATTTTTGAATGCACTGTTGGAAGTTTAGTTTGGTTATGATTTGTTTTGAGGATTGCTGATGATCAAACATCATTTATCAAGCAATCAACCAAAGAACAACCACCACGATCGTGTAGCTAAAATCAAATAATAAAACTGGTTCAGCATGGTGAGCCTCTCTAAATGATGTGTATGTATATGTGTGTGTGTCTCGAGATTGTATCACAAGATTATTATTGTTGTTGTTGTTGGTTGGTTGGTTGTCGTTGTTGTTGTTGTTGTTGTTGTTGTAAATATTGATGCAACGAATAAATTTATTGAATGGCAGAAGAAAAAATCTTTGGCATTTTTCTATCCATGATGTATGTGTGTGTGTGTGTGTGTGTGTATGAGTTTATAAATATATAGACTCTTCCTTTTCAATTGATAATCATTCGATTTTTTTGTTCTCTTGATAAATAGTATGGATATTGAAGAAGAAAAAATTTTATTTCTTCTCAATGACCAAATCGATAATTTCCAATAATCGTTATTGATGATTTCATGATAAATAAACGTAAGGATTTCCTGAATATATATGTGTTTTATGTGTAGTTATTATAATTTTAATAAAATATATATATTATATTTTTCTTCTGATTTAGATTCATTCCAATTGAAAAAAAATAAAAATAAAATCAAATAAACAATTACCTTGAACAATATCATCATGACTAGGTTTATGATCTCATCATTATCATCATCATCATAATTGTTGTTGAAATTTAAGTCGAAAATAATTCACATTTGTCCAAAACTGTTGAACAGCGTGGCATCCAAACAATCCACGTACAAGTATTTGAATCATATTGTTTTTCTATTGACCATCATATCTAATTGAATATGGCATTACTTCGAACTGATATCAATATTGACCAACCAAGATGGGATCAAAGTACTTATATTGGACGTGCTAAACATTTTTTTGCCGTTACAAATCCATTGAATATACTTTGTTCAAATCGTGAATTAGAAGAAGCCAAAGGAATTCTCTATAAATATCGTAAAGGTGAAATAATCAATGGATTAACTGAGGAAAAATTATGGCGTTATAAACATATCTATGATTCGGCATTTCATCCGGATACTGGTGAAAAAATGACTGTTATTGGTCGAATGTCTGCACAGGTTCCAATGAATATGGCCATTACTGGATGTAAGTTGATCTTATTTGTTGGTTGTTTGTCTCGAATCATCACTTCTTCATAATATGCTAATGTTATGTTTTTTTTCTGCTTTCATTGCTTTCACTATGGCATTCTAGGCATGATGACCTATTACAAGCAAGTTTGCTTCCTATTTTCGAATAAAGAATATTCTGTTGTTAACAAAATTTTTCTATTCACTTGTCAATTTTAGAACACCAGCACAGACCATTTTCTGGCAATGGTTTAATCAATCGTTCAATGCAATTGTCAACTATACGAATCGTAGTGGTGATAGTCCAATTCCAGTCTCGTAAGTTTTTTGATGATTCCATGGAATTTTGAATTTAAAATATCTTATTGAAAATTATAATTAGGCAATTGGTTAAATCATATTGTTTTGCCACATCCGGTGCTCTAGTCACGGCTTTATCGCTAAACAGTTTGGCTAAACGTTTCCCACCCTTATTGGGCCGTTTTGTTCCATTTACTGCTGTTGCTGCTGCCAATTGTGTTAACATTCCAATGATGCGATCAAGGTATGATTGAATAAATCAGTCGATAATCGAAATTAATATCTAAAAAAAATTGTTCAAATTCAAAATCAATCAAATCATTAGTGAATTGACAAACGGCATTGCAATTGAAGATGAAAATGGCAATAAAATTGGATATTCAAAAACGATGGCCAAAGAGGCAATTTCACAGGTGGTTTTATCTCGAATAATGATGGCTGCACCTGGAATGGGTATGTTTGTTTCATCATATTTTATGATGATTATGTCGTTAAGGCCTTTCTAATTTTTTTTACATCATTCATATTCGTATTCAAAGTTATTCCACCGATTGTTATGAATCAGTTAGAAAAACGTGGTGTTCTTCGTCGAATGCCATGGATTTCAGCACCAGCACAAGTTTTAATGTGTGGTTTATGGTGAGATTTTTCCATCGAATTTCCATTGTTGTCTTATTATTGACCATTATTATTGATTTGATTTTAGCTTAACATTTGCTACACCATTATGTTGTGCATTGTTTCCACAGAAAAAATCCGTACCAATTGAACGATTGGAAGATGATATCCAAGAACATGTTCGTAAGACCAATAATCCCTGCAAAATAGCTTATTATAACAAAGGATTATGAGATATTATTATTATTATTATTAATTGAAATGAATTTTTTTTTTTAATTTCTATTCTATATTGTTTGTTTTGCATGAATTATTGAAAAATAAAAAATTTTTCTTACAAAAATAAACAAAAAAATTTTCATTTATGTCGATCACGTACACCGAAAATGGCCGTACCAACACGTACCATTGTACTGCCTAAAGCGATAGCATGTTCAAAATCGGTAGTCATGCCCATACTTAATTCAATTTCATTTTCTGGCTTATTGAATAGATGACAGACTTCTTTACGAATTTGAATAAGTTTTAAAAAATCTGGATTCGGTCCCAACGATACATCATAATCATAGATTCCAATTGTCATCAAACCGACAAGCTCAAAACGGTCACATTTATTCAAAATGAATGTGATCAATTCTTCAGCATCGGTAACGTCGATTCCTGATTTCTGTGCCTCGTTACTTGTGTTAATTTGAGCGAAAATTCGAATTTTATCCGTTATATTTGCATGACGATTAATGGCTGCATTAAGATTTTCGGCCAATTTGATCGAATCAACAGTTTGAATGCAAAATAAATTCGGAACACCCAATAATTTGTTGATTTTATTCGTCTGTACATGTCCAATCATATGCCATTTAATTTCTGGACATTTTGCAATCACTTCTGGATCATTGGCTTTGTCATACAATTCTTGAATCTATTTGAAAAGCAAAAAAAAAATTCAATTTAATTCAATGATAATTATGACTTTGAAACATACATAATTTTCACCGAAATGTCTTTGGCCATGTTGATAAGCATCAATGATAAGCTCTTTTGATTTGATTTTACTCACAGCTAATAATGCTGGATATTTCTGTTTAAATTTTAACAAAAATTAGAAAAATTAAAAATTACAAAAACAAACTTTTTACATTTGGATTATTCGGAACACCATCATAGGCTTTTTTGATCTTTTCGTTGATTATGGCCAAATTTTCACCAATTGAATTTGATAATGCCATCATACATCGAAATTCACCTGAAACCTGTGTGTTATGTTCGAAAGTTAACAAAGAAATATTTTCGGCAATGCTTTTTCACACAACACAAGGAAAACTTTTCGTTAAAAACTTTTAAATAGCAATTTCATGAATAATAAATTGAAAATATTTAAAAAATTTATATTTTCATTCATAATTCAAAATCATTTTATTAGTTTTTTTAAAAAAATAAAATATAACATATATATGGCGAATACTGAAGAATCTTGATGTGAAGATTATTTCAAATAATTCAGCAATTTTGCCGATTTATAATCGGCACGTAATTGAATAAAACTATGAATTATCGAACGTTCCAAGCTTACCTGTGAAAAGTTTTTGAAATAAGACAAAAATAAAAATTAATTTTGTTGAAATTTTGAGACAAAATTTTTTTTTTTACTCACCAATTGATCACCATTTGAAACTTGTTTAAGGTTTTCCGGTACGACAATCAACAGATTACATAGAGCGTGTAAAATATTAAACAGTTTGCTTAACAATGGAATCTTGAATTTATCGATACAATTTCGATATTCTTTTACATCACAAATTACAACCATTGCTCCCATAAAATTAAATTGATATTGTTGAAGATGTTCATTAATGGTACGATGAATTTTTACACCCAAATCGGTAAGTACATCTTGAACATTTTTACCATCCAAACATTTGGTTATTCGATTATGATAAAAATTAATGAATTTCACTACCTTATTACAAGCTATTGTACTGGTTGTAATAATATCATCGTTTTCTTGTTCAGGTTTGAAATCCGTTTTCTTTTGTTCATTTTGTAGTAGATATTTGATCCAACCAATAATCGATGCAATCGATTTCTCAAGACCTTGATTTAATTTTGCTTCCATTTGTTGATAAACTTCACGTTTTCGTTTAATACATTCAGAATATTTTGTTGTCGAAGATATCAATGGCAATACCCAATTGACAAATTGTTTTTCATTCAAATGACAAATTTCATTTGATTGTCGTATAATATCGAAAAAATGTATATCTGGTTGTGATTTTGTTTCAGCCGATGGTATGGCTTGTAGACCAAGTTCTATTGCATAATCAATATGTTCAATACATAAACTTTGTAATTCAATTTCATATATTGATAATGCATTTTGAGCAATATCTTGCTGTTTTGACAATAGATGACATCTTTGTAATGACATTTTTGTTTCCTGTAATATCGATATGGCAATTTCTTCGGAAAGAAATGTTTCACCTTGTGTATAATCCGGATTCGATATGTTGATATTTAAATTTCCAATATTAATATTGGTTCTTCCAATTTTTGATTGTATCAATTCCTGAAATCCACCGGTAGTAAATGGACGTTTTTGATGATTTTTCGATTCATAATAACTTTGTAATATGTAGGCACATTTATCTCGTAGATAATTTGTTTCTCGTTGTATATACATGTCCAGATAATTATTGAATATATTACGTGTAATTTTATTCAAAAAATTATAATCACAACCTAAAAATTTTAGTTTAGCAATCTGTTCGATTAGTTTGTTTGTCTTATGGAATAATGTATATAATTCAGTAAGAAATTCACGGGTATCATTTTCATTAATTCGAGCTTGAATAAATTCTTGAATTTTTCCATGAAAAATATTCAAAACAAATTTTGACATCACCTGTTCAGGATTGGTGAATACTTCTTTGATCGTTTTCTGATTTTTCACACAAAGTGGTACAATATCATTGAAAATATTTTCACCCAAAAACATTCCCATCTGACTTTGTTCAATAAAAACATCGACACATTGTGAATAGCCTTTGAAATGTGATAACATTGATGCAATCTTTTTCATCTTATTTCGATCATCATTTTTCTGTGCCTGTGAAAATTCTTCAATCAATCTTTTTTCAATTAGATTATATTTTTTCGATATAAATTCTTTTGCTTTATCAAATTTACTATTATTTGGTAGCTCTTGTGATATTAGATATAATTTTTGTATAATATCGGCTTCTTCAAATAATTGATTAACATTTTCAATATAAAGTTCTTCAAATGAATTCAATGTTTCACTGGGCGTTTCCAGGTATCTGGCAAAATGTTGCATCAATTTTTGTGCTTCTACAGCACGCATACGTGGCGTATTGACACCTTCAAGCTGTTCACCAAGATAAACAACTTTATCGGCCACAATATCTAATCTTTTATCCAATTTTTCAAATGTTGCTAATGAATCTTTACATTTCTGTTGTAATTCGGTAACTTTGATCCAATGGCCTTTTTCTTCTTCACGACAAATCATCTCTAAACGTTCACATTTTTTTTGATTTGTATCATAAATAGCTTTTAGATCTTTGATACCATTTTCGAATGCTTCACTAATTAGATCAACATCATCGAATTTACCGTTTGTTGCACGCCATGCTAAACGTTCGATAAATTCTTCACCATCGAATGGATCCTATGTAAAATGATGTAACAAAATAAAATTTAAAATTATCAAATTTCATCTCAATGATAATAAATTTTTTTTTAACACAACATACTTGTTCTAATTCGGCTAAAAATGTCATGGCGATCGAAAATATGACAACGTGAGCTGTACAAAAATAATTTTTGTCAAAATTTTTCTTGTAATTTAAGGCAGCAAAAAAAAAATTTATGATCAAAATGAAATTTGACACAATAAATAATCTGAAAAATAAAAATTTTTATTTTCCAAATTGTCAATGATGATGATGATGATGAGATCCAGAAACACATAAACACAGAAACACCCACGCATAAAAATTCATTTGAAAACTCAATAAAAAAATAAAATAAATTCAACACTTCTGCACACCAGCTGTGTCCCCAAAAAACATAAACACAAGAAGCATATAACTCAACATACATGCATGGTAAAAACAGCCGCCAATCCGATTGTTTGTTGTGCCACTAAATAAAATTTTTTATTTTTTTGCAAGAAAAATCCTGGTATATTTTTTTATAGAGAATCAATGTTAATAATGGTGAGGACGAGGATTCATTCAATCGTCATCAATTTTTGCTTTTGTAAATGCAAAATTGATGATGTGCTTTACGATCATATCCGATTATAGTTTTGTTCAATTTATTGTCCCTATATATCTTGACGTTTAATGTATATGATGGCTATGTTGTGTGTATGGTTTGTGTGTGTTAGTAGTTGACGATGATAATGATTCAAAGTTGAGGCTACCCAATGATTTGATCTTAATATAATTATAATAGTATCCTTATTTATTATATATAATGTTCCTCTATCCGGCTAGTTTTTTTTTATTGTTATTGGCCAATTATAAGTAAGATTCTCCATTTATAATCATTTTAATCAACTCAGACAAATCAAAAATCATCAATCGACATCATAATTGCCTGACAACAACATCCTTGTTCTAATTTTTTTTTTTTTTTTTTAGTTCCAAATTTTTCTGTTCTATGGTGGTGTTAATTTATTAGATGATTTTTAGTTTAAATTTTTGAGCATTCTCCACGGAGCATCTTCAAGTTTTGTTCATCATTGAATTTCGAATATCGTGTTGCCTTCTATTTGTTGTTGAACGTTTTTTTTCGAAAAGAAAAATTCTTTGTTTTGTTTAGTTAGACTTTTTTTTTGGTTGAGATTTCTTCATTATTCTCTACAGTGTGCTCATGTTCGAATTCCTATTCAATATGTAATACAATCGACAAGATATAAAAATTGAGAGAAAAAAAACAAGAATTTTCATCAAAAAAACTACTGAAATTTTTGAAATAGGACATGAAAGATGATACTCTTTTGTTACTCACATTTCAAACATAATGCTATTGTTGTTATTGTCCAATGTTTGAAATACAATTTTATCTTTTGTTGGTGAATTTAAAAGAATTCGAATCTTTGAGTGGAAAAAAACAAAATTTCTCCATTGCATTACGGTGGTGATGATGACTGAATTTTTATTTATAACGGCCAATGTTGGATCCATATTTCAAGATGTAAATATTCATTTTTCCGAATTCTCAATACACCTTTTCTTGTCGTAATAATTCTAATGTCTTGAATTTTTTTTTTCTTAAAGTCTAAACTTTTGCTTAAATCATGGATAGCCGAATTTTTGAAGGTATCATCATTTTTTTTATTTGTTCTCATTGTTGAATAATTTATTTATTTTTTTTTTTTTTTAAGACTGTGGATAGATTAAAACCTAAATTCATTGCATTACATTGTCAGGTAAAGTCAATTTGAATTTTTTTTTCTGTTGAAATTATTCTCATTAAAATTTAAATATTCTCTATCTCTCTACATAGGAATTTGGTGGAAAAGATTATCGAAAAACATCAACAAATGTTGATGATTTTGTACGAACACTAATATCTAGCCATGAAATGATCGATTTCGAAACGATTCGTGTATTTATCGATGAAGACTATTCATCTGATAATAAATTCACCGCATTGGGTAGTTTTTATTTCATACATAAAACTCAACATGCATTTATTTGGAATTTTGATGGTAAATTTTTGTCTAATCGATTTTATTTTGTTGGTTTAAATTCAAAAATTTTTTTTTCAATATTTTTTCTAGGTAATAAATTTGTTCCGGCCACGAATAGAGAAATACATTCTGGTAGCATCGAAAATGTGCCTATAAAATTTAAACGAAAATTTCCCCAAGAATTATTTCCTGAGGTATTTATAAGGCGAAAAATTTTTTTGAATAATAATCGATTCTATAGTGTAAATGGTCTCGAAAAGGTTTCATGAAAACCCGTTGGATGATCAATGAATTAATCTTTGATACAATCAATATTCATTTGTATGTATTTTTTTTCATTATTCTATTCTTTGATTCAATGATCTGATTTTATTTTCATATGACAATAGATTTCATGATGAATCCAATTTTGTTTCGATCTCAGACGTAAGTCTTTAATTTCAAATAATCCATTTATTCATTAATTGATCTTGATGTTTTGTTTCCATAAACACAGTTCCCATCAATGTATGCCAAAAATCGTCGTAAAGCATTCGAATATATGTTGGGTTTAATTGGACCGGAGGATTTCAAAATTCTCCCCATATTTATATTTGGTGATTTTAATTTTCGATTAGATACCAAAGCCGTCGTGCAGGTATGTTTAGCTATACCTACGAATAATTCTATGAAAATTAATATGTTCATCATTTTATTTACTTAGCGTTTGACAGTCAATTCACGATTATCGCAAAAGAAAACAAAAAATGGTGATCTATCTCGTCTCATGTATCATGATAGCACTAATGATCATCGTCTATTATCAATTGAAAGAAAACAATTCATCTATTCTGATCAGAATTTTTTCACTGATCCACATAATTTTGATTGGGTAATTTTATTATTATCTTTTGGTTATTGTTTAACGATATCAAAAAAAAATTTCATTTAAGCTTATGAAACAGGATAAAGAATTGAATCATTTTCATGGAACGCTATGGGAATTTGATCGACATTTTTTGCCTAGCTATCCATTTGAAGAGAATATAAATATGATAACAACAGCGTCATCATCAAAAATGATAGCTAATAGCTATATGAAAACTCGTTGTCCTGCATGGTGTGATCGTGTATTAATGAACAATACTGCCAAACAATTATTGATCAAAAATGAAAATCAACAAACAAAAATTCATTATGAAATGATGGGTAATGATTCACCTATGGGTGATCATAAGGTAATTTTGTTCGTTTTAAATACCATATAATTTAAATGAATTTTTTTTTTAATTCTGTACAGCCAGTCTATCTGTATTTTGATTATGATACAACAACAACAACAACAACAGTAACGTTGCTGATATACAAAATTTATTTATTATTTAGAATTTTGGTTTTGTATATGTGTTATTTTTTATTTGTAGCAATTAATTTAATAGCTGCAGCTAATGATTTATTATTTGTATGTTGATTTCGTTTGAAAATTTAATTTAATTTCCCTGTTTTTTTTGAAGTTCATTTCATTTTATCATTTTTCTAAATTATTATTATTTTGAATGAATAAATCGATTTTCAAAAAAATCATATTTTTAACGTTAAATTGTATGATGATAAATTTTTTTAACTAGATAATATTTCAATGATAATCGTTGATCATGATGTTGGTAACCATCATTATCGTCATGATAAAAATGATAAAACGGAAAAGGAAATTAATACTTCCTATTTGGTGCCTAAAGCAATCAATATTGATATCAATAATAATTCTTCCTTGAAAATGATGTATAGAAAAAAAACTTGTAGTTCAAGTTTTAAAAATGCAACTATGACGTCATCTATAAAAACAACAACAACAACAACAACAACAACGGGAAAAGCATCATCAACAACGACGATCAAAAAATTTTTCTATTACCACTATGATGAAAAACAACAACAACATTTGCCATCAATGAACAAAACGGTCAAATCAACGTCGATGTTGACCTCAAATGTTCGATTAATCGTAATGAAAGAAACAATGATTTAATGCCCCGTTTTATACAGTGCTGCCCTGGATTACATATATGTGTTACAAATATATATTGAATGAATGAAATCGTTTTTTTTCATTTAGAAAAATAATTCATTCTTAATGTAAAAAATCCCGAAATCAAAAGACATCAAAGACAATCGATATATTGTGTTAATTGATTATTAAAAATTTACCATCATTTTTTTTCCCAAAGGAAATCCATCATCACCGTCGTCATTGATTATCAAATAAATGCAATCCTTTCGAATCATCTTTAAAAACAACAACAATACATTCGAAATTTTATCATTTACAATACTGCTTGTGTGTATTTGTAATACATTAACAATTTATATTTCAAAATGTTGTTCCAGTGCATCATAAACGTGCGTCATTTTATTAGATCATTTGATTTTCATTTCATATAATAATAATTTCATTATTTCATCACCTAAATCATATAGCATATACAACAAATGATGACAACAAATTGATTCAATTTATCATTCATTAAAACCATTCGATTGAATAGCAATTGATGATTCATCAGAAAATATCAATAGACAAAAAGATTCTTTTTTCTTTATTTTTTTTGTGATTAGTAAATCAATATGTTTAGATTTTTTTTCTTCTATTTGTTTGTATGTGGCATTTATATCGTTCAAATGTTTGTCATTGATGATGTTGATGATTTTTTCTTTTGATTTTATTTACACACACAAGCACATATAGTAGTAGTGACTATATAGTATCAAATCAAATCAAATCAAACAATAAGTGTATTATTTGAATTTTTTTTCGATTGTTTGTTGATTGATCATGATGATTGGTATTTTCTTGAAGCCATTGATTTATGTGAAAAGTTCATTTTTTAATGATGATTTTTTTTTCGTTAGGGTCATGGGATTATGACAGAATGATAAAAAAAAATTAATAAAAATCTGGAGAAAAAAAAATTAACCAACCAAATTCATCACATTGATCAATCTTGTTTGTTGTTGTTGATTGAGATAATTAGAAATAAAGAGAAGCTTGTTATTAAGCCTTGATCATCCCTCCTCGTTTGATTGATTGCTCATTTCTTGTTTAATCATTTTACAAATTGTTTATTCAATGTTTTTCCCTTTCAAATTTTGTTTCATTCATTTTGTTGCTTTACGTATCAATTTTTTTTCTCTTCCTTTTTTTCCAGAAGAATAAATGTGATGATGACTAATTTTATATTTGCATGACCAAAAAAAAAAAAAAAAAAAAAATAATCATGTACGCATATTGATTCGTGATTTTTTTTCCCATCTAAACCTATATAGTAGAATCATAAATAATAAATTCATTTTATTATTTAAAACATCAACATTAGTGAACATTCACGAATCATTTTGTATCGACAAACATTAATCAAATGAAAATGGCTTTAAATTCATATTTATGTAATTTTATACAATCACCAGTTGGTTATGCATTCGATATTGAAAAAGCCCGTATCGACAATGATCGTTCAATATCCGATCAATTAGATCAAGTATTTCATACGTTAACAGTGATTTATGCCGATGATGTTGAACTTATTGATTATATTCAAAGAATTAGACATGATGTTGATCTTGTACTACAACAGGCACCATTATTCGATTTGGATGATCAAACACAAGGAAATGGTTATTGGACACTTTTAATTATAATGATTAAATTTGGTCGTATATTATCGACCCCTGATTTGAAGAAAAAAATTGGACGATTACCATTGATACATTTGATGCAAATAATGGTTGAAGGATTAAAAGTTGGTCTACAATTACATACACCGAAATTGAAATCAATGCAACAAATCGATTCAAATGGAAAAGTTGATCTAAGTTTATTCACAGATGAAATGGATTTTGAAGGCATTTTAGATCTAATACAATCGTTAAAAGTTCCAATGAATTCTCTACATGAACATTTCAATTTTTGTTGGGTTCGTATTGATTTGATTTAAATGATGTTCACAATGATTATTTTATTTTTTTCTTTCATATAGCTTGGTTCTATGTCCAAAGTGATGCAATTGTTCACCAATTTTATGGCCATTTATTCAACTCAATGGAAATCATTTAAAATTTACAATTGGTTAAGCCATAAAGCAAGAGCTCAAATGTTTACCAATATGGTTTTGAACGTTAATGTTGATGTGAGTTTAGCTTATTTTAACTTTTTCAAAAAAAACTATTATTTTTTCTCGAAATTTTCAGTGCCTGCAAAGCATGTGGAATATAACGGAATTTCCATTGGTGCGAATATTTACACCAAGTTTTTGGAATCGTTTTATACTTGAAAATATCAACATTTATGCACCACGTCAACGTCGGTGGATTATCGATGCAACAAAACCCATTATACATGATCGTCGTGCCGATCCAAATGTTCCATATCCAATAATGAAACAATCATCCATACGTGGACTTTTATTCCGTTATCGTCATAATCCTAAAAATAAATCCTTAATGTTCCATTTACATGGCGGTGGATTCATTAGTCAATCACCAGAATCACATGCATGTTATTTGGTTAAATGGGTTAGAAAATTAGATGGTTTGTTTTGTATTGATTTGATCAAAAAAAAAATTAAGTTAATGATTCATTTCTTTAGATATACCAATTTTAAGCGTAGATTATTCCCTAAGTCCACAGGTAATTTTTCCTGAAGCATTACAAGAAATTCTTGACATGTACCTATGGATACTAAGCAAAGATCCTGAAGTTGAAAAAACTTTTGGATTTTTACCTGAAAAAATTGTTTTCTGTGGTGATAGTGCCGGTGGAAATTTTTCAATGGCTATGATGCTCATTTTGAATCAGATACAGAAAAAAATTGCAGAATCTGAAGATAAACAAAAATATCGCTATCCAAATGGACTATTTCTGTTTTATGCACCGTAAGTTTGACAATTATTGATTGAATTGGGTAAAGAAATGTCAATATTTAAAATTTTTTCCACACACAATCACAGATTAGTAGTCGCTACGATGGTGAGTCCATCACGAATTCTTACTTCGATCGATGGTCTAATTCCACTGGGTACTTTGCTCAATTGTCTTGGTGCATATTTACCCGATGAAATATTCGAAGATAATCTACCCAAAGAAGAAAATATTGATTATGCTAATGGTAAAGAAACTGTTGCATATCAGGTGGGTGGATATTTTATCAATAAATTAAAAGATGTACTCAGTTATTTGCTTCAATTAAAAGGTATGTTTTTATTCATACAATAATGTTATTGTTTGCTAATTTGGCTTTCCATTCACAGTGGTATATCGTATTAAACCATGGTATCGAAGAACGGGCAATCTGAAGAAATGTTTGGATAAAATGAATACATTCGTACAGAATCCCTTTGTTTCGCCATTATTGGCTGAAAGTGTGAAAGATTTTAATCATATACCACTATATTTATATCCATTGACATTTGATGCATTTTTGGACGACAGTATTGAAATGGCTAAACGATGGCAAAAAGATAAAGTCAAGGTGGAAATACTTGATGATCTACCACATGGATTTTTGAATTTTGTTGAATTTGATTATAAAGCACGCAAAGCAAGTTATAAATGTATAGATAGAATTAGTGAAATTTTAAAACACATTGATGATTGATTGATCGACTATAATTTTCGAGAATGTTTATGTTTATTATTTTTATTATTATTCATTTTCTGTTCCAATAAATTTAATACATGATCTTGTTGATCATCGGAAACATATTCAAGTTGTTTAATAAAATTACTGATTAAAATTGTTGTTTGTATGGATTTCGAACGAATCCAAATACGGCCATTTAGGCCGACCGTTTTTTCAAAACGATATTTACGACCTAAATTTCGGCTAATTTTAGAATCGGATGCCAATAATCGACGACAAATGTTTAATGGAACTTTGATCATATAGCCACCACGTGGTAGAACGCCAAAACCATCTTTTTTACCATCTTTATCCATACATACTAATTCGGTTTCAACATCTTTGGAAGCGGATAACACACAAGCAAATAATACATCACCAATCTATTATTAATAATATTTATTTAGTATAAAAATCATAACATTGATTTGCCATAACATTTACCTCGACAATTGCTTTATTACGTTTGGTGGCGTTTGGAAAAGCCATCAAAGATAACGTGGCCGATTCTGAGGCACCTATATCGACACGACAAAAAGTGGAAGTTTTTGAGATCACCACACCGACAACAGTATCACGTTCACATGGAATATAATAACGTTGATGAGAATTAATCCAGAATAAATTCACTGGTCGATGTAATAATTGGCCAGCTTTATATGAATTAATCAGTTGTTTATTCAAACGTTTCAGGCCTGGCCCAACGATTACAGGTTTATTTTCATCATCTCGATAAGCTTTAAGAATTTCGGAAACATTATCACCAGGTAATACCGTATTCCCGGACAAATGAGAATTAATTTGATTCGACATTTTTGAAATTTCAATTTCAATCAAAAATTCAAAACAAAATACACGTGAACGATATATCAACTGTTCAGAAAGTACGTTTTGGTGATGGAAAATTAATTTGACGAAATTTTTCAGATGTGATAACGTTATGGCACGATGATGATAAATCTTGTTTATTAATGATGACAATTTCGTTGTACCGGGTACAATGTACCCACTTGTCACAAAGCTCTAATAGAATCGACATTAATTTATCCTACATTTACAATGATTGAATCAAAATGATTTTCAGACGAATAACGATTGTTACATCGAATCCGACTGTTCGATGGTTCTGTATTGATAATGTTCGAAATTCCATTAATGTCAAACCGAATTGGCTACCATTTTATGGTGCTAAATATGGAAATTTCAACCAAAATGCACCAATTTTGCCCAATCAATTCAAAGAAAACCTATTCCTACGCAATTACTTATGTCACCATTTTACTAAAGAGGTAATGTTTTTGGAAATTTGAATTGTTTTTAAAAAAAAATTCAATTATTCACTAGCTTTATTCAGAACTAGAACCAGATCTTATTAGATTTGGTCATCGTATTGCTACTGATATCGATCATCTTGGATTGGAATGTGAATTTAATAAACCTTATCTTCGTTCTATCAACACATGGGGTGGTAATGATCAAAACCAATTAATAGTATGTGATGCATGGCGTAAACAAAAAGATATATCAGCTGAAGAAGGTCTCATTTCTATTGGATATAATCGTAAAAAATTTTCTCAATGGTCAAGACTTTATCAATTTACCAAGCTTTACTTGTACTCTGCATCATCGGGAGTTTTTGGATGTCCTTTGGCAATGACAGATGGTGCAGCCAAGGTATTATCTTCGTTGAACCTTTTGCAAGATTCGTATTTTCGCACCGTTTTTGATCATTTAACATCGACTGATCCTGAAACATTTTGGACATCCGGTCAATGGATGACAGAGAAAGGAGGAGGATCAGATGTTGGTAAGATGAAACAAAATTATTAGATTATCCTGTTTGATTCATTAATTGTTTGCAATAGCTAATGGAACCGAAACCGTGGCGTTGCCAGATGGGAGAAATTTTAAACTCTATGGATTAAAATGGTTCTCATCAGCCACTGATGCCAATATAGCTCTGACTTTAGCTCGAATATCCGATGATGAAGGAAATGTCATTCAAGGAAGCAAAGGTTTAACATTATTCTTTGTGAAAGTAAAAGAAAATGATGGGCCAGTAGATAAAGCCATTAACATTGTAAAATTAAAAGACAAAATGGGAACCCGTCAGTTGCCAACGGCCGAACTTTTTCTAGATGGACTTCGTGCTCGTAAAATTTCTGAAGAAGGTCGAGGTATATCATCGATTTCCCAAATGTTACAAATAACGAGACTACATAATGCTATCTCCTGTGCATCATATGCACAACGAGCTTTCAGTTTGGCTCGAGATTATTCTCATCGAAGAGAAGCTTTTGGTAAGAAAATTATTGAATTGCCTCTTCACATCCAGACACTTGGTCGTATTGATCTTAATTGTAAAGCAATGACTATTTTTGCACTTGAATGTGCCAGAATTCTCGATTCAATTGAATATGGTTCAGCAACCAATGAAGAGATTCTTATGTTTCGTATACTGAATCCAATGGTAAAATTATATAATGCAAAAATGGCCATTCCAACCATATCTGAAGCAATCGAATGTATCGGTGGCCAAGGAATCATAGAAGAGACTGGCATTCCTTATTTGTATCGAGATGTACAAATATTTGCCATATGGGAAGGTACAACTTCGGTATTATCGAATGATGTATTACGGGCCATAATCAAAAGCAAAGGAGAATGTTTGAAAGCGTTGATGCAAAATATTAAACGTAGATTGGAACCAATCTGTAATGGCAGCGATGAACAATTGAAGCCATCGGCACAAAAAGTTTGGCATTCGACTGAACAATTATTCCATGTGATTGAATCAGAACCATCCACTTTGGAATCAGGAGCACGAGATTTATCATTCTCATTATCTAATCTATTTATTGCCACACTTTTACTTGAAAATGTAGCTAAAGATTGGCTTTTAACTCGTGATGCTCAATCTATAATCGATTATCATCGCATTCAAGCAATACGATTCATTAATTGTCAAGATTTGACACCATTTCATACGAATTTCAATATGAATGAATATTCACCAACAATACGGCAAACATATTTTGGTGCTCTCATGTGAATGAACTGTGATTCAAACAAACTACTATATGGTATCCAAAATTCCACCCCATAATCATCCATTTAAAATTGTGTTTTGTTGACCTCATTATGACAACAACAACAACAACAACAACAAAAACAAAAAAGTATGAAAAAAATAAATAAAAAAGAATAACCTTGAGCTTTGTATGCAATCGGAATTTTTTTTTTATATTTACTATTATTTGAAATGAAAATGAAAAATAAATAAAAAAGAATAACCTTGAGCTTTGTATGCAATCGGAATTTTTTATATTTACTATTATTTGAAATGAAAATTCATGCAATAAACGAAACAAAACAAAAAAATAAATAGATTGGTGAATATGTTTGAAAATAAGAAGAAAAAAAAATGTCAACAAGAAAAAAAAACGACAACGAATAAACAAACAAAAAACAAATGAAATTTAGATTATCAAAATGTCATCAATCCAAATGAATACGAATGATGGTGATGATGATGGTGATGATGATGATGATATTGTGTGATATGATGGAAATCATAAATCAATCCAAATGGAGTGGTGAGTATACATAATATATATTATTATATCAAACGTTGATTGATTGTTGTTTTGTATTAAATCATCAAACTTGATCAGATAATGAAATGAAACGTATACCATATAGATGACAATTATCATTCGGTTCTAATGTTGATGATAATTGATATTTTTTCAATTCACGTTTACGATAATCGATCCAGCATATTAATGCAACGCACATGGTTATAATGACAAATAATAATAATAGTAAAAAGAATAGAATTTGACCACCAATTGTTGATATGAAAAATATGGCCAATATAATGACAATAGCAATGATCATGCCTATGCATATGAAAGGAATAGGATTGGAATGGTAAAATTGATGATAAACAAATATTTTAATCATAAACACATACCAGAAATTAATTCTAAACCGGCAAAACGATCATTTAATTTTTCACGTAATGAAGGTGATCGAATAAAATGTTGTTGAATCATCTTGGTTTTTTTTCCTATCTATTAGTTTAACCCTGAATGAATCGATTGAATTTGAATTTGTTTTTCTTTGACACTTTTGTTTGTTTTTTTTTTTTTTTTTTTTTGGTTATGAAAACACAACACAACAAAACACGATGTTGATTACATTGATTCGTTCGTTCGTTCGTTTGTTGGACAAGAAGAAGAAAAAGACAGATCCATTGAATTATTTTCAAGTAATTTTTGTTTCTGTTAATGAACATTTATTCTGTCTTACATATGGCTCTTTTAAACATCAACATTTTTTCATTTATAAACACACACACACAAACAACAGATGCATTTCACATTCAATCCTAGTCTAATATTCTGCATATTGTATACACGGATGCCAAGTCAATCATGAGTCTCTATCTAAAATTAGAATTTTCTCTTTGATTCTTATACATACAATTTTTTTCGGATTTATTTCATTCTCCATCTTCTTTATCCATAGTGAATAAATGGATGGTTTTTTCCCCATTTGACTATAAAACTCATTCAAAATCACGTTAAAATCTACGGATTATTATTATTTGTCGTAATACCCGAAATTCACATAGGAAAAATTTTTTTTTTATGGTAATTAGAAAAAAATTTAAATAAATCTATAGCAAACTATTTAGTCTGTCGAATTTGTTATTCTTTACAAGTTTTCTTTTCATCATTTGAATAATAATTATTTTTCTAAATAAAATGTACTCGGAAAAAAATATGTAATATGTACCGATTCGATGTACACATTAAATTAGATTGAATATATGTTATAATAATACTGACATTATTGAAAAGTATATTCATTCATTTGTTGGTGTCTGTTGATTTTGTTTTTTTTTTTTCTTGTTGAGATTTAATGACGATGATATTGATGATGATAATAATGATGATGATATGAGGAATTTTTTTGTTGTTGTTACTGTAAGGTTAATGATCATTTTACAATTCGATCCAAATTGATCAATGAAGCATCGATATAAGGCATATCTTCACCGCCATTAAGATCCATTTGTCCTAAGCTTTTCGTTTCTAAATTCGTTTTTTTTTTGGCATTGAATGATAAAAATGAGTTAGAGATCATTATTATTGGATGTATAGAACACACTTACGATTATTGGCCATTTTATTTTCATTTGATTCAACGGTTTTTATCTTTGATTTCGTTTCATTCATTTTATCATCAACAACATTAGGCTTATTGCTGTTATGTCGTTGCTGTTTTTTCTTCGCCTGTGGTTGTTGTTGGCTGCGATTTAAATTTTTTTGACCATTCATTGATTTAAATTCAGATCTGGATGGTTGTCTACGTCCACTCCATGTTCGTTTTGGTGTTTGGTCATTATTAAATGCATATGTTGATGATGTACACCTGCATATAATTCAAATCATATTGAATGAAACATTCATTTAACCAAAAAATAAAAAAAAATGAATAACAAAATACCCAAAATATTTTGATGACCAAATTTTGAAACGTTGCCATCTGGATAATTCATCTGAAGGCATTCTTGTTTTTGAATCAATATATGGAATGAATGATGTTAAATTAGGGTGATAATAAGATATTTTTTTCCCCACTAACACTTGTTGTTCATGTGGTTTACTAGTAATTTTTTTTTGTATTTAAAATATCTATATTTGTGCTTACATTTATCTGGGTGTTGGTATGTGGTGGATTATGAGGAACACTATTTTTATTAATAGAATTTGTTTAATTTGATCATCGTTATCATCATCATCATCATTCGCAACGACATAGAAAAAGTGTTACCAGGGTTGCAATAATAAATATGCTTTGATCATTTTATTTGATCATTGGTTACCTATATGGTGTTAAATATATATAGTTATGGATAAATTAGGTTTTGAGCACCAGATAAAATGAATGATGTGTAGTCATTGTCATTGTCTAATGGATTGTGTGTTTGTGTGTGTAGTGTTTTATAAGTGGATTTTATCCTAAATTTCCTGTTGCTTGCTATCGCATTGCTGTGAACATTAATCAATTAATCAATCAATTTGGATTTTTTTTTTGTAAATTTGATTGAATACTTGGATTATGAAATTTAAATATTCAAATTTATTATTGTTGATTGATAGATTGTTGAAATTGATCACAGGTAAAATTAAAAAAAAAATTCATCATTAAATTGTCATTAAAATTGATTTTCCTTTTTTATATTGCGGAAATTTGATGATGATGATGATAAAATCATTTGATCAATGTTCAGTATTTTTGATAATTAATCAATTTTTTATATTTCATTGATTGAAAATTGTAAATACAAATGATGATAATGGAAATTGTTACAAAGAAGATGTTGTTGTTCTCTATTTTCTTGTTTGTCATTTTTTAGCACATTTTTTTCAATTTTGGACTTAATTTATAAACATGAAAAAAAAATTTATTGTTTATTGCCAAAATTTGATAAAGCTTCATATCCTCATCATCAAATAACGTGACATACAGAATTGACAAATGGACCCAAACAAGAGAAAGAGAGAAAAAGATGGCTATCTAATGGGGTGGGGAAAAAAGAAAGACCGACTGATTAATCAATGTTTTGATCGAATTTGACATTATTTTTCTTTACATTCATTTTTTTTGCTCTTGTTTTTCTGTTTCATTTTTCATTATTGAGATGTATTATATATGAAAGATGTCAATCATCATCATTATTATCATTATAATTTTGGTGATGATTTAGTGTGATAAACGGAAAAAATATTTGTCGTTTTTGTTTTTCTTTTCACAATCTATATATCTTTTTTTTTCACCATGAACTTATTATTATGGGCAATGATAATTATTGTTTTTTTTCTGGTCAATCTGGCCATAATCATTTAATCAATGAATAATATGGATTTTTGTAGATAAACAATATAGACATTATCATGCGTAGTTAAAATATATTGATAGGATGCTATACACAAATCAATTTATATATTTGATAAAATGAAAATCATTTGTAAATGTTCTTTCTGGTATAAATCGAAAAAAAAGATACAAAAAAATCTTTGTATTGATTTCTTTCCATTAATTTGTCCTCGATCATCAATTGAATGAAGTGGATGGTAAGAAAGAAGAAATCTGTAATTTTTTTTTTACATTTGTTGCACATATGGGTACAGGAATTCATTTGAATGTTGATCGCATTTAAAAGTTTAAAAGTTTTTCCTGTTCTTAGGCTGATGTTTGTTATTCTTTATATTCATCAATCGTTTGTACAAGAAGATCAATGAACTTTTGTGGTGAATAGAATTTGGTTCTTAAGATTTTCTTCTTTTTTTTTGTCCACAATTTTTTTGAACAATTGAAATTCATCAACTTTTTTTTTGTTTGAATCAAAAATCCATAAAGATCACCATTTTTGTTCATTTATATTCAAGAAGATAATCAAAGTTTCTTTTTACGGTGAGGAAAAAACAAACAAACAAACAAAAAAAAAAAAAAATAAAAATGGACACCAATGGTGGTGGTAATAATTCTTCATCATCATCAACAAATACTATACGAAGACGTGAACGTAAACGTTCACAAAGTTTAACAAATGATAATCATCTTTATGAAATAATACGAATGAATCAACCGGATAAACCGTAAGAAAAATCAATTGTGATCATTGAGTGAAATTCATCCATTTTTTTCATTCATTGATCATAAATAAATTTGAATGTGAAATATAAAAATAAAAATGATGATAACAAAAGAATAATAATGATAATATATGATAGAGGATCGATACCCATCAAAACTGACTAATCGATATAAAATGTTTGTCTCAATGTGTTTGATTTAATTGTTGTTTTTTGTTGTAATTGTTGTTGCCCGTTTTTCTATTGTCATTATAAATTATTACCTTTAATAATCGTTTAATCGATTCTTGTTTTCATTTATCGATTAATATTATATACAATTTATTATCCATCAATATATATAGGATCCATCAATATAGAGATTCATTATTTAGTTCATCCAGTGGTTTCAATAATTTTCGTGGATTCTTTACATTGGCACTCATATTGCTAGTAAGCATCATTATGATTATTATTATATGATCGATTAAAATATTCAAATTCCATAGGTATTAGCTACGTTACGTGTTGCTTTAGAGAATGTGATCAAATATGGTATACTCATCAATTATTCACAGATATTTTGGCTATTTTTTAGCCATACATCCATTTGGCCAACAATCATTTCATTGAGTCTTTTAAATATTTTTATTTATTTTTCTTATTGGATTGAAAAACTTCTTAGTAAGGTGAGTATAACAAAAAACACATATCTGTTTACTTGTGTGTGTGTGTGTGTTGATTTTTGATTGTTTTTTTTTTCACTTGAGTTCAACAATGAGTTCATCACATCATTAGATAATGATGATTATGATTGTCGTATAATGATATCTTTGATAAGGGAATAGAATCCTGGAATTTAGAAATAAAAAAATTGTTCTTTTTTTCAATCCATAATGATCGATCAATGATTCATTTGTGTGTGTATTCATACGGATTGATTAATGAAAAAGAAAGATGAGAAATCCTATCATCAATAACTACGGAATAAATGATTTCTACGGTGAAATTAAACATTGTAAAAAAAGTAGGAAAAAAAATTAAACATTTTGTTGTTGTTGTGACTGATATTGCATTCGTCCGACGCCCATCTGTTCATTAAATAATACAAACTGATGATAATGATTATGAATAAAAGAGAAAGAAAGAGAAAAAAAAATCAACCATTTATCGATGATTCGAATTGAAAAGAAAAGAAAAGAAATGAAAAGTTTTTAATGATTCCATCAATGATGGTGATATTTTTTTTCAATGCTTTAAAAGAAACAAGAAATGGCTAGTTTATGTGATTTATGGAAAGTCGAAAGGTCAATCATAGGTCATTGCGTTGATAATAATGATTATTAAGATCGTTTTTGCTGCCTTGTATTCGTCTATAGACTAAATAATAATAGTTTTATTGCCAACACAACAATCGTTTGTTCTGTTTACTGAGATCTATTCATTGTTATCTTTATTGTTTATCGATTCCAAAATATATAGAATCAAATCAATCCAAACAAAGCAACATATATAATATGGCTAAATCTAGCATCAGTTCTGTTATGGCCAATTGTAGCCGTATTTACAATACCAACACATGTTGTTGCTGCATCATCATTTTCGATGATGTATTTGATTGTATGGCTAAAATTATATTCATATCATAGCGTCAATTATTGGTGCCGATTACATCAGAAAAAGACCCATAAACGCCATAATAGTGGTGATTCACGTCAATGGAATAATCATCAACATCAACATCAAAATGATAATCATCATCATCATCATACAGATGTAACGACAGCAATCAATCAACAATTGGTTCAATATCCGGACAATCTAACCATTTCGGACATTTATTATTTCATTTGTGTGCCGACTCTTTGTTATGAATTAAATTTTCCCCGTACCGAACGAATTCGTAAACGATTTCTATTTAAACGTCTATTTGAAGTGGTAGGTGATCAAAAAAAAAAAAAAAAAAAAAAGAAAAAATCATTTAAACAATTTCATCTTTGGTTGGTTTTTAGATATTTTTAACTCAACTTATATTGGCCTTGATACAGCAATGGATGGTGCCTACAATTCACAATTCATTGAAACCATTGCAAGAGATGGATTATTTTCGTATGCTCGAACGGTTATTGAAATTATCGGTATGTAAATGTTTTTGTATTTATTTATTGATGTTTGGTATGTCAAAATTGGCACTTTGATTCGATTTTTTTCTTCAAAACATTTAAACATTTAAATTAATTGATTTATTATGCAGATACCAAATCATGTTATCTGGTTAATTTGGTTTTACACCTATTTTCATTCATTCCTGAATTTAATTGGTGAAATTCTTCGTTTCGGTGATCGACAATTCTATAAGGATTGGTGGAATGCAGAATCATTACTATATTTTTGGAAAAATTGGAACATACCCGTACATCATTGGTGTGTGCGACATCTATATGTACCATTATTGAAACGTGGTTATTCGAAAATAACGGTTACAACAATTGTTTTTCTTATGTCTGCCATATTTCATGAATATCTTGTATCGGTACCGTTATGTATGTTTCGATTTTGGGCATTTACCGGTATGGCCATGCAGATACCATTTGTATTTGTTATACATACAGGATTCTTTCAAGGACATTATGCTAATATGTTTGTATGGTTTTCATTGATAATTGGCCAACCATTATGTATACTTGCCTGTTATCATGATTATTATGTTGTTCATCATGCTGTAAATTAAATATTATATATATTGTGTGTTGTTTATTATAATAAAAATAATCAAAAAAAAGAAAAACAAAATTTGTTATCTTTATCATCAACAACAAAACAAAACAAAAACAAAAAACATCATCATAATCATCAATTTTGATGTGCTGCAATAATTTTAATTTGTTTTTTTTTTGTTTTGTTTGTTTGTCGTATTTCTTATTGCTTGCGATAAAACTACAATGGCCATGAGGTCCATAGTTTGCGAAATTGATGCTGTCAAAATAATAATAATGATGATGATGAGTCATTAAATTGACGTAATAACTCTACCAAGGTTAATCGATCCATGATGATGATGAAAAAAAAAAATAAAATAAATCTCTACTTGTTTAGATTTGTGAATCCATTTCAAATTTTTTTTTTCATCTTCCTTGAGAATTCAATGAAAAAAAAATGCTTCTAACATGATATGTTTGGCTACTATACACTAAAATGTCATTGACTATTGTCAGAAGCAAAAAAATAATTTTCGTTTTTTTTTCTGTGAAAAAAAAATTGAATTTTTTTCTTTTATCAATCTGAAACAATTGATGATGAAAATGAAAATTGAAAATTTTCAATCTTTGTCATCATCAATGTTTATGAAGAAGATTTTGTCATACATTCGTTTCAATTTCAAAGATTTTTATATGAAAAAAAATCGAATAATCGATAATCAGTTTTGTCATAACAGAAACATTGTTTAAAATTTAAACTTTATTGGTTTTTTTCACCATTAGCCTATACTATTTAATAATTTTGATTATTTCAATCTTGAGATTAGCCAGATTAATCGACCGTAACTCTGAAATTGGCAATGGCCACAAGCAATTTCATCCCATTTCAACACTTTTTTGATCGAATGAAAACAGAAATAATGATAATCATCATAAACGGTTAATCACTACTATAGTCATAATCATCATCAAATGGTGATAGTATCAAACAATTCATATATGAATCTTTTGACAACAACTACCACTACCATACTACTATCTCCATTGATATAATTCATTTATTTCTATCACTGAAAAAAGCCGTTCTGGTATTGTTGTCCAAAAAATTTTTTTTCTTTTCTAATTTTAAATGTTCCAATAATTTTTTGTTGTTGTTGTTGGATCCACGATCCACGATCATCATCATCAACATCATTAGAAAGGCCCTTTTATACAGGTAAAACAAAGCTGTAATAATTTTTTTGTTTTGTTTTGTTTTGTTTTCACTAAATCATAATAATAGCTGGTTATTGTTTTTTTCCACTTCTATTCATTCATTTAATTTGAAAATATAAAAAAAAACGAAAATGCGTGCCCTGTGCAATGATGGGACCAAACATCATAATAATAATCATCATCATCACTGTTTACCACAAACCGAATTATGATGATGATGATGATGATTATTGTGTACGTATGTGTTGACGTAGTTTTTTTTTTATGTTTTGTTTCTAAAAATGGATCAAAAACAAACTGAACTGTTATATTGCATGAACGAATGTGGTGAAGGATTTTTTTTTCTCAAATTTAAATTTCGTGAATAAAAACAAAAAGTCACTTCTACTGAAGTCAAAAATAAAAAACAATAGTAGCCATGTAATTATGACGACAAAAATGTGAGAAAAAAAAATCTTGTAATTCGTCTTCATCATCATCATCATCATCATTATTGTGTTTGATGTACGATTGACATGAGGATGTTTTCGATACTCATGATAATAATCATTGTTTTGACCATTCTATATGATAAAAATATCCCAAAATGATTACACTTATGACGATGATGATGATGATGAAAATAATCATTTTAAATCCATCTAGATATCAGACAAATAAACAATTGACCAATTGATGACAATGATATTAATAATGAACACACACACACACACACAAAAAAAGAGAGAAAGAGAAAGAAGAAAAATCTAGGCGATTAAATCTAAAATGATGATGATGATAATGGGGAGGAAAAAAAAAATTTTTTTTTTGATCATAAATCTATAATGACAAATAATATAATATTTGGCTATCGACTTTTGGACAATTGAAAAATAAAATATCTACTATGAAATGGACAATAGATTTTTTTTTCTATGTTTCGTTTCTGTTTTATGAAGATGAAAAATATGGACATGATCGGTGATGATAATAATCATCATTGTGTGTGTGTGTGTGTGCAATGTATCGATTGAAGATGAACAATCTTGTTGTTGGATCGTCTTTATCATTATCATCATCATCATCATCATCATCATCGTCTAACCTCGTTCCACGACAAGGGCAATATTTTTGTTTTTTTTCATGATTTATACGATTTGAATTGAATATGAATTGTTCCAGTCATTCCAGACATATGTTGATGACGATTTTATTTTTATTCCCTCTTTTTTTCCACACAACTCTCACGCCGTTAAAATTATATTCACGAATTTTTTATTTTTATCTCATTTCATTTCGAATCCAATTGATGATTTGAAACGGAAAAATTTTAATTTTTTTTCTCGTCATTCTATTATTTACCGGCGTGGTCTATTCGAACCATCATCAACATCGATGTTCAATACCTTTATTTGCTTCACTAGATTTTGGAAAAGCTAAATTATCTATAGGAAAAAATATCATCATCATCATCATCTTGTGAATTGTCCGTTGAATTATAGATTCGATTTATTTTGATGATCACAATCTATCTTATATAGGCTCCATCATTATCATCGTCATATTGTCTCCCGGTATGATTGAATAAATAAATGATGGTCATTCATGATGGTTTGTAGTCTGAATGTTGAACAAATCGAAAATTTTTCTATTTATTTTTTATTTATTTGAATTAAATTGATTGGAAATCTGGTATAGTTCATTTTTTGGGAGCCTTGTTTATTTCAAACTAAAAATAAACAAGGGAAAAAACTGATTAAGGTCAGGGAACATGTCATTATTATTGGTGATTAAATTCAACAGGTAATAATGATGACAATAAAAATAACAATAACAACAACAACAACAACAACAATCATATTCAGAAAATAGATTCAGAAATCAAAAAATCATTTACCATCTTTATTATCGTTTTTTTTCTGACAGGCTGTTGCCATTTTTATATTGAATTTTGTTTTTCGAACAAAATTCATTTTTTTTCAAACCTTTAAAAAGTGATATAAGCTACGAATTATATAAAGCTATTTTTCATATCGTAGTGTGACCTTTAATAATTTCTTTTTTGTTTGAATAGAATCAAGTTATGTGATATTTATGAAATGATCACTCACACAGACACACACACACACACACAAAAGTTGCAATCGAAATGAGTTTACTATTTTAGTTTTTGTTTTTTGGCTTTAATTTCTATATATCAACCATTTACCTATTTTTAAGCTAAGTTTGTATTTCAAATACAATTACCAATAAAGAAAAAGGGTTAAAGCTTATAGGTTTGGTAACGGTTTGATACGATGAATATGAATATTTTCTTCTACGGATTTCACCAACATAAACAATATATATAAATAGATCCAAAAATAGTAAGCTTAAATGATGATGATGATGATTATTATTATCATCGATAGCCCAAAGGAAATTAAAGAGGCAAAATAAAAAGTGGATACATTAATGTTTTTTTTGTGATCTAAACAATATACAAAAAAAATTCCATTAATTTGTGTGATCATTGTGTAATAATCCAATTCATAATCGATATCGGAATCAAATCAACACAGCAATAACAACAATAATAATAAACAACAGAAAAGAACATTGACTTTTAGTAAAGTGACTCTATGAAAATCGATGATTCGATCCATCATTATGATTGAAAAGATGATTATAATAATATATAAATCGAAAAAAAAATCAAGAAGAATCCGATCATCATCATCATCATCATCATCTCGATCATTAGTATAATTTTTTTTATGCTTTGCTCTCTTTGATCCGATGGATTGATGAAAAAAAAAGAAATATTGTAAAATTTCCATAGAGCAAGAAAAGAAAATCTTCTCTATCATAATCATTCATTGATGATCGTTTTTGTTCGATGGATGACAAAAGAAGATTGAGAGAAAAAAAAATAAAAAAAAATGAAATTTTCATTTTTGACCAAAAAAATCAAATGAGAGAGAGAAAAAGAGAAAAAAAAGAGAATGGAAAAAAAACAGGTAAAGGTAGCCACGAATTGTCGTTGATTGAGATGATGATGATGATGATGATGTTGATGTTAAGGCCGAGACGAAAAAGATTGACCAGACAGATAAGTATAAAAGCAATGGTTAGACATTTATCATTTTCATTCATCCAAACACGTCAACGGAAAACCAGTCTGATCTTTGAGAAAAAAACAAGAAGAAAAACTTTTCAAACCTTGAAGATTGATACCCTTTTTGTAATCAAGATAATATTAGATCAATAAATTAGTTAAGAGTTTGTTGTAGTGTATATGTGCCACACAGTGATTACACACACACACAGTAATATTTAATTACTTGATCGCACAACAACAAACTACATTCAATCTTCAATTATTTAATTCATTCATTCATTTATATTCAATATATATTATCATCATTGTCGTTATTATCATCATCAAGCTGAATAAATTCATAAACTTTGATCAATAATGGATTCAGAAAATTTCGGGTAAGTCTATGTTTGTTTGTTTGTTATAATATCGTAAATATATGTACAACAACACTAGATTTGGGTTATCAGGTCATATGGTTTAATGATTCAATAATATTTATTTGAATAATGATCAAAAAAAAAAAATTTTTTTTTTTGGATCGATTATCTGAAACATAAATTCAAATGAATGATGTTTTAATGTAGGTTTGACTGTATGGGGCTCGAGAGTTATATATTTATGAACAGGTATCACACACACACAATCTTGATTGAACTACTACATCATTAAATTCATTGGTTTTTACTATAAACTTTATGATTATGTTATAAGCAAAAATTTTCTAACACCAAACTGAGATGTACGAATTTGGAGTTTTTTGTTTGATTTGATTCAATTCACTATATCCGATGATGATGATGATGATGATGATTGATAGTGATTTGGCTTGTCCTGGTTTTATTCAATTTTAATATCTTGACTAATTCATATCACGATTTTATTATTATTTAGCGATATGCTTCCGATTGAAGAATCAATCAATGCATCATTCAACGATTTGGTCGCAATTTTTGATACAAACGACATCGACAAAGTGATTGCCAATGCCGAAGCAAAAAGTGAAAAAAGTCTTTACCATAGTGGTATGCGTGCTAAAATGAGCATGCTAAAAGCTGCCTTGACTTTGGACCCAAAAGATATGGCTGTTGCAAAAAAATCGACACAAAAATGTTTGAAATTGTGTAATAAATTGCGTAAAAAGAAATTCAAGAAACTTACCAATATGTTGACCAAGAAAAACTATGGTGATCTGTATTCGGATTTGGAATTACATGCTGAACTTACATACGCTATGGTCACCGGTTGTAAATCAGTATTGGCTTTGTTGAAATGTACAAACATGAAACGTTTGGCTAAAATTGCCTACCATATTGGTATTTGCGTCAATATTATTGCGTAAGTTTTAATTTGATAATTCAATAAACAAATATGTTGATGATTTTTTATTATTAGAAAATGTCGTGACATCTTTGAGAAACGAACCGCGTGGGAAAGTCCAGTTTCGAAAGCTAATTTTGAAGCAGCCATTCGTCTGGAACGTGGCATACGAAATTTGATTGTCAGCTTTTTGCCACCTAAACTACTTAAAATTGTCAACTTTTTAGGATTCAAAGGCGTTCGTGATGTAGCCTTCACTGAATTGAATGCAGTTGTATATGAATTACCGGGCATTTATAGTATGATTGGTGAATTGGCTATGATCTTTTATTGGCTTTATATTGAAATGCATGGCTGTCTTGGACCAGCTAATGTGGCTGCAATGCAAAAATTGGTAGATGCAAAAACATCTAAATATCCAAACGTAAGTATAAATAATGATCATTGATAATTGAATAATTGTTTTTTTCGTTATTTTTCACAGAGTGTCCTCTATAAAGTGGCTAAAAACAAACTCATTCAAATCAATGGCGATGTTAAAACATCGAATGATGGTTACAAATCAATTATTGATAAGGAATTTGAATTATTCCATAAAATTGGCCATTGGGAATTAATGTGGACAAATGCAGTATTATGTGAATGGGATGAATCAATTAAATATGCTAAATTGTTGAGAGAAAAAACACTTCATTCACCGGCCATTGTTACCTTTTTGGAAGCCATTTTCCGTTACACAAAAGGTAGAATGATCAATGATCAAAAAATGCTTGATGAAGCTGCGAAATTATTCGAAACGGTACCAACATTGCGTATCCGTTATCTTGGTAAAACCATGACACTTGAAAAGGCTGTTATTGTTCAATCACAAAGATTTTTTAAGAATGGAAAAATGTTGGTCGCTCCTGTACTGGTATGAAATGTTTTGAAAATTAATGAAATTGTCATAATTCATAATTTTTATTCATAGGAATCATTATACAATATAAACTACATCTATTTGCTCAACGGTAATGAAGCTATTGCTCAAAAATGGTTCGATATTGTTCAAAACGATTTGAATGTTTATGCAAAGGATTCCGGTGATCGGGAAAAATATTTGACCGTTTTGTTCTACAAAGGTGTCATATTGAAACATATGAAAAAATACAATGAAGCTTGCGAATGTTTCAACACAATCATGAACGAGTGAGTTATCATTCCATCATCAAATCATGAAATCTAATTCTTTCTTTCTTTTTTTTAATTTGTTTTAATCAAACCAGAGAGAAATCATTCCAAAAGGATAAATCTATTGTACCACAAGCTCATATGGAGATTGGTTTGATTCGTATGTTGGAAGGCCAAAAAGATGAAGCTAAAAACATTTTGGAATTGGTCATCAAAAATTATTCCAAATATGTCAATGAAAACATTGTTCACATTAAAGCTTATGCTGCATTACGTGCATTGGGCGTTAGCACTGATAAGGATGCCGAAGTTGATGGTGAAGATCTGGAAAATCTGGATGGTATTGATGAATCATCCGAAGAAGAAGATGATGATGATGATCTTGATGATTAATCGAGAATAAAAAATTATCAAATATTACATTCACGACTAATGATAATAAAAACTACAAGAAAAAAAAATTACCACAAACATCATAACACTAAAAAAAACAAACATAAATCATAATTAAGAAATCAATTTATTTCTGAAAAATTCTTAAATTCAAATTTTATTTTGCAATCAAAAACGAAACAAATCAATCATTAATAAATTCTTTTAATTTCCCTTATGGTTTGAATATTATTGTGCATTTTTAAATTTTCATTTCAAATTTTTCAATTTTTTTTCTTGATGATGTACCATCAAAACGTTGATAAAAATCAATCGAAATGATTTGAAAAAATATTTCGAAACGAACCATTTGGATTTTGTCATTTCGAAACGTACAGGTTAAGAGTCGTAGAGATAATAATTGAATCAAATGAAAAAAAAAATAAATTTCATATCGATTGTTATCCAAAATCATTTTATTTTGTTTGTTTCGGATAGAATTGAATTTTAATCAAAGTTCGTCGTGAACTTGTACTTTCTTTTCTTCATGTGTGAAGGAAAATTGAAACTTTTTTGTTTCCATTGAAAATTGAAAATCTGGAACCAGACAAACGAGGCGAAAGTTCACGACGACAAACAACGAAATAGCTGGTGAAAATAAAATAAAATAAATCTTTTTCGTCATTCGTAGATTAATTATCACACACACACACACACATGTGAAATAAGAATGTCAACGCGTGTTTGTTGATTTGTGTGTGCGTGTGCGTGTGTGTGATATTGTGAATTTTTTTTTCTTCTATTAACTTTATATCAAATGTTTTTTCTTTTGTTTTGCCAATTTCTATTGCACCAGTTTTTAGTTGATTGATGATTGAAATGTATCTTTTTCGTTGATTTGGTCGAATTCAATCATCTTTGTTTGATACATAATACACACAATCCGTATTATAGATCCGATCAACCATGGCAATTTGTTGTTATAATATTATTGTCGGTTGTAGATAAATAAATTATGTTATCACATACAATCTGATCGAAATCTACCTTTATCTTTTGTTTTTTTGATGTTCAACTCCGTATCATGCTGAATCGATTTTTTTTATTTCGATTTTCGATGACTCTCTCTCTCTCTCTCTTTCTTTCACTCTCTTCACTTACATCATAGATCAATCGATCGATGATAGATAGATCCAGGCTAGTATATAAGGCAAAATTGTTCCAGAAACAATGATGAATTTGGAATCTGTATTTTTATCTAAAGATTCAGTCAAGATATAAAATTCGTTGTAGCCTGGAGATTGTAAAATTTTTAAGTCAAATTGTTTTTATGTGATTTTTATTTATTTTTCGTTTATCGGTTATTATTTTGTTGTTGTTGTTGTTTGGTTTTGTTTTCCATATGTGATTTGATACGTTTGTGTTTACAACGAAAAAAAAACCACCACCACGATATCATCCATCGTTTTTCAGCATGTTGTTGGATCATTGAAAATCTTTTTCAATTTATCAAAATAAAAAAACAACATATTACAAATTACGATGAGACTTTATGTAAGTTATATTCATTTTATATCATACATTCATTCACCCGAAATTTCGAAATTTTCTTGCAGATTCTCGCCTTAGGTTTGATCAACCTAATAATCCTTACGGATTCGTTTAGGATTGATTCGAACCAACCAATTCAACAACAGCCCGTAATATCTTCACCGCTATTGAAACCAGAATCATTATCGGTTGAAGCTAAACTTTCATCATCTGTATCATCGGAATCAGTTCAATCAATTGTACCAGAAACCGTAGCAGCAGCACCGCCGTCACCAATTTTAGCACTAAATGATGATCAACAACGATTTGTCATCAACAGTGATAATGATTTAGTTGCAGCCGGATCGAAGAAAAAATCAGAAAAATATAAGAAAAAAGAAGGTATGAAAAAGAAGAAGAAAAAAGGCAAACATGAAAAAGAGAAATGGAAAAAAGGTAAACATTATCATAAGAAAGAATTCAAGAAAAAGAAGAAGAAAAGTGGAAAGAAAAAATATAAAAAAGGTGGACATGATTTCAAGAAATATGGTAAGTTTGAAAAAATTGAAATTTTGAAATGATAAAAATTTTAACTAACTTTTCTTCTTTTTTTCGGTTTCAAACAGGCAAAGAGAAAAAAGGAAAAAAAGGTGATGGCTATAAAAAGAATAAAAAATATGGCTACAAAAAGAAAGGTGGTAAAGGAAAATCTGGTGGTAAAAAAGGCATGAAAAAATACAAAGATAAAGGTGGCAAAAAGAAAGGTTTCAAAAAAAGTTATCATAAAGTAGAATGGGGCAATAAGAAGAAATACCATGACAATTGGCGGTAAGTTTTTCTGTTATTGAATTCCATCATTTTTTTTTGATTAATGAATTTTTTCAATGAATGATCAATAAACAGAGACAAGAAATGGAAGAAGAATTTCAAAAAATGGAAAAAGCATCACGAATACAAAAAGGGCAAGAAATACAAGAAGAAGAACGACAAAAAGGTATGTGTGAATGAAATTTAAATTTTGAACGTTTTTTTTAACAATTTCATTTCAATTTTTTGTTTTATTTTTTCACTCTAAAAAATATTTAGTGGTTCGAAAAGAAAAAGAAGGGCAAAAAATACAAGAAATATGGCAAAGGTTCACACAAGAAATATACAGAGAAAAAAGATTCAAAGGGTATGAAAAAGAAAGGTGGAAAATATGGAAAGAAGAACAAAAAAGGCAAAAAATATGGTGGACACGACGAAAAGAAATACAAAGAGAAAAAAGCCGAAAAGAAAGGCAAGAAAAAGAAGTATTAAACATAAACATAATAATCAAATTGATGGTGATATTATCATTATTATTGATCGATCATCAAATTATCGAAAACAAATGGATCGACAAACAAAAATTTTCCATTATTCGAATGTTCTCAAGCATCATCATCGTCATCATTATAATCATCACCATTATTATCATTTTATTTTTATCGATTTATTATTTATTTATATCATTATCAAACATCATCATATCAAATCATCATTATCATCAAAAATTCCATCCACGTTGATTCGACCAAGAACAACGATAACAATATTTCAATCAATTTATTTATTTTAAAAAAGAGACGAAAATCATTCAAATTTCTTTAATTCATTATCAAATAATTTATTTACAAAGAAAAAAAAATTTTATACAAACAAATAGATAATGAATAAATAAAGAAATGAAAAATCGATTTGCCCAGATGTTATAAGTGTTTAATGGATGTCATAATGAGAGAATCGAATGTGGCTACTTTGCTGTTTGACGTTGTTGTTGTTGTTGTTGTTTTTCCATCGTCGTCGTTGTTGTATTTGATAGAAAAAATTTCTCCATTTAGCTATTCGACTTAATATCCAACGTAATGAAAATATGGATGGATTTTCATAATTATGATGATGATGATGATGACCATGTTCTATCATTGTTTCATCTGTTGGGCGTTTGGCGCCAAAATGTACGGCAAAATGTGTTTTAATGAACAATATATATTGTATAATTGTAATTAATGTTGTTATTATGCCGGACAACACACCAAATATGAAACATGATTTACTTATTACCATAATCCAGTTTATTACTATAATACCGATGATTGCTAACGGATAAAAATTTTTTTTTTTTTTGAAATGATCAAAAGACAAGAAATACATTAACAAAATTAATCTAAATGAAAATGAAGATTCTGGAAGAAAACTGGAATTGAAAAATGTTTGAGAAAAACTTACCGCATAATTCAAATAGCTTTTTTCTTTTCAATTCTTTTTTGATTGATGGATCTTCATCCACATTTGTTATGATTATCTTTGGAATTTTCAACATTTATCATGAGTTATGTTTGATATCAGGTTGTATAATGAAAAAATAACAACAACAACAACAACAATGATGACGATGATAATGAGAAAAAAATTCAAAATTTTTTGCTATTTATTATCATTAAGATTGATGATCTGAAAAAATAACAGAATGACCCATTTGAATAATCAAATGATATATTTATGACGATGATCAATATGATTTGAATGTGATCTGATTATCTCTGAATAGCCAAATATAGTTTTCAGTATTGTAGCGACGAGAATAAAAACACAAATTGAGAATAATAATAATAATAACAAATTGGCCAGAATGGCAAAAACGTGAGAATTTAGTGATTCGAAAATTCCTGGCTATAATGCCAATCTTCATTTGAGTAAAGCTGTTATTATAATTGTGACAACAATGAAAAAAAATTTTTTTTCACAACTAATAATTTTCAAAAATGAATAATCAAAAATCCGTGAAACATTTTGTAGTTGTTGTCGATGAACAAATGACAATAATAATTTTGGAGTTGGTATACGTAGTAATTGGTGAGATTTGAAAAATTTATCGATTGAGAAACGGGAATTTATGGGTTTTACGTTGAAAAAAATATCGATTTTTTTTAATTGGTAGAAACACACAGCACAAATTCATGAATTCAATAATAACAATAATTTAGGGACCAGAAAGGGAAAAGTAAAAGTCATATAACGAATCAATTTTTTTTTATAATCAAAATGTATCATTTTATTTTGAGCAGAATTCTACGAATTCTTTTTTTTCTGAAAGAATAAAAAAAATGGTGATCAAAATTCATATTTAGACTGTACTCATGAATGGAAAAAAATTTGGAATGAATGAATTTTGGAAAATGCTAACACAAAAAATAAAAAAAAATGAGTAGAACAATGGAATTCTGGTCATGAATGAAAACTATTTGTAGACAAAGGTGTGTATAGTTTGACCATTATTATATCAGTATCTCACATATATACATAATACTAAACTAAACAGAATATTTTTTTTCTGTATATACAGAAAGAATGTATATGGTATTATGAATGAATGGATTCATTATGATGAAACGGATCGCACACACACACACACAAAAACTACGCTCTAATGATCAATGAACAAAGATGGACAAAAGTAACATATATAATAACGATATCTATTATGGAAAAATGAAAAATGTTTACCCATTTATGGTGTGTGTGTGTGTGTGTGTGTGTGTGTGTGTGTGGTATATGCGTATAGATTACCACAATTAAGGTAACCATGATACCGATACGACGAAAAAAAAACGCCCGATAAAACAACCAAAATTTATGGAAAATAAACTTTGTAGTAAAGAGCAAATTCAAATCTAATAATTAGTCATATGTAATGTATTCTTGACATTTCTTTCTTTTTGTTGTTGTTGTTGTTGTTGTTGCTTGAATATCTGATTTGATAATTGTCAATGCAAACCATATCTATTGTTGAATTCTTTGAATGAATAGTAAACATTTTTTTTTTTTTTTGATAATTTCATTTTTTTTCTGTATGTCCTTCATAGACAATAAATTTTATTGTCATTTTCATATTATTTCATTTATTTAACATTTACCAAAAACAATTATGGTGATACAATAATATTCATAAAAAAAAATTGAATAAACAATTCACACACACACACACTGGAATAATAAAATAGTGAAAATGATAATAACAACGACAACAACAACAACAACGGAAATGTATAAACAAAAATATTGTACTGAAAAAAATGGGCCATCTAGGTTGCATCCATTTATTCTATTTTCATTATCGAAATATTCGGTTCTCTATATAATCGAAACATCATATCGTATTCATTTAATAATAAGGGACATGCTCGATTCGAGGTTATTGTACGAAATGTTTTGATGGTTGCTATATTTATGTGTGAGTTAGCAAAAAAAATGAAATGAATTTTGGCCAAATGTTTTCTATTTTGGTTAACATCGTAATTTTTTCTTTTTTTTTTGATTCAATGACAATCATTTAATTTGATTCTAAGAAAAAAACTCCGATCCATTGTATTTTTGGTGATGATCATGTTGATTCTTAAAATACGAAACTGCCTAGAACGTGAGTAATCTAATCAAATCTTAATGACAATTATTATTATTATTGTTATATCCATTCTATTCATATCTGTTTGTTTGCATTTATCTCTTTCTTTGTGTATCTATAAAAAATAGCCTTATTGATATTCATAATTCTTTTGGCCATATCAATCAGTTCATTATTGTTATATTTATTGTTGATGATGATTATCGTAATGATGAATACGACAAATAGATCCTCTTCCACCTTCCATTCGTCATCATCATCATCATCATCATCATCATGGCCATTATCATATAATCCGATTAAATTATCATCAATTTCATTCATACGAATATTGATCATTATAATTGGTGTGATAATGATATTCTGTGTGTTGATATGTCTAATTCATGGCTATACTAGAAAACGAAGACAGAATTATCTTCGATCACAAAGAATGATAAATCCATTGTCATTAAGCCATCGATATCAACAATCATCCAATCATCATCAGCATCATCATCATCATGGACCATCATCATTGATCAAAGTATTGACCTATGGATAATATTATTATTATTAGTTTTATTATCATTAAAATAATTGTCAAGAAGAAATTTTTTAAACTATTAGAAAAATTCAAAATCCAAAAAAAAAAAATACGAAAAAAATGGAAAAGTTTATAAATGAAATGTAATATATAAATTCATTCAATGTATTATAATCTGTTTATCAATGGTGACGGCAACTGTATCCATTTCATTAATTTGTTTATCATCACTTCTTTTGGTTATTGTATTGCCAGAATTGTTCTGATCATCCAAAATTATTGTCGTTGTTTGTTCTTCATAACAAGAATTAAAGTTCAATGGTGATTGACATTTAAATTGATCACGTAATAGATAAATAGCAAATGTAGCCAACAAACAAGCAGATGATAATGCCATCAATGTTAATAATTGTATGATAATATTGGGCCAATTTTTTAGATAAAAATCAATATAATTATTCAATTGATCAGAATCATTGGCAATTTTATGGAATAATAATATATATGAAATGATCAACAATATGATCAATAGAAAAAATATGATCACTATATCAATATGGAAGACAGAAAAAAGACAATTCAATCATAATAAATCCGAAAAAAATTCAAGAATCATACCAAACACGTTGAATACAACGAATATATTGCGATGATGATTATTTTCATTAAATTTTCGTTGCTCATTGTCAACATTATTGAGATTGGTGGTGGTCGTTGTTGTAGCATCCATCGTAAATACATTCATTCAACTGATCATTGCGTGTTGAATTGAGTGTTTCTGTTTTTTTCTTCTTCATTTTCTTCTTCCATTTTTTTTAATCAACCCACATCAAATACTGTAATTATCATCAACATCATGCAAGCCAATTGTAATTGTCATATTGCCAAACATAATTCCATTTTGGGGGTGATTTGAATGTCGTCGTGAATTTTTTTGTTGTTGTTGTTGTTGTTGTTGCTGATGTTTGAATGTTGTTATCGCCAAAATAAAATATCAATCACTCTTGTTATTGCTATTTTGTTTATTATTATTTTTACTCTTATCAAAATGTTCTCGTTATCCAAATGATAATATACAATTATAATAGAAATAAAAATAAAAATGAAATTGAATTGAATAGAAAAAAAACAAATTAAATATATCAATATCAAACATGTAAAAGATTTGGATTAAACGATGATGATTTTCGTCTTTGATTTTCATATGCATCATTACGAACGGCTGTTAGCCAACAATCTGAACCAACAGATGGATTTTTCGTTATCTTCACATCGGAATTCATACGATTCTGATCAACTGAACTATTACGACGGATAAAATCTTCCGTTGCATTCACTGATGATAAACGTTCAATTGGTGGTGGTGGTGGTGGTTTTGCAAAAACATAATTCGATGATGCCATCATAATACCGGATGCAATTACAATAATAACCATTGTTAAAATCGATATAACCGTATCGATCCAATATGATTGATGACATTTGGTATATTTTTCATCAAATTTATATTTAAATGCACGTGTAATGAGAAACATCATCAATACGATGACAATAATTACGTAGATTAGACCTGTGAGATGATAACCATAATGGTAATGGAATCATAAACAGAATGAAAAAATCAATCAATTTTAAAAATAATAAATAATCATTAATTGAACAAAAAAAATTACATGCAATCTTGTAGAAAAATTTCTGCCGTTGTCTTCGTTTAATTTTATTCAAATGTGCAGCCGTCGTATCGACAATCAATGTTTTGACCATTTTAATTCGTTAAAATCAAAGATTTTTTTTTCAAATGAATGTTTCACATGAAATTTTGTCGAATGAATGAAACTTGATCATTGAATACAACAACAAACTACGACATCGAAATAATAATAAAATCCTCATGATGATGATTATGATGATGAAATTAATTTGTCGGAATCAGAATGATGATTATTATTATTATTTCATTGTAGATGATTCTATCGTTTAACCATCATAACAGATGCTCAAAAAACACACACACACACAAACGAACATGATGATGTTAGTAGCTCATTCCTGGCAATGACATCGACATTGGATTTTTTTTCACATACATTTCAATGGCAACCAGATGCATTCATTATTCAATTGGCTGAACATCATAAATCTAAAAAAATGCCCGATTCCTTATAATTCCGATGTTCTAATTTTATATACTAACAACAAACCAACCAAACCATCATAGACATCATGTTTGTTTATAATCATTATTATTATGCTTGAACTTAATCCTTAACCATGCCTGAATTCATTTATGTCTTGAGCTGTCTGTTCATAAGGAATTTCTAATGAAAGTTTCGATGATTTTATTTTTTATAGACTGTAGAAGATTCTTTAAAAATATTCAGTCAATTCATCAGTTTAACTACTATTTTGAATTTTTTTTCTTCAAATCCATACATGTCCTGTTTTCATTTTTTTAAAAAATGTTAGATTTGTGCGAAGTTTAAAACATTAGTAGCGGTAATAATATTGGAACAATAATAATAATCATCATAAATCGCATACACCTGTATGTGTACAATACAGCAGGTAGATTATTATATATGAATGGTGTGTGTGTGTGTGTGTGTGTTTGACAAAAATCGTTTCTTGTCGAACATATCAAACATTTTCCACTCATCCAGAATTGGTTTGATAATAAAACTAACTGATGATGATGATGATGAATTTCGTTTTTATGTTTTGATTTTTATTTCTATTCAATTTAATACAACTTGTAAGCTTTTAGGCTGAATCACACATACAACACACACACACACACTTTTCGTTTGTTTGAACCTCTGCCTCATCTCAAATATATCATGTATAAATTTACCATTAAACATCAACATCACTTTGTCCGAAACGTATACTGCTACATCCGCGTGTGTTTGTTTGTTATTATTATTATCATCAATAATACACATACACACACATATTTTCTCGATTATTATTGAAATAAACAATCCAGGTATGAAATTTGATTTTATTGATAAAAAATGGAATAATTCAATCTTAAAATTAATCAATAAACAGTGGAACAACAATCAAACAAAGATGCCGTTATTTCGTCAACAATTATTGACACAAGATCCACGATACCGTTATATTGTAACGTTATGTAATTATTGTCTTGCCACATTATTCTTGGGCATGATCGTTGTATTGTCAGGTGTTATGTTTATCACCTATGTTGAACAAAAAAAGAATCAAGATGAATATGATCATGAAAAAATATCATTTGCCCATAAATTTGGCATTATATTATTGGTCAGTGGTTGTATATTTCTTTTGGCTTCATTCATCGTATTTGTTGTTGCATCGATTATGTATGTTCGTACACGCACAGAACCACCACCAACAATCGAAACACCGGAACCAAGCGAACAAATTGAGACGGCACATTCAGCGGAGGGTGATATATTAACAAATCCAGCTTAATTCACCGATTATTGTCGATTCAAAAACCATAAAGTTAACCAAAAAAAAACATACACAAATACACACTTATGCCTTTGTTTTTAGATCTGATTGATTAATCAAGATCTTTTTATTTAATCTAAATATGAAACCACTTACCACAACCTTATTCTTCTTGTTATTACAATGAGCAGCTACAGAATTTTTTTTTGGGTTGTCTCGGATTATGCATTTTTTTGCAGACCTTTAATATTGTTACTTGTTTACCAATGACAACTTTCATTTGATCATAATAATATTTGATATATAAATGTTGAACCTACCTTATATTAACTAATTAATATACTTAGTTAATAGGATCACAGGTTGACAAATTCTTAAAATTTCTTGATTTTTCTGGAGAAATAATTTTATTTCGATTCGATACGCCATTTATGAATAGTCATTGAGAGTACGTGTTTTCATCCAAACGCCCAGCTAGCCTGTATTGACAATTTTATGATTCTGTTTTCTGCTTTTCTTGTTGAAGTTTTCATTCTTTTTATTTTCTTTTTCGAAATTGTTTCTAATAAATAAAAGAATTATGTATCGATACGTTTTATTAGGTAATTTTTTCGCATTAAAATTACAATTTATATTTCTAATAATTATTTTCTTTCAACAGTGATATTTTCATTCATAACAATTTCATCATCATCAAATATTGAAATTCTTTATTCACCTGATTCAATCATATTTCAAAATACCACCGATGCGCTTTCAAGCACAGATTTTTCTTCATTCTTGAGCCAATGTCTTGGCTATACGACCAAGGTAATTATATATATGAGGTATTATTTTCATTAAAAATTATAATTTGTTCAAAAATTAGAAACCAAATTGGAACGGATTTTATGGCTATAAAAATATTGCCAAAAATGTTCCGAAAAGCGTTGTTGTATTTCATATTCCAGTTTCACTACAACCGATTGCTGCCCATACATTCTCAATGAATATTGTAAGTTTTAAATTTTTCGATAGATTTTAGATTCTCATTAAACATTTTTGTACAGGATTCCGATTTAAATGAACAATATCATAAAACCAAAAAATTGATGACAAAAACCAAGAATGAGGTGCAATCAGATTTTATTCGATTGTCAAATTTTGACGAAAAAACTGACTTGGAATCACAATTGAATTCATTGGAAAAACATTTGAGCAAGGTAAAAATTATAAAGTTTTTAATGTATATGTTTCATTACAAAAAAAATATGATTTTAATCAAGATGGAATCGCGTAACGAAGATCAACCAGTTTTTCTATGGTTCGAAATGTTTTCCAGTAATAATGGTGCCGATGTTGTGGACAGATTTTCAAAGGTAATTTTTGACTGCCTTTTGTCTAATGTAATCTTGTAATTATTTCAATCAAATCTTTGCCAGATAATTAATCATGTAAAATATTTATTTGGACCTAATACATTGATCGTATCTATTTATGATGAAAATCAATCCATTTTGGAACGAGCGATTCGTCAAGCGGTAAGTTAAAGTAGTTTTTTTTCATTATTTGAATTTATATGTCAAACGTATACGTATTCGTCACTAATGACGAATCGTTCCATGGGGACAATTTCCATTCGATTTGATCTATCAGACTGAAAACGATTTTATCCATCCATCATGAATTCTGAATGATCATATCTAAATGCATAAATGATGTCATTTTAATATTGAATTGAATTTTTTCTCTCTCTCTCTCTCACACAAGGGTAAGGATGGTGAAAAGGAAAAATATAAAGTGAATTTAGCTCATGAATATGATGTTGATTTTCATACATCATTCATTACAATCGGTTTTGCATCATTATTGTTTATATTGGCCGTATTTATTATATCCGTTTCAATGTGGAATATTGATCCAGGCCGTGATTCAATCATCTATCGTTTAACATCGCAAAAAATCAAAAAAGATCAATAAAGATCAATCAATTATTTCATATTTGTTGGTTTCTTTTTTCATTATCACCATTTTCATAATAATCTAGTCTTGTTCAGATACACACACACAAAATGAACAGATTTTCTTGTAACTTATATTTTTTTCTTTTTTTCCATAATATTATTTTTATCCAAGAAATTCAAAATGAATGAATGAATGTATCTTTTTTTTCGTCAAGTTTGTATACATAATAACATATTAGATTCTTTTTGTTGATTTGTAGCCGGTCAATTTCAAAACAAAAAAAAATTCCATTTAAGAATTGTGTGCATGTTTGAATAAAAATTTATCAATTTATGTTGTGTACATTCAAGAATTTTGAATAAAATTGAGAGATCAAATAAAAATAAAAAATAAAAACAAATCAAGCCTTTGAATCTTGATCAAGATCAATTGTCATTCGATCATTATCTATTGGACTAGTTGATTGTTTTGGAAAAAAATGTTCTTTTTCTGTCTGATTTATTCTTGTAAATATTTCCGATTCCGATTGTTCATCAACGTTCGTTTTTATTGCCGTTTTTGTTGTCATTAGTAGTGGTGATGTTGCTGGTATCATTGTCATAGGCACACGAGATGAAAGACCAAATCCAGATGATGATGATGATGATCCAAATAAATGTATGTTTGATGATGCTGATGATACGGAAGAGGAAGAGTTGCCATTATTAAATAAGGAATTACTAGCGAATGGTAATGATGACGATGCTGATGATGTTGATGATGATGCTGCAGCTGCTAATGCCGCATAATGTTGTAGAAAATTAATAGGATGACTTAGATAAGGCATATAATGTGCTACATTGAATGATGTTGGTAATGGTGGTTGGCTACCAATCATATGGACATTACCGCCAATCGAAGAAATAGTATTGGATGTAGGCGTTATTGTTGAAGTTTGTATTGCACTTGTCTGTGATTGCAGTATAGATAATGGTGATGATGATGATAATCCTATATGTTGATTATGATGATGATGATGAAGATGGTTATGATTTGATCGATAATTTCGATCAAATTCAATCATTGTTGCAGTGGATGTATTAATAATTGGCGGTGATAATGATGATGACGATGATTGTGATTGTGATTGTAATTGTAATGTTGGTGGTTTCGACAATCCATAACGAATATTCAAACCGGCAGCAGTATTAGCGTTAGCATTAGTAGTCGTAGCAGCATTATTATTCATGAGGTAGTTATTAATAGTGGCACGTGATTGTTCCGCAATTGAACCAGTAATACTATGTGGACTCATCATTATGGTACCTATATAAGAAAGAAGACAGAAATAATAAAGGAAAATGGCCCCACCCCACACACACACACACAACACAGAAAACACATTGATTCAAAGATTTGATTGAATTAAATCATTCGATTAATTAAATGATTGATCGAATGTAATAATCATAATATATATTTCAATGATATAATAATGATAATAATAACAATCAAGTTGCATGCATTATCATCATCATCGAATCACTTACTTTTATGTATTTGACTTTCATGTTTACGGCATTTAGCACGACGATTTTGGAACCAAACCTTTTGATAATACAAGTGAGCAAGAAAAAAAATGGGAAACAAAACAAAGAAAAAAAAATTATTATCAAAATGAATCACAATATTTTTTGTTGGTGAATCGGTCCCTTAGGATCAATGTTTGTTGATCAATGATGATGATCTTGATTGATAATAATGATAATATTATTTCGTTTTCAATATCTAGAATCTCAATGGATTTATTCTATTCATGATGATATGGAAAATTTTTTTTTTTTGTTCATCATATATAATTAGATTGTGACAAAAATAAAAAAAAAGCGATAGAGTGACTGCAAGTGAATGAGTGTGAAATGAAAATTGTTTCAATATGGAACGAAAAAATTGTGTTGTTGTTGTTGTTGTTGTAGAAAATGGAAATGATGAACCATTATTGTTGTGAAAATAGGGGAGTAGCAAATCGATTTTAAAAATCGATCAGTTAGTTTACTATGTGATTATATATATAATAATTGAATTAAAACACACCAAAAAACGATGATAGTGTAGTGTGTACGCGCGCAAATATCGCATATCATTTCTGTGAAAATTGTCCCCTTGAATCTTTGAAAGCCATTTATTCAATTGACTGATTTTTTTTTCCGGGCCCCATTTTCTATCGTTTTATTTTTTTTCTCTCTCTCTCTCGATTACGGTTTGTCAACAATATATTCTCTATATTGTAGTCAAATGAATTTGAATGAATGATGACGATGATGTGGTCGATTTTTTGTTGTTGTTGTTGTTGTCGCGCGCGCGCTATAGATAAAATAATGAAAGCAGTAATGAAATACAATTCAAATCAAGATCATTTATTTATACCAACAAGAATTCACCAGAGTATAAATGATGGTGGAAGGGGACGAAAAAAAAAATTTTTTTTTATTGACATCCAAGAAAGCAAGAGATAGATAGAGAGACAGGAAAAAGATGGATTATATCATTTAAGGCAATGAATAGGAAATGAAAATGAATGAATAAATGAATTATATATTCAGTTGAATTACAGACTGTGTATGTATGGATTACATGAACCCATCACGATATATTGAAAACAAAACAAAAAAACAAAAAAAAGTCATTAGAAAGCAATCCTCTTAAGTGGTTGTTGCGTGTTTTGTTTTGTCATTTCAAAAATTTTCATTTTCGTTTCATTCATTTAGCCACACACACACACACACACTAACTATCGATTCATTTTCATGTTGGGGTTCATCAATTTGATTATCATCATCATCATGATCATCATTGAATTAATTCATTAACACACACACAATGTATTTTCCTCGTTTTTTTTGTTGTTGTTGATTTCATTATGAAAAAAAACCAATGAATGAATCAGGAAGAATGAGGACAGCCAAAAGATTAATAACACTATACTCTATTCTTCATTGTATTCTGGGATGTTTATTTATTTGTTTTGTTTTGTTTTGTTTTGTCCGCCAAACCATCATCCATTATAATCAATGGAAGCAAAAAAAAATCATAAAACAATTGACTGTCTCATTGCCACTCTCTCTCTCTCTCTCTCTCTCTCAAAATGGATACACACAAATGGTAATCAAAAACAATAATTTCTGTCATAATTAATTTAATTATGTCAAATTTTTTTGTTTGTCTCTCAAATTGAATTTCTATAGTTTTAAAATTTTTCAACTGATAACCAATGTGATTGATGAATCGAATTCGAAATAAAATAGAATAGATAATGAAAAGTTTTTTCATTCATTCATGGACAATGGTCATACAAATAAATGGGATAGATTAATATTCATTATGATGATCATCATCATTGATGACAATGCAACTTTTGGATAAAATTGTGTTTATAATTCAATTTGACAATTTATATTACACATGCTTGTAGCTAAAAAAAAGTGATTTGTTTCAATTTATTTATTTTTTATTTTTTCCCTATTTCAAAATGAAAACATCAACGATAACAAAACAATTGAAGATTGTCAACACATTTTAACAATAATTGAAATTGGATTGAAATGACCAATAAAGTGAATGTGATGTGGTGGCTTTTTAAGTAATATAATAATTCTTCAACCAAATGGATTCTGATTCCAGACTGTCTGTCTGTGTGTGTGTGTGTGTCTGCATATTCATTTATTTGGTTGGAAAAAAAATCACTATTGGTCAATCTACTAAATTGTTTTATTAAATTATAGATCAGATTGTCAACTGATATTAGCAATAATGTTTTATGGGACATTTTTTTTTTTTTGTTTTCGTTTCTTTTCTTTTCGACAACATAAGTTGATTTGGTTTTTTTTCTGTCTTCTTTCTTTCGGCTGTTTAGTTCAATTTTCATGATTGACAGTTTTATTTTTTTTTCGTTTATTTATAATTGAAAAAAAATCAACAAATAGTGGATAGTGGTCAGCATTCGAAAACAAAAACAACAACAATGTCACCATGTATAATCATTATTACGAACGGCAAAAAAATGTGGAAAACAAACCATTGTCAAATCTAATTTTCATCTAGTCATTTTGATCCAAAATAGCTGTGTCTTTTGTTTCAAATTTTTCGTTTTCAAAAAAAGTTTTTAATTAAAAAAAAAAATTTCTTTTCACAACACATACCTGTACACGTGCTTCCGAAAGACCTAATCGTTGTGATAATTCTTCACGCATAAATGCATCCGGATAATGTGTTTCATCAAATAATCGTTCCAATTCATTCAATTGTTCTAATGTAAAATTTGTACGCGATCTTCGTTGTTTTATTTTATTACTACCGTTATTGTGTTGATGATTGACCGACGATGATGTTGTTCCATTTATCAATGAATGATGCGGATGATGATGATGGTGTTGGTGTTGGTGTTGGGAAGCGGCAGCAGCTGCTGCTGCTGCTGCCGCCGCCGCTGCTAAACGTAATGATAATGATGCCGGTGATTGTACACGATCATTCTCTTTGAAATTATTTTCATGATGATGATTACCAATCAAATCTAATGTATGATGTGAATGAATTGATCGTGAATTTGAATTTTTCATATCCATTATCATCATTTGATCAGGAACATTGATTGTTTCATTGATTGATGATGATGGTGATTCACGTTTAACATCATGTTGTACATTAATTGTATCATTACTATCATTTTGATCATCTGATTGTTGTTTTGGATCTGGTGATCCATTTTTCACTAAAGTAAAATAAAAACAAAGAAATATTTTTTTTCAATAAAATCAGATTGTTTTTCCATTCTGATAAATCATCAATATTATTGGTTATGACGATGATGTCATTGTTTATTATCAAATTCACAATGATAATTTGTGTGTGTGTGTGTTTTTTTTTTTTTTTTGCTTTATTTGTTACGAATCTAATTTAATTAATTTGACATGTGCAACTCTTTTTTTTCCCCTGTAACCGAATGATAATTCATTATTGTTTGTCATGTTCAATATGTTGTGTATTTGTATGTGTATGTGAATGAATCGATTCCACAAGAGAATTACGCCACAAATGTTTACATTGTATTAGTCTTTCGTTTTTTTTTTTTGGACCAAACTTTTCGATTCAATGTTTTTTGCTGTTGTTGATCTACAACAATATTGGCTTTTTGTTTGTTTATTGTTAACTCCGGAACTAGGAATTTTTTTTTATTGAAAAACTTTTTTTCTTCCCTTCATCTTCATCATCATTCATTAATTCATTAACTAACTGTTACATTTTTTTTTATTGTAAAAGAAATTTTTTTTTTTTGACCAAAACAAAATGATGCTTACCAAATTGATGATGATGATCATCATCATCATCGATAATTTCTTTAACATTTTTAATAACAAAAACTGATGAATCACTTGGTATCATTGGTGTACATAGTTTATCCATTGTATTTCTTGTTGTTGGAAACACTTCAGAATCAATAAAATGATGAAATGGTAATGCTGTCGTTGTTGCCGGTGGTGGTGGCGATCTTTGATGAATTAATTGTTGTTGAAGTTCATGAAATCTTTCAACCATCGAATCGAAATTGAATTTTGTATGTAAATTCAATGGATCCAGATTTGAATGATGATGATGATTATTATTATTATTATTATGAGGATGATGGACAGCAGCCGCAGCAGCAGCAGCAGAAAAAAATGGTAATGAATAAATAGATGACCATGGTGTTGAACCGGATGGCAATGATGATGATGATGATGACATCTTGATTAGATTTTTAATCACAAACGATGATGATGATGATGATGATGAAGACGAATTTGACAATGATTCAATAATAATCTTATCTTTTTTCGGTAAAAATGATTGTCGATCTTGATGGTGATCACTAGTCGATGTAGTAAATGATTTGGCCACAAATTCCTGTAATCGTTCCATTCATTCATCCAAACAGAAAAAAAACAACAATGTTGGAATCGATGAATAAATTGGAGAAAAAAAAATTCAAATAGAATGATGCAAGTAGTTTGTAGCCATTATCTTATTCGTTGTGTGTGTGTGTGTGTGTGTGTAACTACAACCAAAACAAAAAAAAAAATACCGAGATTCAAGTTTCATATACACTTGAAGAATACTTAATATATAGTGTAAACGAAATTCTGGAAATTTTTTTTTTATTTGACTAATGCTTGAAATTCATTGCTATCGCTATATAATATCATCGCCCGTTATTTAATTGATACAATTGAATACATTCACACGCACACACACACACACACAAACACTATACAAAACTAAGTAATGTACCACCTTTGTAGTTCCCACCCATTATGAATTCTGATTGGCTAGCTAGTGGAACAAAATAAACAACAACAACAACAACAAAAAATTGTCTCTGTGTATACCCTGAAACCCTGTTTTATGTTCAATGTTTTGTTCTGGTAGTTTGGCGCATCCATAAAGTTTTTTTTTTGGTAAAAAGGCAGCCTTTCAAATATAAGTCATTTAGTGTGTGTAAGTCATCGTTACTGACATACACACACTTATTTCTAGCCAATTTCAATCCAAAATGGCAATATTTAATTAATAATAAAAAACAAATTAATGATAAATTAACATATTTGTGTGTCTCTCTCTATATAATAAACATTTTCATATGATTCGCCGTTGTCTCTGATCTTTTTTCCTTCTTAATATGAATGGCTACAATTGAAAGATTCTTTTTTTTGTTTTACTTGATCAAGAAGATTCATTACCATCACTATTTTGATATGGTGATGATGATGATGATGATGATCGTTCACGCGTTTTTTTCCCGTTGGTTGTTTTCATCTTTTTTTTCAGTTTTTTTTTCTACTTTATCTCGCTCGAATGGAATTAAATGGCTCATTTAATCACAATATGATACCAGCCAATTCATTCCATTTATTTTAATTCAAAGAAAATATGAGTCTAATTAGACTATAGCTTTGCAACAAAAATAAAAGGAAAGAGAGACTTGACTAACATAGACTTGACATTAATTCGTAATCCATTATTGATGATGATGATGATGATGATGATGACAAAAACAATGCTGATGTTTTAAAAAAACAACCAAGAATACTGGTTCAAGTTGTTGATGACATTTTTTCTGGTTAAAATTACCAAAAAAAAAAATTAAATCCAAAAAAAATGAAATGAATTTAAACAAAACTTGGATCCTTGAAATTTGTGATTTGAAATTTCAATTGTTATTCAATCAAATATTGGCACGAAAATTGTTATCGATTCATAGATCATCATCATCATCATCATGGATCACTAAGCTGAATGTTTTTTCTCTTTCGTCATTCATTGATGATTGAATTCAAATCGAAACACATTATTGTGTGTGTGTGCGGGTGTTTCGATTGACATCAATTTATATTTGATTGTGGAACAGAATCGAATAACAGAAAAAAATATTGACGTATTACTTTTACCTTAAATGTGTTCAAATGATATATTTTTCATTTTTTCCACCGTTTTCAAAGAATACATTTTCAGAATCAAACAAATGATCCATGATGATTTGGTGTAAAGGCAATAATGCATTGGTGACAACTATTATAACCATTATGATGGTGATGACAAAATATATATATATCGAAAGTGATCATGGATCATTATCATTGATAATGATGATGATGAAAGATTTTTTTCAATCAAATTGACCTTATTTCATTTTCATTTAGGTTCGTTATAGACACAAATATATTCTGCAGAAGCATTGACAAGATAGAAAAAGTTTCCATTTTCACTTCATTTTGCTTCTTTTCAAATGGAACGTTGAAAAGAAATGGGGAAAAAAGAAAATTTTTTTGTTTCTTTACATGCATTACCGAAATATATCCATTGCAAATTGTAATAATTGTAATCTAGCTAAAAGCATCTTTTAATTTGCATCAAGTGTGATATTTGTGCACCGTTTATGATGATGATGATGATGATGATTTAATTAATTCACATTACAAACATTAGCAGAGAGAGAGAGAGAAGAATGGATGATCATCAAGCCATTGTTGTTGTTGTTGTTGTTGTAGTTGAGAATTGTGGAAAAAGAGACAGAAAAATTGACAAAAAAGAAAGAGTTGTTCACAATAATGAATAACTGAATTCATTCTCTTGTTCATGTATTTTATTTAATATGTAGATTCCATTTAAAGCATTCATATCTAGATTTATGAATCAAAAATTTTTTTATCCATACAGACTACAATGAAAATGAATAAAAAATGAATTGTGATAATGTAACCCGTTAATGTGTCCAATGATGATGATGATGATGATGATAAGCAATATAATCAATTATCACATTTAACAGGCTAGTAAAAAAAAAAAACATTTACTTGTAACGAACAAAGTTTTAGCTTTTTTCTCTCTAAACTATAGTTGATTAGTTGGCCCGTTTTTCTTTTCATTTTACATAATAACCACCGGATGGGTTGATTGAATAAATTTTTTTTTCATCGAAAAAAAAATTACAAATCAAACAATCAACTACCATGATGATGGAATTTAATTTTATAATTTTTTTTTTTGCGCGCGCGGAGAAAAATCAAACAGAATATACCAATGTTCAGTTCAATCGTGTTATACGAAATTGAAAAAGGAATAAATTTCTTTCTTTGTTCAATTATTTCAAAACACCGAACAATTCAAAAAAAAAACAATTCAAATCGAAATCGAAAATTGTTTGCCAAACAATTTAATGAATGTGATGTGATGTTATGTTATGTGTGTGTGATGATGATGAAACAAACCAAATTAAAATGGCCATCGGCAATCTTTGTTACTTAAATTTATTTCTATTTCTAAAAAGAAAGATTAATTTAACTCCATTTTCCCCTTATAATAAAAAAAAATCCTCACCATACATACAATGAACAATGGATAATCATTCAAGGCTTGAAGAATCGAAAAAAATAACATAAACAATTCACGCGGTACACCATACACCATCCATCCATCGATATCATTCAATTAAGGTTATCCATGGTTAAACAACAACAAAAAAAAAACAAATTCCATAACCAAATAATAATCAATTGTGTGGCGTCTTTGGGTATGATTCAATTCTTGGTTTGTTTTGTGTGTGTGTGTGTGTGTAAACAATTTCAATATCTATTTATACAATCAATACAATCATTTACCGTACAACGTGTACACGTTGATGACATCAAATGTAGTAATGATCGATAGTGTTTGTTCATTTTATTATTTATTTATTTATTATTTATTTCGCATGATAGAATTCAACAATAATGACAACAACAACAACAACAACGTACATACACCCCGGAATGAATGAGATGATGCTGTTTAATATGCACATGATGCACTTTTACTTTTTTTTACATTCTCTTTTTCGAGAGAGAAAAAACATTCTTTCTGTGTTACCGCATTGGAGGTCTTAGAAACAAATAAACAAACAAACAAACAAACTACGGAAAAGGAAGAGAGAGAGAGAGAAAAAAGTAAAAATGTATTGGTTAGTTACATAATAATAATAACACAGTATATTCTTGTTGTTGTTTTTGTTTTTTTTTCGTTTTTGGTCAATTATGAATTGTGTAAATAATAAGAAATTTCTTCTTTTTATATTCAATCCCAATTCATCATCATCATCATCAATGTTTGAATTCATTATTCATCATTGAAATTTTTATATGAATGAATTGTTGGGCAAATATTTGAATAATATAAATATTACACACACACACATACTATTCATATTAAAATCATTGTGATTCAATTTATGCTGATTGGATTGCCAAAATGTTGTTTGTGTGAGTGTGTGTAACCAGAATAAAAAACATGTTTTCATTCTACCCTTCGAGATGGATTTTTTAAGGTAATTTTTTTTTTTTTTTTTTTGATTATTGATGAGAATGTTAATCAACAGAATAATCATCAGCCAATTTTGCAAATGTTTCAAATTAATAAATTAAATTAAGACCAATATAATAATTCATCATCGGTTGTTTAGTGTTGTGACACACATGGTCATGGGCTTTATGTTTTTTTTTTTTTGCATTCTGTGGATTCGCACTCTTTAAATAAATATTACCATTTGACATTGTGTGTGTGTGTGTGTGCGTGTTTGTGGAATCATTCAAATTGAATCTGTTTTTTTTTTGCCGTTGACGGCAAAAAAAATGTCGTTTCATGTTGATCGAATTGAATTGAATTGAATTCATTCATTCGATGACAATAATATTGAATTCAATTTTATAAAATTTGTCGATAAAATGTTCTTTTTAGTAAGGATGACGGTGGGTACTCAACCGATAATGTTGTTGTTCAAAGTTCATTCGAGCCGAAGTTATCAATCAAAATTTAAACATCATCATCATCATCCATTGATGGGGGAAAAAAACATGAATGGAATAATGGAAAAATGGTATGATTGTTATTATTATAAAGTAAATAGCAAATCTAAATCATTTACTCTCTTCGATTCTGTGTGTAAAGATTTTATTATTTAAAAAATTTTATTTTTCAACACAAAAAAAAATTCGTCCATTATAAAAACTTTTTTCTCACTTGGAGAGAGAGAGAGAGAGAGAGAGAGATGATCATGATGATGATACCAATAAGAAATGGTTTTTTATTTTTATTTTCGACCATGCCACTTAAAGGCCAACAAAAACAACAATTGCAAATCGTCAAAGAACAAAAAAAAAATTAACCCAAACCACTTGAGCGTAAATTGTGTCATTCTAATAAAATTTCTGTAAATGTCCGATGAATGAATGAATGAATGAATTTGACGAAAAAAAAACAATATCGTTTCAGATCGGTGTCCAAAGTGAAATTCATTTACTGATGATGATGTTTTGAAAAAAATTTCGATGAACCTTATACATCTATACCATCCATACCCGAAAGCCAATTTGGACAGGAAAAAGTTATTTTTTCATTTCTTACAAGAAAATAAAAATTGGCTGATGGTAACATCATCATTGCATCAACATTATCATGGCCAATGTTGATCATCATCATCTTATCATTTTTGTTGTCATCCGATACATACATACATACATACAACAACAATGAAGTTAATGTTGAAGTGTTTCAAATGACAATTCATAATCGTCCGTACAACAATATTGTCGTCATTTTCACCCATCATTCACGAATCATGGAATCCGCCCCCCTCCATGAATTTCACCATATAGAAATCCAGGGTTTTTGGATGCTTTAATAGATGACATTGTCATCATGAATCACAAATATAGCTTCAAAATACATCTAATGGATGTTGTTGTTGTTGTTGTTGATAATGGATTCATTAGAATGGAATCATAGATGCGGCAAACACACAAATATAAAAAAAAGTGAACATCTCGGGTGTTTACAAAACTGGTAAGATGATGATAGAAAAAAAACTCAACCTTTAAATGATTTCTCTTGAATCAGAATTCTAAATGTTTAAAAAGTTTCATATGGACAGATTCGTTCGAGCTTAAAGTGTGTTTTTCTCTCTCTCTCTGTGTGTGTGTGTATATATATATAGCAACATCACCAATGATAATAACGATAATGATAGCCATACATGCATCAATTGGCAATAATGATTTTGTTGTTGTTTATGGTGATCATCATCGTATATATTGGGAAAATGTACATGAAAATTATGATGATGATGATGATGATAATGATCAACTTGATGTTGATAATAGTTTTTTTTACAAAAAGAAGAAAAAATTAATATGATTTACGCTTGTATTTTGTGTTTTGCTTTTGTTGGTTGTTTGTTGTTGTTGTTGTTGTTGTTGTTTTTTTCTGAAAACACATCATGAATTTACAAAACAAAACAAAAACAAACATTTTTATTATTATGATGATTATTATTATTTACTACCAAAGAATGATATAAACTAATGATATTTTATGGAATGACTTAATTTACTTTCTCTCTCTCTCTCACACACACACACACACACACACACTCTATGTTTATCAAGACAATTAGCCAAATATTGTTCATTGATTCATGTTTGGTTGGTTTTTTTTAACGAATCAAACAGAAAAAAAAAAAAAAAATTCGAATGTGTATTGTACCCAGTTTAATAGCGATCAAAATAGTTAATGTATACTGTTAATATTTGAACGTCGAAAGGATTCATTCATTCATTCATTCTTGCATTTGTGCATCAAAGCGAAAATTGTTTGTAGTAACAAAACAAAAGAAAAATGGAATTAATTTTCATATTTCATTTAAAAAAACAAAAAAAAAATTTTTGGTTTCCATTGTTTGGAACCCCTATCGACACACACACACACACACACACACACGCCCATATATGGTGGTTGTTTTCTTTCTCATCGTTATCATCATCATCATCATGATCATCATCATGATTCACGGAAATTAATATTTTCATTTATTTAATTACTTTTTATTCAAAGAAAAAAATTTATTCTCCAAATATCATCATCACATATGGTATAATCAATCATCGAATAAATGAATGAAAATGTAAATCAATTTTTTTTTTCTTTGTTATAAGTGGAAATCATATAATATAATATAATAATATAACGAAATTGAATATTGAAAATAATTAGAAAAAAAAAAATAATTAATCATCTATCAAATAATTATCATCATCATTACATAATAATTCAAAATTTTTGGAAACATTGCTTGTTTGTTGTTTCAAAAATATTTTGGATAGATAAAAGTTGGTATAATAATAATAATAATAATAATAACAAATAAATATATCATCATATATGTCAGATTTTTAAGGTTTAGTCCATCCAATGTGACTAGATTATTATTCAATGATTACTATAAGTAGTGCTTGTCGATTGTGATGATAAATGTTTGACGCCTTCCAATTTTTCAAAATGTTTTCGTGAATTTTTAATATTGGTCAATGTTGCTTCTGATGCTATTCAATCAATCAAATGATTTAGGATTATTGATTTGGAACAAAAAAAAAGAATGAAATACTCACGAATCGATGGATCAGACATAATGACCATCACATATGTATTTGGTGTAAATTCATCGATGAATGCAGAAAATTTAGAATTTTTCACCTCCATAGATTGAAATTGTGCGGTAGATTTACTGCAGCTTAATTTAAATTGTTTGATTATGTTTGAAACTTTTTCAAATCGCTATACGAATTAATTTTTTCAATCAATAAATTTTGTTTGATAGATAAAAAAAACTTACATTTATATCAGCATGACGTTGTCGTTCACAATAACAAATAACCAAAAATGTAGCCCTTTCAAACAATAATACTTCATCAGCTTCGATTATATTCGCAAAAATTCGTAATTGATTTTCAAGATCTTCAACATTTGGCACTAATGAATAAACGATAGCGGACCAAGCTTGATACAATGTTTCATCCCAGATTGAAGTTCGAAAACAAATACATTCAAGTGGCTGGGACATTTTTTTCAGATAAATTTCTCGATCTTTGAATATCTATTCATGAACAAAATGATAAAGATTTTAGATTATAATAATTCACAAAATAAATGACAATTACAATATCACGTTGATCATCAGGTATAAGATCCATTTTATGAATTAAACAGAATACTTTGGTATTATGTGAATATTCCATTATTCCTTCTAAACAATTTTGATAGTATCGAACATCTTTTTCAATTTCTCTTGATTCCACGTCGAATAAGTAGATTAAAACTTCAACATTTTTGAAAATATTCTTCCATCATCATTATCAAGAGAAAGGAAATAAATTTAACTTTTTTTCAGCAGATTTTTTTTTGATTATTTACCTCTCGTTGTGATGCAAAATAATTTTCCATGAATGCTTCTTGACCACCACAATCCCAAATATTGAGTACCAGATTGCCTAGAAATCGAACATGTGAATGTTCGACATCAACTAAAATAAAAAAATAATGTTTGTCCATGATGAATTGTTAATTAATTGTTTGAAACTTACTTGTAGCACCTAATCGTCGTGTATCACGGGCAATATAATTGGCAAAAATTATTGATCGCATACTGGTTTTTCCTGAGCCACTTTTGCCCATCAATAAAACCTTTGATAATTATATATTATATATCAATTTTAATATTTTAAATGGATCAAAATTAAATTGAAAATCTGACCAACCTTTTTCTTCATATTATTATTATTTGTTCGTATGCTAGCTGGAGTTTGTTGGGCACAAAAAGATTAATAATTATATAAAACACAAAAATTCCAATGTTTTTTTGTCTTATGTGGATGAAAAGATGATTATGCAATTTGAACAGTCGTCAACTTTTTCAGTAAACTTGATGAAAAATTGGGAGTAAACATATGATTTAAAAAATTCACAAAGTACGTAAATTTAATTTTTCTCATCCAAAATGACAAGTAAGATGTTTCAAATTTCGATCATTTTTATTTATAACATTCCTATTATTTTGATCGGTTTATGGTCACTAGATTTTAAATTTTATCGTACAGGTAAAGAAGTTATCGAAAGATTTTCAGTCCCAGTAAAACTAAAAGATTGGCATATCGAATGGAAAGATTATCAACCAGTGCCTGTGTTTATAGATTTTGGTCATAAACCATGGGCCGATCCAGATATTAAAGATGTAAATTTTCATCCAAAATGGAATCAATTAGATGACAAAATTGATCGTCAAAGTCATTTGGGCAAATATTCAATTGACAAAGATGGTTTTCCTTTAAATCCTACCGGTAGAACAGGTGTTATGATGCGAGGTCTTCTTGGACGATGGGGACCGAATCATGCTGCCGATCCAATTGTAACCAGGTTTGTTGACAAGTCATAAATTTTAAAAAAAATCATCCAACATGAATTTCTAGATGGAAACGTGATGATACAAACAAAATTATCAAACATAATTTAAGTGATAAACCGATCATGCAATTTGTTGCCATTCAAAGAAAAGATGTTCTTGAATGGGCCATTCCAGGGGTTTGTATTATATCCGTTTTTGATTAAATAATCAAATAGTTCAAATGCTTCGATTCACAGGGAATGGTTGATCCAGGTGAAACAGTACCTGAAACATTAAAAAGAGAATTTTTTGAAGAAAGTCTTAATTCCTTGGAATTATCATCATCCGAACGTGATAAAATGAATAATAGATTGAAAAATTTCTTCACCCATGGGCAGACAATTTTTAAAGGTTATGTAAATGATCCACGTAATACTGACAATGCATGGATCGAAACGGTAGCCGTCAATTTCCATGATGATCAAGGAAACATACTCAATACGTTATCATTAAAAGCTGGTGATGATGCTCGAAATGTTCGATGGATGGACATCGATCGAAACGCAAAACTTTATGCTAATCATTTGGATTTTATTGAAACAACAGTAAAAAATAGATCCGGACATTGGTGATCAACTTTGTTTTTTAATAAAAATCTTAATTAAAAAAGTATAAGATGATGATCATCAACGTTTAATCACTTGTAAACGAGCGTTTGGAGAAAGTCCAAGTACAAACAAAGATTTAGTCATATCTTCTTCATTGAATGGCGGCCGAAGGGGCATTGTGAATGTTATGTTAAAATCGATATTCTTTTGAGTTACAATATAAGCACGAACGGCTGAAAGTACTTCTTTATCATCGAATTCTTCGACAATTTGAGTACCGTCCAATAATCGAATGGCCAATTTAGTTTTACCTGTTTTGGAAGCTGAAGATACAATACTTGGTTTGGAAGGCGTTATGACGGCAGCTGTTGAAGGCTTTTCCCCACTAACAATACCTTGTGCTCTGGCTCGACGTTCAGCTTTATCAAGTTCAATTTGTTTGAGAATTTTATCTCTAGCCGCTTTTTCTTCATCTTTTTCACGTTTTAAACTTTCAATATAATTTTCCTGTTGTTTACGTTCTAATTCTTCACGAACTTTTCCAATATCTTTTCCATCACGACGACGTTGTAATTCTTTTAATCGTTCAGCTTCTTTTTCTTTTTCTTCAATTTCAGCTCTTCTTTGTTTAATTTTTTCGGCATATGCTTTCTTTTTTTCTTCAATTTCTGCCGGTGATTTATCTTCATTCTTTGCATCTTTTGATTCCGGTTTCAGATCTTCTTCGGTCAATGTTTTCGATGCTTCTTCAGCTGTTCCGTTATCGATGGATTCAATTACAGATTCTAATGTTGCATTTTCTTTCAATAATTTTAACGCTCCATTGCTACGGATAAAAATTGATCAAATTTCGAAAATTTAAAATTTCCATTAATACTTACATAAGATTTTCTTCGAATCCCATTTCTAGTAATTGTTCTTTGAGAACAGTATGTGATGCCATTATGTTATCTCGTTTCTTGTATACAGATGTATGTCAATAATATTTCGCGGTGTAATCAAATTAATTATAAAAAAAACCACAAAAATTCAGATGCAATGATGAACAATCAATTTTTACAATGTATTTTTTTTTTGGCAGCTGCTCAAATCATCATCACCATTTCGATTGTGACCGGCGTGTGTGTATACTGTTTTTATAGTCACGAACATTATTTAAAACCCATTGTAAATTTTTTTTTTACTTTGGAAAAATTTTGTTTTTATTTTTCTAAAATCTTAATTAGAAAAATCATTATGGGCAAATCTTCGAAACGATATTTTTCATCATCATCATCATCATCATCACATCATTATCGGCGATCAAGATCAAAATCACCAGATACCAATCGATATGATCGATCATCTTCACATGTTAAATCATCTTCGCATAGTAGTAGTTCAACCAGATCTTTGTCATCATCTTTCGATACGAATAAACATGCTTCGGAAAAACTAAAGAAAACAATCAAAGATCAGATACGTGAATCGAAGACGGAAACAACAACAACAAATAAAGTATTCATACCGATCGAAGAACAAATAAAAATGATGAATAAAATCGATGAAATCAATTATGATCCATTCAAACCGAAACAATTCATTAGTAATCGATCGGAAAACAGTAAAACATGTCAATCATCAAGTAGTTTGAATTTAAATATAAATTTATCGGATATTCCATTACCAAGAGATATGAATTCATGGCGTGAAAATCCTCGAATATTGCTCGCACCAAAGGTAAGTTCAATTGAATCATTTGAAAAAAAATTCAATTAAAAATGACTTGTAAATCAATTAACAGTTACTCGAAGGAACCAAAGAATCACGACAACAAAAATGGCAAGATAATTTATTATATTATGGTAAAAAATTATTATTGGAAAAACGAAAAAATGAAATCAACACATGTACATAATCTATGATAATTTATGATGATGATGATGATTGAATAAATTTTTCTCATGCATTTTATGAAAACTAATACATACTGGTCGATGATAATTGATAATTGGATCATTCAATCTTTTCGTTTTTTATAAGAACTTCTATTTTCATATGTGGCCGATGATGCTTCGGGTCGTTTACTGGCTTTTTTTACTTCGGTTAAAAATTTGTCCAAACCAAATGGATCATCATCTTCGGGTTTCTCAAACTGTATTGGTCCATCACGTTTAGTAGAACGATCAGCACCGGAAAATTCTTTATCCGGAACGAAACGATTCCTTGCTAGCTGTTCTAATTCATCATCATATACTTCATTATCATTCTTTTTCGATGGTCTATAAATATTCTGTTTCATTTCTTGTGCTGATCGCCATGGTTTATCATAAACACTATAATCTTCATCATCACCAAATCCAGTTCCCAGGCCTTTTGCCTGATTGAATAATCGTTGATCAAATTGAACTTCGTTGGCATTCATTCTTGGATTAGCCATACCTAAAGCAACTTGTTCACTTATATCACGTTCACGTTGACGTTCTAATTTCGACCGCCGTTCCGGTGCAGCACGCATTAAATTCTTTTCTCGTTGTCGCTCTTTTTGTCGTTCTTGTCGAATTTGGTTTCTTTCTCTGACTTCATCATCTTCATCACTACTATTATCTGGAGCTGTTGATCGTATACCGGCACGTTCCTCTCGAGCTTTCTGTGCCAATTGTCTAAGACTTTCTTCTTTCTTTTCTTTTTCTTTCTGTGCCATTTTACGTTCCATCTGTGAACGTGATTCAACTGCTTCTCTAGCTGTTCGATCAGCAATATACAATGCTTCGGAAAGTTTAGCAAAATTTTCATTAATATGAACCTGTTGAAGTCCACGACCATCCGCAGCTAAACGTTTATCCAATGGTATTGTATAACCACGTGCATTTTTCCAATTCGATATACATGGTGGGATACGCCATTCTTGCTGTTCTTTGACAGTTAATTTCCTAGTTGGACTATGCATTACAGGTGGTGGAGGTGACGGTGGAGCTTGAGGAATTTTTTTGTTAATTTTAAACCGTGGCGGTTCAAGTGGATCACGTTGAACATCGACAATTCGAATGATCCGTTGTTCGGCTCCTGAATTATGACCTTCGCCCGGTTGTGATGGAGTATAACGAATGTATTGAGCTTCTTGAGCTTTTTCCGCATGTCGTACAGGTAATGCGGCTGATATTTTACTATTGATTAATTTCTCTAATGCTGCTTTGGTTGCTTCTGTTGTTTTATTCACCTCTTCTTCATCTGGTTTGGTTAGCTCTTCTGGATTCAAAACTTCACTTGGAAGTAAATCTTGTAATTTACTGTAGATTATTTTATTTCGATCAGATGATTGTCTTAATATAGCATCATATTTAATATTTCCTTCAGCATCATATTGAACAGGCAATGCATTACTTTTCTTTGACGGTTTTCGGCCCATATCCAATGGATATTGTGCAACATGAATCTCTGGATAAGCACCACCACCACCATAATCAGCATCACAACGAGGAATCCAATTTTTTCGTTCACCATATTTCGGTATAGATGATGTTAATTGTTTCATATTAGAAGTTGATGCCATTTTTCATGTACAATTAAAAATTTATCTATTTTTTTTGATCAATAAGTTGAATTCAACAATGGAAATCAATTAAAAAAAAATTTCGTTGCTCACACATGATTTTAAAATTCGTTGTATATGAACAGCTTATAATGAAACATCTAAATCGCGATGTGATTTTTTTTTTAGAAAATCAATGAATCAAATGAGATGATAATTGCATTCTTTCTTTCAATCTGATTTAATTTGTTTTTATTATCATTCTTTCGAGTTTTTTAAAATATCATTGTATTCTATTATCATTTAATATCAACATGCAACTTACCGATTTGGATCAATGGATCGAGATTACGAAACAATGCAAATATTTGCCAGAAAATGATCTAAAGGTTTTTTTTCTCATTTTATTTCTCCCATTGGTTTAATTTTTAATTGTTGTTTTCAATTTATTTTAGAAACTCTGTGAAATTGTCTCGGATATCCTAATGGAAGAATCCAATGTACAACCGGTTTCCTGTCCGGTCACTGTTTGTGGTGATATTCATGGACAATTTTATGATCTGGAAAAATTATTCGAAACTGGCGGCCATGTTCCTGAAACTAATTATATTTTTATGGGAGATTTTGTTGATCGTGGCCATTATAGTCTTGAAACTTTCACTCGATTATTAACATTGAAAGCCAAATATCCAGATCGTATTACATTAGTTCGTGGTAATCATGAAAGCCGTCAGATTACACAGATTTATGGATTCTACGATGAATGTTTACTCAAATATGGCAATTCAAATGCATGGAAATATTGCTGCAATGTATTTGATTTGCTAAATGTTGCTGCGGTAAGCTCATCTCACAAAAGTTTGGTTTCATTTTTCATTTGATAATTGTTTCTCAGATAATTGATAATGAAGTATTATGTGTCCATGGTGGTCTATCACCCGATATCAATATGATTGATCAGATTCGAACAATTGACCGAAATCAGGAGATTCCCTGTACTGGTCCATTCTGTGATCTAGTCTGGTCTGATCCAGAAGAAGTTGATACATTTGCTATCAGTCCAAGAGGTGCTGGTTGGTTATTTGGTCCAAAAGTTACACATGAGGTAATTAGCTGATAACCAAACGATCAATGAATTTATTCTATTTATTTTTTGATTTTTTTTCGATTCCTATTAGTTTATGCATATCAATAACTTGAATCTAATTTGTCGCGCTCATCAACTGGTTCAGGAGGGTTTTAAATTTCATTTTGATAACAAATTAATCACAGTTTGGTCAGCACCAAATTATTGTTATCGTTGTGCTAATGTGGCAGCCATTTTGGAATTTCAACACTCAAACCAAAAAGAACCGAAAATATTCAATGCTGTACCGGATTCAGAACGTAAAGTTCCAAATCGTAAATGTCCTTATTTTTTATGATCGTAAATGTCCTTATTTTTTTTAATTTGAGATCAATAATGATGGTGATGACGATTGATTATTGTTACACAGTGCCCATTTAATTATATATAAATAAATTAATTAATTATAATAATAATTATTATTAATTTTTGAGAACATAATTCTTTTGATATGTGTCGAAACATAATTCAATAGAGGCCATAATCATTCGTAATCTTCGATCTAAAGCCTGTAGATGGCGATCGGTAAGCAATGGCCACAATTGATCATTTGAAAGTAATTGTCGTATAATGGCTGATAGATTAAATTGACTAGATGTTGTGAATGCAAATCGACGTAAATGTTGATAAGTTTGGTTACGAATCACACAACATTGTAGTAATGGAAAAATGATAGTCGTTTCATCATGTGCTGGATCACCAAAACTTTTTCCATTATCTACAATAGTTGAATATAATAATCGTGATTATTTCATCAATTAAACAAACTAAAAAGAACTTACCAATTAATAAAAGAGCACTATTTGAAACATGTTTAAACACTTCATAATGATGTCGATCAGCATTACCGATAAGATAATCAAAAATGGCAGTGTCAACAAAATCCAACACACGTGGTCGTAATGAATTCGATTTGAGCACGGATAAACAATAATGTGAATCCATTTCCCATTGAGCTTTAAGATTTTTCTTGTAGGTACGTTGCCATGGATGTCGTAATTTTTGTAATTGATATTGATTTGGCAACATTAGAATGATGGAACCTTCGAGTGTTCCTGTAGATTCATCTGGACACAATAGTTCATATTCGTTACAATAATAACATTCTCCATAGAAACATTCAAGGGTTTGATTTGTTTTTGTTTTTTGTGGCACAAACGTAACCAATAATGATGGAGATGCTACAGGTTTGATTTCCTGTGCTACGTTTATTATTCGTGATGCAACAATCGGTGCATATCTTTGGTTCAAAATTCGTGACAAATGGAATGCAACAATTTCGCCATTATGACGATCTGCTCCAGCATAAATATCATCAGTGATGTAATCACGTGGATAACGTCGAGGTTTGAACAATGCTTGTTGGCCACCTTCCAATGTCAATAGCAATTTCAATTGAGTACCTTTTCTACTAACATCACTTTTGATTATTTTTGAATGTTGTAATGCTTCGATTATCGATGATAATTCCGGCGCTTTTTCTGGAATGATTTGACGGGCACGAACCCATTTTTTAGCTGTCGACCAGATTTTTTTCAATTCTTTATCCTTAAGTTTTACTGCTGTACTACTACTCGAATCTTTTCGTTCAGGTTGTGAATCTGATTTTAACGATTCGACAAAATTTTCAAGGTAATTCTCATTCACATTTTCATCATCATCGCCATTATTATCATGGCCAACAGCAGACATTCCATCCTCGAACATTTGAATCAATTTAAGTTTAGCTTTTTTCTCATATGTTTCACATAATGTAAGATTCTCTTTACGAAGTTCAGCAAATCCAACAACAATCACAGAACGAGATGTATTGATTAAATTGTTTGCCAACTATATAACAATGACAAAAAATGAAATTTTAAAATTTAAAAAAAGACTATTAAGCCAAAAATAGAGATGTAGAATACCTTTTTGTCATCGAAAATGAGCATAAAATAGAATAACATTGAAACGGTTATGATGGAACAGACGAACAATAAGGTAACGATTCGTGTTTTGAAACGACGCATTGCATTTTCTATTGTTGTCTTGGTGTGAATCAATCAACAATAAGATTTAGACAATAATTCTTGGCCACAGTAATAATTAATAAATTTAAACTATTTTCATTTTTTATCGTCTGTAAAAAAACGTCAATTTTTTCAAAATTATCCCGGTAAATTATCTTAGTATGTTGCTCTGGAAACATGAATAGAATATTCATGTTTTATTGTATAAAACATTTATCAAGACACACAGAATTGTTTGTGTTGTATATATGAGAAAATTCTATTGCTACTGAAAAATCAAACTTTTGTTGTAATAGACGCTCATAATGTACTTGTGTGTGTTGTATTTTGTTTTTCCATTGGTGGCTCGCATTTATCATTCAAATGATTTGTTTGTCTTCAAGTGTTTTTTAAATAAGAAGTATATATTCTAATATAAAGATATATTCGAGGACTTTGTTCAAGTTCAGAACAACGAATTCTGTTTACAAATCATCATTATATCATTTTATTATTACAATAATGGCTAATATTATTAATATATTAAAATGTGATTCATTACAAGAATCAAAAGAAGAATTTCGTAAAGTGGTTCAAAAAGCTGTTGATGATCATGATGGACATTATTTTACTGTTGGTCTTTCTGGTGGTAGTTTACCGGCCATATTAGCCGAAGTTTTACCAACAATCAATACTGAATGGAAAAAATGGCGTTTCTTTTTCTGTGATGAACGTCTTGTTTCGTTTAGCGATCCTGAAAGTACATTTGGTGCTTATCGTTCGATTGTTGTACCGAAAATATCTGAAATTAGTTTGAATCAATTCATTACAATTGATCCAAGTTTAAATTCATGGGCTGCAGCCAATGATTATCTTTCAAAAATGAAACAAATTTTTTCACGTAAAACGGAAATTGATTTTCCACGTTTTGATCTACTATTTCTTGGTATGGGTCCAGATGGCCATACTTGTTCATTGTTTCCAAATCATCCATTGTTGAAAGTAAGTTACACTGTGATGTATGTCATATTTTGTAATCGCAATTGTTTTTTCATTTCATTTCATTTCACGAAACTGACAAAAAAAAAATTTCTAGGAAACAAAACGATGGATTGCATATGTTGGCGATTCACCAAAAGTAGGTCTAAATTTTTTTTTTATTTCATTCATTGTTATGTATAGCTATTTTATTCGAATGACTAACATATGCAATCTTTTTTTTCTTTTCTCATTCATTCGAATGCGAGAATAGCCTCCACCAAATCGTGTCACAATGACATTACCAGTTCTGAACAATGCAAAATATTGTGTATTTTTTGTTGCCGGAGCTGCCAAAGCTCAAGTAGTCAAGGTAACATTTTTTTCTGATAAAAATTTGAAATTTTCATAAACAAAAAATTTAAATTTGAACTTCATTTATGTACGAAATCCTTATTCCTGTTCATTTTTTTGTTTTGTCACAATTTATAGGATATTGTTGTCGATGGTAAATTACTTCCCGGTGGTATGGTTGTACCGAAAAAAGGTGAACTATATTGGATTCTTGATAATGAATCAGCATCAATGTTACCTGAAGAATATCTGAAAAAAATGTCGGTCGATCTTGCTTGAAGATTTTGCAAAAAAAAAAAAAATCTAGTCCATCCATAATGTTTACCTGCAATCTTGATCAATAACAAGCTCAAGCGTGAAATATTTGAAGAAAATTCAAAATCAATGCATTTCCTTCCAAAACAAAAACAAAAAAAAAAAACAAACTGCAATATTCATAATGACAAACTCATTTTTTATTTGTCATCTATGTTATACTCTCAATTCGATTCGGTAAAGAACATTTTCTAGCCTCCAATCAAAAAAAAGGACTGGTGCAAAAAAAAAATCTTAATTGAAAACAAACGTTTCTGTTGGTCAAACGTTGTCATTCATCATTATCATCATCATCATCATTATCATCAACATCACCATGACAATCCTTTTTTCCTCTTATTTCATTCAAACTACATAATAATATGTCATCTGGTCATCATCGTCATTAACTCGTTGTGTCTTACTTAAATTGGAAACAAATAAAAAAAATGAATAAATTTTCTTGGTTCTTAAAAGTAGAAAAAAATATATATTCAAGTCATAAAAATAAAATTAGTTAGTATATCTCAATAAACATATAAACACTAACTGACTATGACCATTTCCTTTCTACTTTTTTTTTCTTTCATCAATCAAGATGATTATAATTAGAAACACAGCGAAAAAAAATATAAAATTTCAACTTTTCAAGGATATAATGATGATTTGATTTTTTTTCTTGTAGCAAAAATAGCTGGATGAATAAATAAAAAAAAAATTCGAAAAGACTCACAAACACAAACCCACAATCGAACAACAACATTTACGATTCATTACTTCTTTTCCGTTCGTTCTCTATGAATGGCACCGATGAACAAAAAAAAATGCAATTTCCAGAGCGAGAAGAAAAATTCTTTTTTTTCAAAACAAATCCAATTCATCATTATACATTAAAATGTATATTTGTTTGTTTTTTGTTTGTTACTGTTTGTTGTTGTCCATTCTCCTTCATTCATCACACATCCTATTTTGATGATGGTTGTGTTTTTTGTTTTTGTTTCGGGTTGATGTCCATTTGAAATTTTTTTTCTTGTTTAAATCAAACACAAATACACACAATAATATATATGCAGATTTGTATGGTCTGGTTTTCTGTGTTTTGTCTATATTCAAACCGCCAGAAAAAAAAAACAAATAAATTTGAAAAAATAAATAAATTTGAAATGTTTGAATTTTCTTTTTCTTCATATCATCAACCAACATTATAGTGTGTTTGTATGTGTATGTGATAAGAATAATAGCGATGATGATGATGATTTGATTCATGGTAAACTTGGAGAGTATATCTTCAACGAAATACGATCCTCATCATTTTCGAACGAAAAAAATTTTTTTTTGTTTTGTTTTGTTTTGGTTATTAGATCTGTTTGCAAAAAAAAAAAAATGCAAATGAATCATGATGGCCAAAATTTGAATTTGAAATTAAAAAAAAAAAGAAAATACAAAATAAAATAAACAAATTTGCAACAAATTTTATCAAAAATTCGAAACAGAAAAAAAAAAATTTTTTTTCGATAATGACAATGAATGTGTGTGTGTGTGTGTGTGTATGAACATCGTAACAAGGAATAACGTCGTAGCTTCTACTTTTAAATTATCAATTATGAAGGTCAGCATACGAAATGGAATTTTATAGAAACAAACAAACAAACAATACCATTCAACCAACAAATCAACCAACCATACAGTCAATTTTATGGATGGTAAAATAATAAAAATGCGTCATATTTATCACATGAACAAAATTTTAAACGAACGTGTGTAATGATAACATTTTCATTTTTAATTTCTTTGTTGTTTTTCGTTTTGGCTAGATTTAATAATTTTCAATGATGGCGGTAAAAAAAAACTTATGTTCATTTTACATGCAAACAACACGAGAGAGAGAGAGATTTGAAGAATAACATGTATTATGGTAATTATTTATTGAAGAAGATGAAGAAGAATAAGTTGAAAATCATCTGAAAATTTTTTTTTTGTTTGAAGATCAATGAACTTGTGTTCATATAATTGTGATTTTTTTTATTTTATTTATTTCGGTTTTTCAGTTTAGTCCATTACATCATGGTTGAATTTTTGTTGTTGTTGTTTTGTTTTTACATCGACCGATTCAAGTTTCGAAAAATGTGGTGTGTGTGTGTGCGAGTTTAAATTGGATGAACACTTCACTTTTTTTCTGATCATATGGCTCCAAAAAAAAAATGAAATAGATTTCCTATATGTGAAATGGTTGACTACTGCCAGTTGGTTGATTGGTTGGTTGGTTGGTTGTTGATCGGGCGTCACGCGAGTATAACAAATACAAATAATAATAGTGTGCATGTATGTATTCAGTTCATTCGATATTCGGTTTATATTTTTTTCGACTATTTGAAGATTGAATTGAAATGAAATGAAATCCAGTTTTTTTTTTGTTTCAAGTTTATTTTTTTTTCTGATCATATGGCTCCAAAAAAAAAATGAAATAGATTTCCTATATGTGAAATGGTTGACTACTGCCAGTTGGTTGATTGGTTGGTTGGTTGGTTGTTGATCGGGCGTCACGCGAGTATAACAAATACAAATAATAATAGTGTGCATGTATGTATTCAGTTCATTCGATATTCGGTTTATATTTTTTTCGACTATTTGAAGATTGAATTGAAATGAAATGAAATCCAGTTTTTTTTTTTTTTCAAGTTTCCTATAATACACAGTCAGGTATTGGTTTTTTTTCCTCCCCCCACTCAACTGATGATTTGGTTGTTTTTCCGATATGATGGCTGAATCATCAAAATCAACAAGTGTGAATATAGAAAAAGAGATGATGATGATGATAAATAAATGGAATAGATAGATAGATTGGTGGTGAATGAAATAAACAACGATATCAAATTTGAAACAATATATATTCGATGATAAACGGTTGATGATTTCAAGGATTTTATTTTCTCTCTTAATATATATGTTTTTTATGGCTACTGTTGAAAAAAAAACTTAATCAAACATGATCTGATCTTCAGATTTTATACCGCTTAAACCAAATCAAACTTAACCGAATTTGGATTTTGGATATTTGTAACAAAAAAAAAATCAAATAAATAAATTTGAAATTCGGGTGCGACGACGCATGCGTGTTTTATAATATCTATAAATCCTATGATACTATGATGATGATGATGGATCCATATTATTTTGTTATGCTGTTGAACTTTTTTTTCAGCTCTTTTTTCTCTCTTTGACTTGATCCACTCCTTTTAATAATAACAATCATCATTAAATAGTGTCCGTTTTGTTGGAACACCACCACACAACACACACATATATATACACACAAAACACCACCACCAATATTTAATAGACTGACTGCAATGCGAATGAGAATTTGTCATGTTTTTCTGATATTTTTCATCAATTGTTATCATCATATTCCAATACTACTACTGTAAATATGGATTCATTATTCACATTGACTACTACTACTACAACAGTACAGGACAATATTGCCATTTTTTTCCTGGCTACATTTTTTTTGTGTGTATATGTGGTCGGATCCAGTTTTCAGTAATATTTCTTCTTGTCTTTTTTTTTGGGTTTGCCGCTTCTCCGATTTTAATATTGCAAACACACACTGTTTTTGTCATCGTCTGTCGTATAATATTTTTTTTTTTTTTATATTTGTTTCGCCTGATAAGTTAAATGCACTTTCCATTCGTTTTATATTATTTGTATGTGAATCAGATTTTTTTTTTGGATTGTGAGTCGTTTTCCTGTGTCTCTCTCTGTTTCTGTTTCTGTTTCTGTTTGTATGTGTGTGTGTCATCAAATACAACAACAACAACAATAAATTCTTGAAGAAATACCCGGACCAATGTAAACGCATCTTCTCTATTTTACATGATGAAAATATATGACTGTTGTATTGTTCAATTTTTCAATCCAACAACAACAGAAATCAATGAAATAGAAGTGGTTATTGTTGAAAAACAAAAAGTTTAGAGAGACCCTAGGTTCTAGGGTTTTCTTTTTCTCAAGTGTCTTGATCTTCGTTTGTTTTTATTTCGAATGTTTTCATAATTTTTTTTAAATGAATGAATATCTTTGATTCTTTCTTTCTTGGGTGTGCGTGTGTGTTGAATAAAAACTACGACACACCAAATCACCATATAATGCTATCAGCATTTCAATTCCATTTTGCAGCAACAATTTAACAATGATGATTCGAAAATTCGAATCGAATCCAGCTATGATCAGATACAAATATCTACTGTTTATTTTGTTGTTGTTGTCGTAAATATTATTATCGTTGAAAATTATTGACACACATTTATGTTGAATAAAACTACCATCATTGAATGAAACCATCCTACTTTATCTATTATTTACCTATTTACGAATCAACAACATCAAACAAAAACTTGATGGATTATTTTTTCAAAGAGTTTATATGATCGAAAAAAACGGTTTGTAGTGGCGGTTTTTTTCGGCCTTTTTCATCGTGTTTTGCCGATATATGTTTTTTTTACCAATAATCGTTGCTTCATTGCTGTTTTTAGTATGTTTTTTGTGTGTGTGTTTGTGTCGGTGTATTTCAAGATAATTTCCAGTAGTGATGATCAACATTAACCATCGACCGGTTATTCAAGTCAAGTCATCATCGATTTGTTTTTTCTTTTTGGCTATATTTGATCTTTTTGGTGAAGATCATCATCATCATACAACCAGATTAAGAGATTGACTCGATGTGTGTGTGTATGTGTATGTTTATGTGATGTGTATAAGCGTTGGATTCGATTTGTATTTTTTTTTTTTTTTTTTTTTTGCCAATCAACAAACGAATGGATGAAAGAAAAAAAATGATAATTTCTATTTTTCAACCCATGAACGCGTACAAAGAAAAATTCAATATGTTTCAATTATTTAAAAAATAGATTCGATTGATATTGATTCATTCAATTTCCTTTCATATGAATCTGGTATTGGAAAATTTTTTTTTATCCCTCCTCTTTTCCATTCACTCTGTCATTGATGATCATCGATTCAATCATCATAACAAATAATTTGTTATTGTCGTTTTATGTCCATAATTGGCCATGTCTATATATATAATAATTAGAGAAAACATTCATTCATTTTTGTCGTCATCATCATCATCATCATCAATGTTTCGATGTGTTTGTGTTTGGTGATTGAAAAAATTTTTTTTGTCATCAACCAACAAAAAACAAACTATAACGACAAAATTATTGATCAACTGAAAACGAACTGTGTAAACCAGAAGTTAAACATCAACAAAAAAAAACAAAACAAAACAAAAACAACGCCATCAACAATAATCTCATTCTCTTGTTTGTTATTATTATTATGCTGATGATAATGATGATATGATTGCAAATCATACGATTATCGAGAATTATTGTTTTTTGTTACCAAAAAAAAAATTCCATAAAACATAAAATCATCAAAAAAAATATGATTGATCCATTTCAGGATTATATTGTTCATCAATCATCAAATAATTAAATTTATGTTTTATTCAATTTGATCAAAAAAAAAAAAAAAATCCATCCAACACAAACAACACACGCTTTTTCTTTTTTGCCAAATAAATATTTCTTTTGTGTGTTGTGTTGTTTATGTGCGTGTCCGAGAAATTGTTTGGTTATTATTATCTGCCTTATTTAATCAATTACAACGTAGATATCAACGTTCAATTATTATCATTTTTATACGAGATAATCAAACGTAATATTCTTTTTTTTCAATTTAATAATTTCCATTACATATTTAAAAACATGACTTGATTTGTTCTTCTATTGTCGTATATATAAATATTATATTGATGTGATGCCAATCATCGATTAGCATTTATATTTTTCTGTGAATATTTAAATTTACATATATTCAATTTTGGAAATAAAGTGTCAAATATAAAAAAGTTTTTTTTTCTGCACACATATATTGTTGTACTATTAATGATGGCACAATCAATCAATTGTAGTCTTGATGACATCGATCTTAATAGCCTAAAAGTATGTTTAAATTTTTTTTCTGCTAGTTCATTCCATTCATTTATTTGTTTGTTTGATTAAATTTTTGTTTACTTCCGTATTTAACGATGATGATGATGATGATAACCTTTTTTTTGTTTTTCTACTATTAGGATCCTGCCGGTATTTTTGATCTAATCGAAGTGGTCGGTAACGGTACATATGGCCAGGTTTATAAAGTGAGTTGTCGTTTTTTTTCTTGATTACATGATTGATAAAAAAGGTGTGATTATTATGATTGTTTTTGTTTTTTTTTGTTAGGGTCGTCATACAAAAACAGGCCAATTGGCTGCCATCAAAATCATGGACGTGACCGAAGATGAAGAGGATGAAATAAAATTGGAAATAAATGTTTTGAAAAAGGTGAGTCATTTTTGTTAACGAAAACAACATTTGTTTTTTTCATTTTAAAAAGTACATATATTTTGAGATTGATGATTATGATGAATCGTTTTCTAATGAATTCTATTTTTGTTTTTTTGTTTTCAATTATAACAGTTTTCCCATCATCGAAATATTGCCACTTACTATGGGGCTTTTATACATAAAAGTCCTGAAGCTAAAGATGATAAATTATGGCTTGTTATGGAATATTGTGGTGCCGGTTCAGTAACCGATTTGGTTAAATCAACAAAAGGACATTCATTAAAAGAAGATTGGATTTCCTATATTTGTCGTGAAATATTAAGAGGATTAAATCATTTACATCAGAATAAAATTATTCATCGTGATATAAAAGGCCAGAATGTTTTGCTTACCGATGATGCTGAAGTCAAACTAGTCGATTTTGGTGTCAGTGCTCAATTGGATCGAACAATTGGCCGTCGTAATACGTTCATCGGTACGCCATATTGGATGGCTCCTGAAGTCATTGCTTGTGATGAGAATCCCGAAGCTACTTATGATAATCGTAGTGATCTTTGGTCGCTCGGCATTACTGCCATCGAAATGGCTGAAAATACTCCGCGTGAGTTTTATTGTTGAAAAAACTAATTTGTTGAAATTTAATTGAATTTTTTTTACCAATTATAGCACTTTGTGATTTACACCCGATGAGGGCTTTATTTTTGATACCAAGAAATCCACCTCCACGATTGAAATCCAAAAAATGGTCCCAAAAATTTCAGAAATTTATCGAAACAGTTTTGGTCAAAGATTATACCAAAAGACCATTCACTGACCAATTGTTGAAACATTCATTCATTAGAGATCAACCAAACGAACGACAAGTGCGAAATCAAATCAAAGAGCATATTGATAAATGTAAGAAATTGAAACGAAATGATTTCGAAGATCGATATGCAGCCAGTGATGATGATGAAGAAGAATCCAATTTACCGCCAGCTATGATGATGGATTTACGTGATCATTTAAATCAACAGGAATCAACCTTGAAAAAAAATGAAAAAAATCCCGTCTCGCCCAATATGGGACGTAATGGTCATCCTCCACACATGCAACAACAGCAACAACAACAAGCTGGACCTTCTCATAAATCACCAGAAAAATTCCATCATCCACCACCACCGATTTCATCACATATGGCAAATCGACCTTTACCGGCACCGCCTACCCGGGCTGTTCCACCACCTGAAATGCCTCCGTCAAAACCTTTGCCACCATTACCGGTTGAAAATGATAATATTAATAAGAAAAAAGTTAATGGAAAAAATATCGAACATCAACTACAATCCTCGAATTTACCAAATGCTCAACATCCGCACATTACCAATCAAGCTAACCGAAATTCTGGCTATTTTAAAGCTCAATTCCAAAAACCAGAAGATCTTGAAGTGTTGGCTGCTCAACTAAATGAAATGGGAAATTCTGGAAATAATGTGAACAGAAATGGACAGAAAGCAAAGAAAATTGTAAACAATAATAATGATAATAATGGTCATCCAAAAGGACAAAAATTAATGAGTAGAGATAGCAATGGATCACCACAGAATGGTTTTGTATCAAATTTCAAGCAACCAGTGATGGCATCAAATCGAACATCAGGTCCAATAATAGTCAATTCAGGTTCGGATGATGAAGAAGAAGAAGATGATGATGATGACGATGACGACGACGATGATGATGAAGATGTTGGTCCAAATGGTTTGGGTCGTCGAAACGATGGTACATTGTTGGCATCAGATCCGCCTCGTCCTTTGTATATTTTTCAAAATTTTTTGGTTTGTTTTTTAATCTAAAATTTTTTCTATCATAGGCCGGAACCGAGTAATCTTCGCAATATTCAACCATCAAGTCAACCACCAAATAGACCTTTGCCTCCACCACCACCGGGTGATTGGTATCCACCATCAAAACCATTGCCTCCATTGCCCAAAAATAGTTCCCAAGATGATGATGATAGTTCATCCAATGATCAAACACTTGTATTAAGAAAAGTAAGCAATCTTTTTTCAATAAATACTATTCAATCAACATATTGGTATTAGCACTTGATCCTAACAAATTTTCCATGACATTTTTAACCCCTTTCTTCCTTTTTCATGATTAGAAACAAATGAATCAAGTGAAGAATAATAATGTTAGTATTGAATCCAATTCAAGTGAACAACATTTACCTAAAAATAATGTTAGTAGTGATATTAAGGATACTTATGAGAGTAATAATAATATGAAAGACAATAGTCGAAATAATAATAGTAGTAGTAGTAATAATAATATTAAAGAAAATATACGATCAAATGGCTTGCATGATGATCCGAAAAAACGATTTTCGGTCATTGAATCAACCACCAATCATAGTGGTAAAGAATTGATTAAAGATCGAAGGATTAGTTCAAGATTTGATGTAAATATTAGGAAAACTCCATCAACGAAAATTCCAATAATAAATAGTCGAGATCTTTCATCCGATGTTAATAAGAATGATAACGATGATGATGATGATAAATGCAACCTGGATCACCATAAGCAACAATCGAATGGCAATGGTGTGATTTTAAAATCTGAGCCATCAACTCCGACACAGAAACAGCAACCAACTATTGAACAAGAGCCAAAGCAACAACAACAACAACAACAGAAAACCAAATTAGGTTCCAAATTTTTTGATTTGAAACCGAAGACCAAAGTACAGGTTTGATGACTGTTTCTCAAGATGTCTGTTTGTTGCTTAACAGATAATGGCTATCAGATATGCTTTGCATTAGATTTTAAAAGTAAAGACCCACTTACCCATGAAAAAAGATATTAATTGTTAATTTGTTGCTTTTAATCATCAAACATAATTAATTAATCGCTGTCTTCGTTGGCTTATTAACATTGAATTCCATATTTTTAAATTGTTTATACCTTAATTTTAATTATTATTTTTTCTATTCAATTTAGAATCGAAATGAATCATCATCATCAAACCAAAGCTCACGGCAAAGTGGTGTTATACCAGATTTATTACCTCAAGATGATCTAAATCGATCAAGTGATTTATCACATTTACAGCGCCAATCTGTTTTATCACAACAAATGCAACAAAAACAACGTTCATTTTTAACGTTTGGTTTTGGTGCCGGTACTAACAACAACAACAACAACAATAATAATAATAATAATATGGTCATTGAATCTGTATCTAGTCCATCACCTCGTCGAGAATCACAAGTAAATGTTAATGTTTCACCATCAGTGCAGCCGGATACACCGGAAATACGAAAATATAAGAAACGTTTCAATTCCGAAGTTCTTTGTGCAGCACTTTGGGGTGTTAATCTTTTGATTGGCACAGAAAATGGCCTGATGTTATTAGATCGTAGTGGTCAAGGTAAAGTGTATCATCTTATATCAAGGCGACGATTCCAACAGATGGAAGTGTTGGAAGGTCAGAATATTTTGGTTACCATTTCTGGTAAAAAATCTCGTGTTCGGGTCTATCATTTGTCATGGCTTAAAAGTAAAATTATCCGTACCGATCAGGTTAGTGTTATTTTTATTTTTATTTATTTATTTTTTTTTTTTTTTTTGATTAATCTTAATCTTTTGCTACTCATTAATAGCAAATCGAGAAAAAGAATGGCTGGATCAACGTTGGTGAATTGGATGGTGCTGTCCATTTTAAAATTGGTAAATTTAAATTTCATTTTTAGTTTCAGTAGTTTTTAGTCATTTTTTTCTAGTTTTTTTTTTGCTTTGATTGTGATTCCACATTTCCATTTCTGTTGAAATTTTTATTTTACGTTAGCTGAAATTGAAACTAACAATTTATATTCGTTTGTTTTTCTATTAATCAATCGTAAAAAAAATATTTGACATGATGATGATTAGTCGGTTGGCAGATACCGCAACAAGTATCTAAAGATTGGGAGAATACTTTTCGAATTTGGAGTGGAAATGGTTGGTTTCGACTTTGATTCCGAAGATTATGTTGAAGAAAATTTTTTTCTTTCTTTTTTTTTGGTTATCCATAGTTAGTTTTTGATGAGTTTTTCGATTAAATCTTTTTGGTTTTCCCATTTTGTTTGCATTTTTTTTTTGATTGAGATTTTTTTTTGAAATTGAAAATTATTCCCAAATTCTTTATTTTGTTTTTGTTTTGATTTTATTATAGTTAAATATGATCGTATCAAATTTTTGGTAATCGCCTTGAAAGACAGTATTGAAATCTATGCATGGGCACCAAAACCTTATCATAAATTTATGTCATTCAAATCATTTCTGGATCTTGCCCATAAACCATTACTAGTCGATATGACAATTGAAGAAGGTATTCGATTAAAAGTCATTTATGGTTCATTGGAAGGATTTCATGCAATCGAATTGGATAGTGGATCAGTTTATGATATCTACATACCAACACATGTAAGCTATATTACATTTGATATTGATGTTGATGATAATGATTAATCTAATTTTAGAGCCAAGGACCAATTACTCCACATACCATCATTACTTTGCCAAATTCAAAAGGAATGCAATTATTGTTATGTTATGACAGTATGTATTCATTTGTCATTTTGTAATGTTTTTCATATTACATTACATTTTATCTGTTTCCTATTTTTTCATTATTGTAATAGATGAAGGCGTCTATGTAAATACATTTGGTAAGTGATGTTTTCTTTCTTTTTTTTCTAAATTTTAGTTCATTGCATCATTCATTCATTGTAATAGGTAAAGTAAGCAAAAATATATTTTTGCAATGGGGTGAGATGCCAACATCGGTTGCCTATATCGGTACTGGTCAAATAATGGGTTGGGGTAACAAAGCGATCGAAATTCGTGGTGTTGAAACTGGCCATTTGGATGGTGTTTTTATGCATAAAAAAGCTCAAAAATTGAAATTTCTTTGTGAACGTAATGATAAGGTAAGAAATTGCATTGTTATTGAATGAATGTTTTTCATATTTTTTTCTTATCAATCCCCTAGGTCTTCTTTTCATCATCAAAAGGTGGATCTTGTCAAATTTATTTTATGACATTGAATAAACCTGGCCTTGCCAATTGGTAAATGTAAATCGATCAAACGGTTTTTGTATGTGAAAAGATAGATGAAATCATCTTGCTTCTTGAAAATTCGCTAAACAAAACAAAACCAATAAACGATTCTAGGATTCTAAGTTTTTTTTTCTACAAATCAAATACTACTATCGATACAAATCAAACAATTTTCTAAAAAAAACAAAACAAAAAAATGAATGCAAAATTTTTTGCAATAACCAAACAAAACACCAACACACACAAGTATTGATACAATTTTTTTTTATTCTTATTATCATGTAATTGAAATGAATTTTTTCAGTAATAAAATGATACCAAAATGTTTGTATATTTAAAATTTAATTCATTCACCATGATGATTATTATTACTTTTTTTATCCGATTTTTTCATATCAAAAAATGTTGGATCACTTGGTTTAATATTATTTTGACGTGCAAATTCAGCTAGGTCACGTTTCATTGCAAAAGCATCTTCACCGTCGGCATAATATTTAGGTTCCACTTCACTTATCTCAAATTTTAATGTATTTTGATATAGATGTAAAGCAGCACGATTACTTTTACGTACATGTAATGATACATAACGTGCATTGAAACATTCAACCATCGCTCTTGATGCTTGATCCATTAATTTTTGTGCCAAACCAAGACGACGATTTGTTCGTTTCACAGCCAATGATGTTATATGGCCATGTGCAATATCGGATTCTTCTTCCATTTTGGCTAAAACATAACCAACGATACGACCTTGATCATCTTCGGCTACATAGGATAATTGTGGCCATGAAAGACCATGATAGAAATAGTATTTCATCTGATAATTCTCTGGTAAACAAAGCAAATTGCAATGTTGCATATTCATTAGATCATCTGGCTATTATGGCGAAAAATAATAAAATTATTTCATAATCAAACTCATTTAATTAAACAATCAATACCTTAGCGTTGCGAATATACATGGTTGTCGCAAATATTTATTGAAAAAAAGACTATTTTATCAGCAAAGAATTGTAAAATTCTGATGAATTTTAATTTTCACTCGAAAAATAATTGGTGCATGCTTCAGATTTTTTTTCCAATACGTCCTATATGAACGGAAAAGATCGTGAAAAAATTCCTGAATGGAAAAAATTCAAAATTGAAATTTTAATGAATTCGTAACAAGAATTATCAAATTGTCGAAAAACTCATCGCAATCATTGGTAGGCAGTGAAAGCCTTGAATTATTAAAAAAAATAACTACGTTTGGCAGGGCCTGTCGAGGTGCCTGTGCAAACTGTGCACAGCACAAGGCCTCGCAGTTCCAAGACCTTCGCGTTTTTCAATTCAATTTTGCATAAGGCAAATTTTCTCGGCCGGCTCTGACGTTTGGCTTCCAACTAACAACCAACAAAGTAAATATTATTTTGTATCGATCCAAAAAACGACCGAAATAATGCATACTTTTACGGTCTTGTACTGTAATGATGGAAGAAAATTTTTCACCATTATTGATTGGGCTCTTTGAAATTAATGAAAAAAAATGTTTTTACTAATTTAAATTATATGAAAACCATTTGAACTATTTGGTCGATCGATAGAATCGCATGGCCAGATTGATTTAAAACTATGTTTTGAATTTTTAGTCGTATTTGCTTTGTAAAGTCACTAACGGCAGCTATTTATCTTTTGCTTATTTTATATGTTGAATTGTATAGAAGAATAATTGGAATATGGCTCCAAACTTTTTTATAATTGAAAAAGATCCTAAAAATATTGGTGAAATATTTTGTCGGTGTTTTGAATGTTGGAAACATCTAAGTCATCGTTTGGAATATTCACTTGAATGTTATCAAAATCATTGTATCAAATGGAATTTTCATACATTGAAACGTACGATTCATATGACAACAAGAGCATGGATAATAATCATTTCATTATTGTGGATCATAATCTGGCCACATGATCGCTTATTTATGAATGTGGAAAATTTTGATGAAATATCACAAATCAAAAGAAGTGATCTAGTAATCATTGAATTAATTATTATATTCATCGTTCTCGAATGGATGTGGTTTCATATATTTAAAGGTATTTGGATTTATCGTTCATCATGGAATGATTTTATCGTTATAAATTATCGATTTGATGATCACCAATTAAGGCAGGATTTTCATGAATATCTCATTAATTTTTACGTTATAACCCATTCGATAGCCAAATTACTTTATGCAATTTCTGCTATCACATTGATCATATTTAATATTTTATTTATTCATCTTTCCATCGGTTTTTATCTAAATTTCAAGATTACCTTGATTCAATTAATGATGACAATGTCAGTGTTGTCAATGTTAGTACGTCATCTAATATTAATGATGGGTCAACTATTTTTATCACTCAATTACACTATATTTGTTGTTGAATTTTTAAAAATACGCTTGAAACAATTACATACATTTCTACGAATTGAATTCAAGTTATTTCGTTTTACAACGGTAGCAAATTTTAGAAAAATATGGAAAAAATTCTATCCAAATTACATTCGAATTTATTCCGAAACAATCAAAATGAATCAAACGGAAAAAATTATATTTTTCAATTTGGAATTGATATCAAAATCGGCAATCATAATTTCTGCATTATTTATTGGTCAACAATTGAAAATGAATATCATGAATACGTTTGTGGCACTTGTATTCATTATTGTATTCTGTTATACAACACTATTATATTCACGTGTTTCATATTTGCCATTTTATAATCAATTATGTTCACGAGCATTAATGGATGGTGTGGCAAGACAAAAACCAATACCATTCGTATTGAAACATTTTTATTCCATTAAATCACATCTATTAATACAGACAATGGCCAATAATCGTTTAGGATTTACATGTGGTGAAATGTTTTTCATAACACGTTTCAAATATATTCAATTATTCATTTTGAATTTTCATTTAATTATAAAATTTTATAAAAAAATTTGCATATCATCATAATATATATTACACATATATATAGTTTGTTTCTATAGAATTAATGATATATATATATATATATATATAGAATAGAATTAAAATTAAAATAAAATTTTTATATCTCAAAATTCTAATCATTTAAATTCCTCATGGATAGATGGCGGTTTACGAAATTAATAATCTTTTCAAAATGTAAAAATTTTCGACAAATTGTGTTTGTGTGTGTGTGTTTAAGCGAAAAGGCAAAAATCAAAGATTGATCATCTGATATTATTTGTTTGCACTTTTTTTTGATTTGACACATCTCACCTCCTGCCGATATTTTCCATTCTTCAATATCAATATCATATCATTTACGCGTGTATTTTTTTCAAGCCTTATACTGTGAACAAATATCTTCATCATCAATATCAATATCATATCATTTACAATTGTGAGTCCCCGAAATACAAATATTTATGTCAAACAAATTTTTTTTTTCAGTTTTCTTTTCTATATTTTTTCGATGATGTTTTTCTTCAATGTATTTATTGGATTTTTTTTTGAAAAATCAAGAACCTTATACCATCAAAACTTTAAATGAAAACTCAAACTGAACAAATAGTCAAAACATTTTTGTTTCGATGATAATAATGGCCATTTGACTGGACAATGAATAGGTCATCATCATCATCATCATCAGAAGCTATCTCATCGCAAACATATATCATCTATCTTGCTATAATAATATAATCGTATGGCTATTTGGTGATGCATATCCACTATCTATTTGGAATGGTCAATTGTGAGTCCCCGAAATACAAATATTTATGTCAAACAAATTTTTTTTTCATAGTTTTCTATATTGACACGGGTCATACTGTGGGTCGATGATGTTTTTTTTTCTTCAATGTATTTATTGGATTTTTTTAAAAAAATCAAATTCAAATTTGAACGGTTGTCGTAAAAAAATCATCATTTTTCAAACTGACAACTACCATCAAAACTTTAAATGAAAACTCAAACTAAACACTAACTATATTAGCAGCCTGTCGTTGTTTTGATTAATATTTTTTTTTTTGTTGTTTTCTTTCGTATTTTTAAGCTTTTTTAGTTTTACCTGTTGATACTATATAGATAATGAATTTTGATTAAAAGTATTTAATTTATAGCTTTAATTAATTATATTATGTTATGTGAACACTTCAGATGTTTTTTTTCACTTCACAAACTTGAAATTTAATTTTTGAAGCGAAAATTGAGCAATATGATGGTGGATGATATCGATATTCAAATGAGCCAATTCGAATGGTTTGAATTTTTTTCAACTTGAATTTTAATTCAATTTTCACCAGAAAAAAATGAATTTAGATTGTCAACAAGTTGACGATATCATCGAAGCTAATTATTTCTGCAAAACGATCGGGTTATTCCTGTCGACTATGGTGGCCTACAACAAAAAACAATTTTATTTTTTTGACAATGTTAAATCGAATCAAAACAACAAACGAGAAAAAAAAATCAAAGTGTCGATTGCGGCGGACGTTTATTATGAATTGAATTGTAACGAATTATAATAATACGTGATTCAAATAAACAAAAAAAAAACTTTATCCGCTTGTTTCAAATTTTTTTTTTATTTTTTGAAAAAAAGATCTAAAGTTGAACAGTAGAACTTGATTAAAGTCTGATGATTGTCACTATAGTGTTTTGTGTTGTCGGTAATCACTTTTTTTTGGTGCATTTTTTCTTTGTCATTTTTGGATTTAGATTTTCAATCACATATTGAGCATGTTTTTTTTTCTTTCCATTCAATAATAATAATAATAATTTGATTATGTCTGATCATAGCTGGTCGCGTATGATGATTGGATTATTACGGCTAGACAAACATTGACATATATAAGCAGAGATTGAAAAACGGTAGAAAAACCGAGACCCCTAACCCCAAACCCCAACAAAAAAAAGCAATGCCGCCACATTCTGAACACATGATGATGATGGTTCGACCCTTTGTGTCATTATTTATTTTGGTATTCATACCAATGATCATATAATGACAATAAATATATAAAAATGATCATATTTTTCTTCAATAGAAGAAAAAAAAACTAATCAAAGATTGGAAATAATAACAACTACTTGTAGGATTTTCTATCGAATGAAACAAACAAAGAAATGCATGAATTTGTTTTTCATTAATGAAAATGAATTATTACAACGTGATCCTCCACACACACACACACAACGAATTTGTTTTTTTTCTGTCTACTTATATACAGTATATAACAATGTAATAATCAATCTATTGTGTATAACACCATGTTTATATGATAGAGATTCACATTTTGAAATAACATTGGATTTGAAATTTTAAATTTAGTTGAAATAACTGTTAAAAACTTTGCCAATATTCACCTTCGACAAACTTATGGTTATATATAGAAAAAATAGGTGTTTTTTTTGTTTTTTGTTTTTTTGTTGTTTCCGAATTTAGAGTAGTACCATATAGATTAACACATTTAATGTTCATATATTTCATATTTGATTTGATTTATGAATTTTTTTTTCGTTTTTGTTTTTGTTTTTGTGGATTCTAAGCCTGAGATTATTAGATTTTTTTTTTTTGTTTGATTGATCGATCGATGAATATTTTGTTTCTGATTTAAATACATTGTATATGTATTGAAATGGCAAAATTTTTTTCATTTTTTTTTCATCCCCTCGTTAATTCATCGTAGTAAAGGTTATTTGATGATTTTTCTATGATTATGATGATGATGATGATGATGCCAGGTAACTTAATACTATCAATATTTTGCGATTGACGTAGTACAAATCATAGGGAATCAGAAAAAAAACCTTAAGATATGATGAATTCAACGACACAGGAGTAGTAAACAATTCAAATAGAAACTACCAGATTTTGATCAATCTCTGACAAAATTTGTTATAACGTGAAATACAATTAGCCCGTAGAATTGAATGAAAATTAAAAAAAAAATATGATAAATTGTTTTTTGTATTTAAATAATGATTATTGGCCACAAAAAAAAGAAACGAAAAAAATTTGTTGATATTCAACATATAACACAACACCTAACACATATTCAATCTTAGCTCAATTGGAAATCATATAGAATGGAATGTCAAATAGATATCTAAATGTGGAACAAATTTCATTTTATCATTATCATCATCACAATCTGACATAGTCATAATACAATCTTGATCTACTAATTGACAACAATCATCAATTCCTATTTTTTTTTATTTGTTGTTTCCCTAAGTTATTCCGAAATGGTGTTTATCAGCATGCTAATTTAGTTATGCTGAATGACGTTGTTGTTGTTGTTGTTGTTTATCGTTGATTTTTAATTACTTCCATTTCTATTTGCAAATGATTTGTTATGATATGATCTTTTTTTTTCTTGGAAAACTAATTTCATTCTCATTTGATTGTTATGATCGAACGATAATGATGATGATGAACCACAATTGAATTGACCAAAAAAAACCCATCAAAGAATAATAATAAAAAAAATAATATCAGCAAGATACTTGTTTCATGTTATGAATAATCAGTGTAAAATGTCATAACCACAGGGTTCCATCTCGGGAATCAATACAATGATCAATAACAGAAACAACAAGATTGATATTCATCTATTATATGATATTCATCAAGGTATATCATGTATTCAATTTTTACTGTTTTGTTGATAAAGATCAGATGAATGTTAGAAACAAAACAAAAAATATAACAAAAATATAGACACCTGATAATCAAGATTAGAAAAGGTGACACTTGAATCATCAATGAATGATCCAAAATTAAATGACATATATAAATACAATAAACACACACACACACTAACTAGGTATGAATGAATTTATCATTAATCATAACAACAACAACAACAACAACAAAAATGAATAATAAAACAGGCTGTATTTTAAGTTCTGTTGATGAATATTCATCGATAATTCGTGATATATCATTCATCCAGAAATATTGGGCGTTGTTTATTAATTGATGAACCAGAAAGAAAAATTGATTTTTCAAAAAAAAAAAAAACAATGATAATGAAATGAATGTTTTTTTTTCTTTTTTGATTGGAATTCTAGATCATTTTCATTTCAAATTGTGTTGAATAGAATAGATAAAAAAATTCAACTCAAATTCAAATCGTGATGTTTAATTCTGACGATGATTGAATCAATTAGTCAAAGTCTTCATCATCATCATCATCATCACCATCATAATATATCGTCGATCAATTTGATTGTTGATGATGATGATGACAGGCATTAGAATTGGATTTTTCGATTTTTATCATCCTCATCATCATCATTGGCTGTAAATAGCATTGGCTGAACATATGTAAGTCATAGTATTACTATAGTGGGTTTGTTGTGTAAAGCGATAAAATTCTTTCATTCATTTATTCAAACCATGATGATGAGATCTAATTTGGATAAAGTGAACAAAAATTAAGGTGAGGAAAACCAAACCAAACCAAAAAAAAAAATTGGCAATTAAATAAAAATAAATGATGTGTGTCTCTTTTCACCTTATCACATATGGATAGATAAATTTTTTTTAATCATTATTTTGCTGCCCAAAAGATTCTGTATAACAATTTTTGTTTCTCTTGTTTTAAAATTGTTACAATAATTTGTCAAAATCTACATGTGATTGTTGGTACTAGATTCTCTCAATCTATTATAATTTTTTTTTCATTATTATTCTTCATGATAAATGTTTTTTCTTCACTTTTCATCGTCTTATCTTACCGTAATTTATAATATTTCCTCATGATGATGATGATGATACGAATTTAAGCATCAATTTCGATAAATCAACCATATCCGACTACTTTAAGTAAAAGTGATTTTGATTTTTGTTGTTGTTGTTGTTGTTGTTCACGAACAAACGAATCATCATCGTTAACAAATGATTAAATGATGATTTTGGAATCGTGATTAGAATCATCATACAGACAGTCTGTGTTAACAATAATAATAAAAAAAAGAAGCAATTCATCTTTGCCCTTGTTATAATTGGTGTTTTAATCATTAAAGAAGAATTGAAAAAGATCTTATTATCATGATTGCGGTAAGGTGATTTTTTTGTGCAAAATTATCAAATAATTTTAAAATGAATAACGAGAAAAATACAATCATTAATTATTAGC